TAAGCGAGCGTATATATATATTATTTTTACTACTCTTCTACTTATTAATTATAAGAATATAATTCTATAAGAGAAGAGAGATAGTATTACGATCGTATTCTATATCTCTCTTAATATATTATTTAATTCTATAGTCTATTAAGGTCTAGCGTATCTTAATAAAGTTATCTACTATTATCTAATATCTTTTATCTATATAGCTATTTAATATCTAGTTATCTTATTTAATATATCTATATTAATATTACATCTATATCGATTCTAATAAATATTCGATAAAAACTTAGAAAATCGAATTCTAAGATAGCGACTCTCGCTTATTTAATCGAAAGTTTATTTATTATATAATTTACGCTTAAGCTAGACTCTATCTTAGATATATTATAATACTACTTTTATATCTTTTTATTAAAATATCTAAAATTCTTAATTATTCTATTATAATCGATTTAATTATAATAAATTCTATAACTCTTAGAGTTATCGCTATTTATATATATATAATATATATAACTAATTATATTCTATTATTAATTATATTAATAAAATCTTTATTAATATTATCTCGCTAGATATAAAATTCTCTTTTACCTCTCAATTATAATTAATATCGAGAAGCCTTAAATCGATAGTCGAGTTATTTTTATATATACTTATCTCGCTAAGTAAGTTCTTACTAAAAAGACGTAGTTTACTAAAGAAAGACGACTAAAAGAAATAACTTAAGAATTACCTCGATTAGATATTCGCTAATATCTTATTTATAATTATCGTCTATAATATTAAAATAAGCTATTTATTACGAATTTAGTATACTTTAGAGAATTCTTATTATTTAGATAGAGATTTACGCTCTTTTAATATTACGATTTACGATAAGATATATTTTTCGTAATAATAATAGTAATATCGATTCGATTTCGAGTATAACTCGAATAGTCTAAATAGATTACTTAACTATACTCGAATTTAATAAAGACTTATAACTTTTATATCTTTTTTAGCTACGCACTAGATTATAAGTAGCTTACGAGGTTATACTCGAGAAGTTTCTAAATATAATATAAGTATAGGCTAGCGTATAGAAATATACGCCATTTTTCGAACTATGTAATTGTTACGGATTTAGTATACTTTAGAAGATTCTTACTATTTAGATAGAGGTTTACGCTCTTTTAGCGTAACGATTTACGATAAGATACGCTTTTCTATAATACTATTAAGATTTTAATTAGTTACTATTAAGTAAATCTTATTTTAATATTACTATAATACTCGAAATATTATTTAAAGATCTTTAAAAGTAGAAGAATATTAAGACGTAATCGCTTTAATAGTTTATAGCGAGAGTATAATAGATTCTTATAGAATTAAATAAAGCGTATCGACTATAAAGCGCGATATCTCTAATTCTTTTAATCTTATAATCTAGTAATAGCCGAATTATTCTTATAACTATATCGCGTTGAAATTTTAAGACTTAACTAATCTCGGGAAGGCTAGTTACTATAAGATATATTCGCTAATTTTCTAATTTTGAGAGTTTAACCTCGTTATATACGAGGTAAAAAATAGTTTCTAGAGAATAAAAGTTCTAGATTTATCGAATATCGACTTTTAGAAGTAATATAATTTTATACTCTAAAGCTTTTATTAAAGTAAGACTAAATAATTTATTCGATAATCGAATCTCGATATATATATATCGAGATATATACTTCGAAAGAGTTTTTATAATATATCTTATATTCTATAAAGATCTCTAAGATAAAAAGTTTCGAATAATCGAGTAAGAGTAACGTATTACGCTCTAAGTCGACTTTATAAGAATCGCTAATTAGAGTAAAGCCCTCGAATTAATTCTTTTTAAAGCCGCGAGAACGCGGTCTTAAGAGAGGGAATAGTTATTAGGGCGTAATCGTCTTAATAGTCTATAGCGAAGATATAGTAGACTCTTATAGAGTTAAATAGAGCGTATCGACTATAAAGCGCGATATTCTCGATTCTTTTAATCTATAACTTAGTAATAGTCGAATTATTCTTATATAGAATAACGATCGTCTAATAAGACTAAACGTAAAATTCTCGAAATACTTTATTTCATTTTTATTAGATCTTATCTTAAAGTATAATAACGACTAAAGAAGAATTTATAATCTTTTCTTTTTACGATTATACTTCGTTAATTATTATATTTATAAGATTTACGAAGTACTCGAGTATACTATATTAGATAATACTATTAATATCTTACTCGTCTAAAATAAGAATATAATTATAATTAAATAGAATCTTATTAACGTATTTAAATATATCTCTATAGTCGAGTCGAACTTTTAGCTATTAGATTTCTTTTAAAACGACTTTTATTATATTAATAGATTTTTATTATTTAATCTATATATCGCGTCTTTTATTTTCGATCTATTCGCTAAGACTCTTTATTAAATACTTATTATCGTTCTATTTTAAAGTATTATATTCTACTATCTAGACGATTTCTTCGCTATTCTTTCGCTTAACGACGATATAAATTAATTTAATAACGACTTTAATATCGTTTATAATAATTATAATTTAAAGATAAATTATACTAAGAATAAGAAAGATATTTAAATTAAATTTTTAAGAATTAAGTTTAATAGCGAGAAGATAAAGGTTAGACTCTCTTTCGATAAGTTAAAATAAATAAGAAAATTAATAAAAGCCCTTTTAAATAGGCGAAGTATTTCTTATAACGAGCTTAAGTTAACGATAGATCTACTATTCTTCTTCGTTAAAGTAATAATCTCTAATAAAGCTTTTCTAAGAAGACTTTACTTTATATTATTTAAAAAATAAGAATATTATTATATTACCGCTATAATTATAATAAATCTACGCTAGTAAAATATCTTTTTATCTAAATAGAATAAGATATAATTACTTCGCCGTATAGTTATACGCTATTACTATTTTATATAAATAAACGCTTTTAATAAGTATAGAATAGAAGAGTATATCCTCGAGGATATCGTTACTTATCTTAAACTAGATAATATATTTAATATATACTTCGTTATTCGCTATCGTAAGAAGAATATTTAATTTAAAAAAATATTTATCGTTTTTATAATTATTTGTAAATAACTATCTCGTTTATATTAATTATATCTTATACTCTATTATAATAATAACGTCGTTATCGAAGATATTAATAATAGTTTTATACGTAGATTAATTATAATATCGCTTAGATAAATAGTTATATTATTCGCTTAATACGATATTATTTATAATATAATTTAAATTCTTATTAAGTAGAATACTTTAGTCGATTTACTCTCTCGCTTTAAATTTAATAAAATTACTAATTTATATTTATAGCTAAACGCTTTTAATCTACGTAGAAATTATTAAATCGCGATTTATCTAAATTATAATATAAGAAAGCTCTCTTAAATTATAATATTATAAGATATCTCTAATAGAGTCTAGCTAATAAGATAAGAAATAGCTATTAAACGATAAAGATCTTTTATATCGAGTTTTATATTCTATTAAGAATTATCGCATTTCTCGCTATTATTTAATTACTTATTAATTAAATAATACGTCTAATCGATTATTATATTTAGATTAAATTTATTAAGATCTATCTTATAGATATCCGTTTAGTCTATATAAATATAGAATTTAAGAATCTCGAGATTTTTTATTATTTACTATTATAGCGAGTAATTATTAATATTTATAGACTACGTAATAAGATTAATATTAAAAAACGTTATTTAATTATATGAGATCTATTACTCTATATTCTTACTTAATTTAATAAAACTTCTTTAAAGAAAGTTACTTTATATACTTTCTTTTATCTTATATTTACGATATTTCTTTATATAAGCGAATTTATATAATTCTAAGCTAAATTCGAGAATAGTAACTTCGAACGATAATATATTATAAGACGTTTAATTACGCTATATAGTTACTATATAAAGCTATTACTATTATTCTTAAAGATAAACTTATTTAAAAGAGAGATTACGTTATTTATTATCGCTATAAATAATAATATCTATCTTATTTATTTACTATAAAACTTATTTACTCGCTTCTCTATTAATAGATTATCGTCGTTATTTAATTCGAATAAGATCTTTATAAGATAATACGTTATCGCTATATTACGTAGTACTTTATATATACTTAATTATTTAAGCTATTACTTAGAATACTCTTTTTATAGAAGAGTCGCTATCTTCGCGAGAGACGTCGATTTAATTAATAATAAGATTTAACTACTTAATCGTTAGAAGTCTAACTTATATTACTTATATATTAAAATATATCTAATCTATATTCTCGTTATATTACGTTATCTTTAACGTCTTTATATAATTTAGAGCTAATAGATTCTTATTAAATATAAATTATTTATTTTAGAAGTTTTTTTAAAACTAAGCTATATAATAGATTACTATTTATATACTATTAGATTTTAGAACTTAGTTAATTATTATTTAAAACTTATTTATATATATAGTTTTTATAGAATATTACGCGAGATAGTATTAATCGCTATAGCTTAATTAAGAATTAATAAGAATATAATATACTTATAATAGAATAATCGAGATTATTATATTAGAAGAGTCTTAAATAAATCGTATTCCTTCTATTTTTTACTCTTTATTCTTATTTCTCTTATTATAAAAAGAGGTTTTTTAGACTTTTCTCACTTACTCGCGCTTTATTTTTTTAATATTTTCTTATATTTAAACTTTAAATCTTTTATCTTATATAGAGAAAGTTTTTCTAGAATTAAATTATATAGTAAATCGCTATCTATATACTACTAGGCCTTAAGACCCAGCTAATTATCATTTAGAACTTATTTATGCGTGTAGTTTTTATGGGACGTTACGCGAGACAGCACTAGAGCATCATAAAGCGTCTAAATACATCGTTGTGCCAGCCCAGACTTCTAGGCTTTTCCCGAGCTTGTTCTCAAAGCAATGCATTCATTTTTCCGTCTCCCTCTACTCCTCCATGTCATCTCAGTCGTCGTTGGTGGGGTCATCCCATATCTTTGGACCGTTGATCCCACATCACTAGAGCCAGATAGGAATCTCACCGAAGTGATTCCATCAGCCAACAACACTGCCCTCACCCAACCTTCACATGCGAACCTTTCCGACCACATCTCCTTCGTAGATGTCATCTACGACGGCGTCAAGCTAGTACGCTCTCGTTACAGCCGTGCAGTGTTTCGCGAAGCCAAAGCAGCTTCAATTGTTGGCCCTACGACCGATCCGCATTACCTCACCGATATGCGTTTGGTCTTTAGCATAACGCAGGGAGACTACCGCTCTGTCTACCTCGAAATGACTGCAACATGGCCCCGGTGGGGAGAGCCACGACTGACTACTAATTTTCCACCAGGGGACTATGGGGTGTTGCCGTCAAGGTTTGGCATGGATATTGTAGACGCAGATCGTCGGATGAAAGCCGCGGGCTTCGGACAGCGGTATAACGCCGTGGATATCAGATGGCCTGCCTGGTTCCCGGAAGAGTGGCAGCAGGCTTTGTATTTCTTTCAGATGGATGATGTCGGCCTGGACTTTGTGACTGTGGGAGCGAGGGATGGGCGAGTCATCCCATTTGATCATGCTCTGGACGCAGCTGAAATAGAGTGAATACTGTTCCTTCGAAAATCCCGGAATGGTTTTGCTGTGGCCCTTTCTCTGATAAAAGAACCATCGAATTAGTCTAGAGTTGGATCAAGCTCTTCAGAGCTGTCATCGCTTGATTTCATTTCGTGCAAGATGAGCGTAATCGTGCTCTGCTCGCCATCAAATGGAAGAAGCACGATGCCCTCGCGCATGCACCTTCCAATCAAAAGCAAGGGATCCGCAATTTCCAGACAAAGAATCTTTACCCTCGCACGAATCTAGGTTTATGGTTTTAGCGTTCGCGCTGACTGTTGACGAGGATTCTGAAACTGATCTCCCCGAAGACGAAGGTGATACCGTCCTCGTATGTAGCGTGGACCACCCTGTGGCCGTCTGTTGCGCTATCCAATCGGAACCATTATTCAGGTCATCCACCGAGGAAGCATTACCCAAAGATCCAAATTGGCCGAGAAAAGGCGTAATGGGTATCCCTTCTATCACGTAATCTGTGAACTGAATTTGGTTGAAAAGCGAACCAGGCGTACAGAGGTAGATATCAGCAGCCACGCTTCCCATGCTCACTGGACCACTTAGCATCCGAGGTCTGATTCTAGGTGTGCAATTGCTTCCTTCCTTATAAGAAAATGAAAGGGAAAAATTGATCTATCAACGCACATTGAAAAGGTGTGTAGCCCCCTTGTGGATTGTTCGGGTTAAGGCAGTCGATAAGTGGCCTAGCTTGATCGATGACCATTCTCCAGCTTGCAACGAATTGAGATCTGGAAACTCCTCCTTGTGCGAGGCCGTGGGTTACAAGAGCGACGTTGCAGGATTCTGTGAGACCATCGTAATCAGAGATACCATTATAATGTACAGTGCAGAAGAGATACTTTGACTGGCTCCGAATCAGAGGCTTTGAAGCGGCACCTTTCAAGTCTTCAGCATTTGCACTTAAATGTACTTACTATGCTTCCAGGGTTTAGGCAGCTGGACGATTGCATGGGGACGATACCCATTGTTTAGAGCACCAAACGGAGTCCGAAGATACTGTGGCTCCGCAAAAACTCGAATCTGCTGAGAGCCTGGATCCGAGGGGCTTTTTTGGGCATACGGAATCCAACTCAGAGCTTGAATACAGTCCTGAAGATCTGGAGTGCCGTAGACAGAGGCACTGCACTCGGCAGAAAGAACGAGAGGATAATACAGAGCCCACAAGAACACTCCTAAGAGATTGAATCGGACAGAACTGAATTTGGAAGACATTGAGAGACTTGTAAATCGAAAAGTGACTACCTTATAAACTCATCGCGCCATGTTATGAGAAGGAGTTTTTGAGCCAAGCGCTAGAGGGCACCTTGTATCCGAAGAACTGAGACATAGCAACCATCGGTGGTAACGCCTAGATGTCTCGTTTTGGACCCCGTCGGCTCTGCGCCAATGACAAAATGCGAAATGATGGAAGCTGCGCTTATATACATCTAATCACGTTGACGTGTTTGCCATTCCTGGAACTCTGGCGGCTCACCATGCCGTGGGCACCTCAATGCATTCCAAAACAGTGACAGCTTTTGACCATCTTACACTGCCACTGATATCAGTCATTCTCCAGTCCACAACACCCGGCCAGAAGCGCAATCGTGATGCGATGGTTGCGCCGATCTTATCTTTTTGCTTTTTTAGTAGAGCTGTTGTCTCTTTTCTTCCCCGCATCCCAAGCATTTTCAACGCCAACCTGCAACGATATCTACGGCAGTCCAACACAAGCAGACTGTACAGCAGCTCTTGCTAGCTTACCGCGTGATACCGCAGTCCATTATTTTGTAGAGCAGCAGATGCGAACCGCACCGCCGGTCGCGAATTGGATACCGTTTGTAGATCATGGGGAACGGGGTCCGCAGTTGATCGTACAGCTACCCAAATGGTGGTCTCGTGGTGAGTCCGATTTTTTCCATCAATAGGTCCTACAATTGATTTTAGCGGACCGATGCACTGATAGGAAGGCAGGGACCTGCAACGTCCTAATCATGGGCTACGTAAATTTCAACTCCGTGCCGATCCAGCTGGTTTCGAGCGCTGCCTCATCATGGTTCAATCTCTTGGGCGCAGGATCCCGAATTATCTCGAGGTGTCTGCTCACCGGACGGGGCGGCGGATGGGTTGTTCAAAATGGTATGCAAAAGTTCTCTTAGAGGTTCATGGCTAGTTTCATGTGGAAGATATCTTGATCTTTCTGTGGGAAGAGGGCGCCCCCTTTGAAAACATCATGATGAACAATATGAACGCAGAATTTCCACCCCAGATCAATCCTTTATTCCCGCTATTTGTGCTGCAGAATAGTTCTTTGACATCGAGTCTCGGTATAGTAAATAGCACGCTTGTTGAAGGTATCACGGACGTATAGAAAGCGGGGAAAGGGCTTAGTTTTAGTAAAGAAGGGAGTTCTGGATATCCACATCTACGACGATCGAAAAGATGCCATGGTAGTCGCGTAGATTGGGTGGAGATGTTCATCTACCGGCGAAAGTACGAAACATATGGTTTGTAGCTGAACGAGGCAACCACCAAATCGGTTGCAGTGAAGTGATCATTCTTGCCGCTCTCGTGGTTCTTCCACATTCATGACCTGAAAGCATGGGATGTTTGCCCTGTCTGAAGGCTCATTTTCAGGCCATGGTGCCAGATTCGGCTGTTGGAGAAGCAAATTCTGAAGTATTTGATTAATGATTACGAGTACAGAGTAATCATCGATAATGTCTTGCTGTCATACGCTAATGTTCGCGACAACTGCAATTCAAGAGCCTTGTTCCGCCAATTTTTTTTGGCTTCGTACGGACTGGGTCTAGGAACTTTTAAGGGTGACTCTCCCGCCCGGCTGACATCGGCCATTGTAAAATCTCAGCCTTGCGACAACATGCCTTGTGTAAGAATCAGCCGAATGACCTAGACGATTCGGAGCCTGTGTGGTGATCGCGGCCCTTCAGTCATGATTGCAGTGACCGGCGATGCACTGGCCATGCCAGATAGTAGTTGAGCGGTGTATCCATTACATTTGTCCCCATTACCATGTGAAGCAACCGCTAACCTACAGTACAGCTCTGAGTGCATACGACGCCAGACTTGATTACATACAATCTCGTGATAAGAGATGAAGGGAAGACAGGGAGGCAGCAGCATCCAACCTTGAGGGTTGTTTAGGCGCTATATAGCCGCCCGGTCTCGGACTTGTGGATCGATCGAAGCTGTTCATGACTGACCTAGGCGGCTGTCCGTTTGCAGCTCTGTACTATTGAGGGTCAACATCAGTGTGACGTGTGGAGGTGAAATCGCAAGACCATTGGATGACGATGACGTTGTACTACTACCTGATACTGCAGGACTGAGTGAGTCAGTGGGCGGATTTTCGTTGCCAACAACTTTGTCCCGGGCGACGGAAAGCCGCTTTGACGCTGCCGGGTCAGATGTCCACCCCCGCCGCGTCCAACAGTTGTTCTGGACACAATCTCTTACGAGAAGGCGTTGGGCAGCACCGTTATATCTTTCTAACAATGATTGTTGTTTCTTTGACAAAACTACAGACGTCTCCAACCCCTTGGGAGGCTGTGTATCTGCTGTGGCCGAACGCATAGGAGGGTGCTTCTGTCTCAGATTACTTGCCCCGGAGTGCGCAGAGGGTGTTGAACAAAGTCACTCCACTCTGTGATAACAATGATCGTGATGCATCATATCTATTCCCAGCTCTTGATGATGAACAGAAGTGACCACCCCATCGCGAGCTTTGTAGACATAGTGATTACGCTTGAAGAGATCCGTCCCAGGAGGTTGGAATACCATAACAAGTTCAGTTGGCGCTCGTGGTACGTACAATCGGGGGCCTATTCTCTCTATTCCGGACGACTATTCAAGTTGCGAGACATGGTCCGGGAGCAGAACGCACTAAAAGCCACTCCAAGTCATTTTATCGTTGGAGCTTTCGGCTTGGAGAAGTATGGCAGACTCCCAAATCTCCATAGGCTCCCGGACGCACCCAGCGCCACAAACAATAGTATGATATGCAATCAGTGATTGCCAACATTTCGATCCAACAAGCCTCCTCGAACTGGTTGTGTCAGTGGCGAATTAAAAAATGATAGAAGTAGATGTGCATACCTGTGGTTGCTGGTACGCGGAAGTGGAGAGTGTGACAGCCCGGAATATGGGGTCTAGGTGCCCGAGGTTTCGAAGGATCCTTTAAAGTGAAAGCATCTTTCGGACTGGAATACCTTGTAATCAGATCACAAGATGAGCACAACTTGTCTGGTTAAGACTCGCTACGGGCCAAATAATATGTAATCTCCATCAGTCGCCCCCAACACGTGCCCCGCCATCGAAAGGCCCACGCGGAAGATTGCGACAATTTGAGCGAATGAAACTGACATGTTCGTCGTGAAAGTTCTTTGAATGAACGAGATCGCCGTGTAATTCTGGAGAAAACGTAGGATAAAAGATTTCGGAAGGGTAAATGCTCGGATATCGCGACTAATGGTATGAATCCACAAATACCTTATGACTGAGGTCATCTTAGCTCGGTAGGACCTCAGTGTGCACGCTGCTCTCTGGTACCCGATGGCCTTGGCCCTAGATAATCGAGGGGTCACTTGACAAAGCTCACATTGAGGCCACCTTCTGGGCGTTCCACTTCTTCCGACGTCAAAGCTTCAATGTTATCAAGCGTGAGATTGGAACAGTCATCCAGCCACCTTGAAATTCCGGATGAGCAAGCGTAACGATCTAGAATTCTACGAGAACAATGCGTATTATCTATGGCGCGCCGAAAATCGCATTGGGCCATGCTAAAACTGCTAGTGTAATGCATTTCGATCCATCTGGCCAAACCTTGACCGAGATCTGACAGATAATTCGTTGCAAGATTCAACACACCACTTCTTGTCGACATCGATTTCGTGCTGCCTCCGCAGCTACTGCCGAGGAGACCTCCTGCAACCGCCGACGCTCGAATGGTTGCAGGTGACTTGAGGTCATCAAGCAAGGCAAAGAGGCCGGGTCATTGGTCTTAGGCAATAAAAAGGGTGTGATAGAAGCACTGGAGCTCTTGCTTGTTATGGAGGAACGACTGACCGCGTTCCACTCATGTCACAATCTAGATATCAGATTTTGATGAGCTAGAGGGAAAGATGTGAAGGGCAATTCCAGTCTTTTTACATCAGTTCATTGGTGGGTGGTAGTACCAAGAGAAGTCTGCTTCAGCAAACATCTCAATAGCTCGACGACAGCGATAAAGACTGATTGTCAGGCTGTGGGAGGAGGTCTCTCGGTAATTGGTGGTAGACTTGATACCCCAATCGTCGAGGATCTGTTCTTGAACCAAATCCGTATAGAAGCGCCCACATTCTCTTTTGTTCTTGAACCAAACCCGTGTGGCATAGCACGAAAGCAAGGAAGCGTCCACACGTTCTCTTGACAGGGCTGGGGGGAATTGCCGGACCGTAGTCGATATTGCCGAGCAATCAGAAAGATTGGCCAGCCCAGACTCTGGGTATATCAGCCTTGTGAGCAACCGTATCTACAAGCCTCGGGATCAAGTCCGCAGCTCTTCTCGCAAGTAAATACCGTATAGAGATTTGACACTCTGACTCAAAGGAAGAAGGGTGGACGATATGTTGATCCAAATGCACAGTATGGCCCAACACGGTAACCGCTTGACGGTCAGTTTTTGGTTCCTGTTTCTTTTTTTTTTCTGCCTCGTCCGATAGTCCGAGATAGAGTTGGTGTGTACAACAGACACGGTTAGATGGTGACCCTTATACAACGAGAAAGGGGGTGCCTCGGCCTACCTAGGCGGCATTACTTTTAGTCTCGCGTGGGGATCATCCCCGCTTATGGACCCTGCGCCGGCGGGCCCGCCAAGCCTGTGACGCCCGAGGTGCCACACCCTATACGGGCTTAAAGTACTGAGATGAGGGGGCCTAGCCGGGCCCAATTACCTTAGAGCTTCCCCCCTCCCGCGATCCCGCTGGCAAGTCTTTGGCCTATAAGATTCAGCCGTTTGTGCACGTTTAATAAAGACAGGCTGCCCGTCTTCCATACCTTGACTGCCACTATTCAAATCATTTCCACCGCAGCTCGCCTTTTTCCTCTTGGCATCTCTGTGGCTTTGCAACATCACCTCGTCTCGTGCACGGAGAGATTGACACATCCAGGAAGGTGCTCTCTGGCCTTCTCCACCGACTGGAACTAGTCTCCACCAGCTCGACCGTATACCACCATACCATCATGTCTCAACCCTCACTTGGCACCTTGGCGACAAGCTCTGGTGCACATATAAGAAGTCCTCTACGCCCTTGCTTGATCCGGTCTACTGTCCTCAGCCTACCATCTTTCGACCTCCACAGACTGCTGCTCCTTCCTCTACCTCCACCAACATCTTCGCATCCCAGTCGCAATCATGAAGTGGGAAGAGGAAGGCTACACTCGCAAGGATGAGTTTGGGAACATGATCTCCATCGTACGTACCGCTCGCTGCCCCACGCGTTCTCCGTGACGTGGACTATGTCTTGGTCTGACTTATCACGCAGGAGGAGTATGAGGAATCCCAGAGGCCGACTGGCGCAAGCCGTGTCATGACCCGGGGAGATCTCAAGCTATATGCCATCTGCGGGTGAGATCCATGTTGCAGAATCAAGAACAAGCCGCTGACACGCTGACAGTGTCGGTTTCTTCCTTGACTCCTACGACCTCTTCATCATCAACTTGGTGACCCCAATATGGACCTACGAATACTGGGGTGGTCTGGCCCATCCACCCAAGAAGACCCCCACATACCCTCTCCTCCTTCGCGGCGCCGTCAACGCGGCTGCCAACATCGGCAACATTATTGGTCAACTCTCTTTCGGATTCCTTGGTGATGCCTTCGGCAGGAAATTTGTGTATGGGAAAGAGATGATCATCATGATCGTTGGTGTCATACTGGTCATCAGCTTGCCGAATAACTTGAAGGGTCCCACCAGGAATAAGTTCTGGTATCTCTTCGGCATGAGAGTGCTGATGGGCATCGGTATTGGTGGAGACTACCCAATGTCCGCGTCGATTGTTGCGGAACGTTCCTCGCTACGCAACCGTGGACGTATGCTGGGCTGGATCTTCTCGAATCAAGGCTGGGTAAGTCTGAAGCCACGTTGGCCGAGAAGGCTATGAGAAACTATTGCTGATAGAGTGTCTGTGGACAGGGAACACTCGCAGGCTCAATCGTCACGCTCATCGTTCTCGGCTGCTTCGGCAAAGCCCTAAAGCACGGAGAGTACAACCAACTCGACGCCGTCTGGCGAATCCAGATTGGAGTAGCCCTGGTACCAGCCTTCGCCACTCTTTACCAGCGCCTGACCATGCCCGAAAGCAAGAAATACCTACAATCTGGGGAGCTCAGCATGCTCAAATCGTCATCACTCTCTTCTTCAGCCACGACCATGGATTACACCGGCAAGGGTGCCAAAGCGCACACCACGGATGCTGACTCAAACGATGTCTCGTCCCAAGACAGAAATGCATCAATCGTCGAAGCCCACGTTGCGCCACCGACTCGAGACGTGCAGTTGAAGACATTCATGGTCTACTTCAGCGAGTGGAGACATCTGAAGCAGCTTGTTGGCACAGCATCATGCTGGTTCCTTGTCGACGTCGCCTTTTACGGTCTCAATCTCAACCAGTCCGTGCTTCTGGCTGCGATCGGTTTCTCCAAAGGCAAAACCGAATATGACACGCTCCTCAAGAACGCCTATGGAAATCTGATAATCGCTGCGGCCGGCTACGTGCCTGGGTACTTCCTTACGATCTATTTTATTGAGATTCTTGGTCGTCGCTGGATTCAGATCCAAGGTTTCCTTGTCTGCGCGCTCATGTTTGGTATCATCGCCGGCGACTATAATCATCTGGGGACAGCTGGAAAATTCGTCTGCTTCACAATCGCCCAGGTAAGCCAAACGTTCTTCCCAGCAGGAGTAGAAGCACAGTTCTGATTGCGCGTCCGTAGATGTTCTTCAACTTCGGTCCCAACGCCACCACCTTCATTATCCCCGGAGAACTCTACCCCTCCCGCGTACGCGGTTTCGCCCACGGAGTCAGTGCCGCCGTCGGGAAACTCGGTGCCATTCTATCCGGTGTACTGTTCAACTACCTGAGCACCAAGATCGGCGTAGCAAACGTCCTCTGGATCTTCTTCGCTTGCAACGTCGCAGGTGCCATTTCCACGTTCTTCCTGGTGCCTGAGACTAAAGGTGTGGATGCGGATGCCTTGGATTTCAAGGAGTGCCAGGAGAAGGTTGCAAGGAGTCACGCAATGTAATGCCATCTAATGAGGTAGTAGCACGATCCATGATTTGTCGAGCCAGATTCATTTTACTTCCTGTTAGTACAGACAGTTCCAACAGGGACCCTTTCCGGAGAAACATAGTCCAGGCCAACTTTCAGAGCACCCTCACAGCAATTAATGTCCACGCGCCGACTGTATAGCCAAGTGATGTCTTCTCGTCGTAGAACCCCCTCCTAGTTCTTACTCGGATTGTTGTTGGCGCAGAATATCTTGCAATTTTGACACCCCAAAAGGGACGCAGCTATGCCCACGCAGGATGCCCACCTTTATGAAACAGGCCTTCCGGCAATGTCATTATTGCACAACAACACTCAAATTCTGTACTGAAGCATTGCGGTAGTATACCCCATGCGGAGCTCGCGATCGCTTTTGAAGTGCTTCCTCGGGAATAACAAAGCGAAAGGCATTTCGAGGTGGGGACATAGACAGTGCAGACGCACTCAAAGACATGAATAATTCGAGCAGGAGCACGGGAGGAGACTATAGAGTACAGTCCGAGATGGCAAGTATCGCGTTGTGTATATGAAGAGTACGCCAGCAATGAAGCTCTTGAATGGCTTTTCGCCAGTATCTTTTCTTGGTGAAGACAAGCCCGCCTCCCGGGATAACCCGCTATCGAAGTCCTCGCCAGACTTCACCCACACACCCCTGTGTAAAGACAGCTACAGCTTCTGCCGCGCGATGCTATCACTAGCGCTCTTCCTCAAGAGCAAAAGGCCCTTCAAAATCGTCAGCAGTGGAAAGTCCACACATGAACGGAAACCCTCTACGAACCTCCTGCGCACACGTTGCTAGCAAAATGCCATCTCGACTGAACATGCGCGAATGCACCATAATCCTCCCACTGCTCGCCCAAGGAGTTTCGCACTCCACATAAACCCACTCATCCACTCGCGCCGCATCCACATTGACGATATGGATACTGTGGTTGATAGTAGTCATGGCCTTGAGATCCCTCGCCAAACGCTCACTCGGAGATTTCTCCGTCTTGAGGTCGAATCCCAGTCCGTAGATGCGGGGCGCTGAGTCTAGGAGGAAGATATCGGAGAGGGCGACGAGGCCGAGGACGTTTTGCATATTACCCTTTTCCGTTGAGACTGGGCCATCTGCGCGGAGCCAGTGTCGTGCGAGCTTTGATTCGGCTGCTGGGGAGGGGCCTGGAGAATTCAGGATAAATCTGCCCAGAATATGTCTTGCCTCACACACACCTTTGGCAACGATTGGCAGCGCATATCCCTTGATTGTAGGGTTGGGGTCCCCACGAACGTATCGAACCTCATCACAACAGGGACTGCGTGCTCCACAACCGCTGCCCCTCGTCCCGCGACCGACGCCCTCTTGGCGAAACCAACTGTCGTCAACGCAATGGTCTTGCCATCCTGCTCGACCTTGACTTGTCTGGTAGCGAAGGTCTTTCCATCGTTAAGATTCTCCACGCGATAAGTAGCACGTTTCGTCACCGTACCATTGCCGAGGAAGTGGGTTTGGACGCTGTGAGTATGGAAGCCTCGTGGGACTGTCCGGTATGAAGCTGCAACACATTGAGGCATGAGCAAGGCGCCAGGGACGATGCCCCAATTGTTGAAGCTCCACATGGGCTGGACGTTGACATAGTATCCCTACGGAAAGGGTTTGAAATGCGTTATGAAAAGACAGCTTCGGTTGGGGGAAACATGACCAGATCAACTCACCTCTGAAGAAGGTTCCACCTCGAGTTCTTTCATGAAGTCTGAGCGTGTCAATTCTCCCTCGGTTCCCTGGTTTCCCATGATTTCAGTAAAGTCTCCAACGCAAACAGAAAACGTTTCAGGAGTGGAGAGATTGAAATAATCTGCCTGGGTCGAGGACACGTAGTACAGTGGGCGTAAGTACAGGAGCTTTATCATGTATCGAAGAAAAATATAGTAGAATCTCTGACAAAGACTGCAGCGCTTGGTATATATAGACGAGCTGACTCGTCAGCACTAACCAAGCTTACGAGCCAAAAGATGATTTGCAGAGAAGGTCTGGATGCCAGACATAGCGGACTAACTACAAAGGCGAAGATTTTCTCAAAGGCTTCTCGAAAGCGGGTATCTAAACGCTTGAATTGAGGGAATGCGAATGCACTTGGCCAACTATGACAAGATTGGAGGATTGGCGGAGTTGAAACGAAGCTAGCCGACTATAGTTAGACCGCAGACTACAACAGTGGCCTTGGCAGGCTTCGCGATCTCGAAATTCGGCTCTTACTGATGATGGATGCATGAGGGTATTGTAACGTTGCTGTCAACATACATGTTTTTCAAGCGAGACACACGCGCGCGTCCTTCTTGTCGTCAACAGACTATACGCTGATCCCCCAGTAGCTACCGTCTCGGAATGGGCTATCACTCTCAGCTCTATCAAACTCCCAACCTCCGTTGACCGTGCTTCAGATCGCTAAGACTGCGCCTCGATACTCCTCCAGCGGATAGCAAGGCTGAACGAACTGTGGAGCTGTACTCCGGAAATGTACAATTGGATAAGCGCCCTGCCAAGTACCCTATATCTGATCCTAGACCTGTTAGGCAGCTGAAACTCTCTGAACTCTCTGAGCTCTCAGCAAGAGAGTCCTGCTTGTGATTACCTCGGCCTAAGAAAGAGGTACCATTCCGAAAAGCTGCATATGTCTCAAGGCCTGGAGTTCATACCGAGCAACTTCCCAGGTAGCTCCAAGGGCGAGTAAATTACTGAACATTATGAGATGAAGTCAAGGAAGAAATTGGCTTCATATGTATGGGTTATTCAGGACCAATGTAACAAGCTTGACACCAGGAAGGTGATTTGAAGAGGGTGCTACAGCACACGCCGGATATATGGAAAGGAAACACAGTTATTATTGACGAAAAGAGACATTGATTGGCGTGTCGGAGCAAACGAACATGGCGGGTTTTTGAGAAGAGGACGCGCAATGACAACACGGCACGGGGTGGCAATACGTTGCTACGCGGCCATTCTCAATGTGCATGGGCTACTCTCCTACCCCGGATCGCTGAGTGGATTCATCCACAAAGCGGTGTTTGGCAAGGAATGCGTAGGTGCTTGAGCAACAAATGCTCATCACCTGTCTCTTTGTTTCTTGAACATGAACGATAATTGCTCTGCCGTCTATCTGGAAGCACCTCCCACCTCGAAAAGTTCTCCTGGGGCATGAAACAGACCTCGGCACTCTCACTGTACCCGCCTATGCCACCAGCCTATTTTAGAGGTTCTTGGAAACGCTTCGACCGCGAATACCTCGCCACTCATGCAGTGTAGCCGCCTAGCCGCAGCCGGAAAGCAGATGCCATTTAGGGTATCTACACTCCGTCCGAGTGGGCCATTTGATCTTATGTTCCAGAGTCCCTCTTACGCGGGCGCATATTGAAAGATGGTGGGTCCGGGTGTTACTGTCATCCGAATGCCTGGCAGACTGCTGTTGTTCGAATACTGTACACCGCCACCGTGTGCAAGCCACTGATTTTGAATACCCAATGCACGGAGAGGAATTATGCCCGAAAGGTTCCAGGAATCTGAACGAAAGACCAATCCTACGTAAGCCGAGGTTGTGATGTTGATAAGACCCAGAAAGGTATCTCGATGACTGGTATACCGCATTGCTTCGGCCGAGGCTTCTACATGTTATCTGACTGTACATCTCCAAAGATGTATTTCCATATCCTGGTAAGCTGACCACCGACTCGGCTTGGCAGTCCCACAAAATGCGCAAGCCATCAGGATATGAGTTAAAAGGAGGCACTTGCCCCTCCGATTCCATTTACCAGAGCCAAACGAAGCCACTTCCAATATACTGTGCTGAGAGTAATCGACGCCGATAATGGCCTATACCCTTCTTATCCAGTTGGCTGAAGCCATTCTGCTCTTCTTTTCCTATGCTATGGCAGCTCCACTTGAGCAAAGGTGTAGGTGTCCTACAAGATTTGCTGCAAATGCCCCTAGACAATCTTAACTAATAACATGAAACAACAGCTATCGATCTCGCCACGTTCACGGACCTACAGCTCTTCGAACAATTCGCTGCGGCTTCTTACTGCAAGAGCAATAACAATGTCACTGCCGACGGCAACAAGCTCACATGTCCGAGCCATAATTGCCCTCTTGTCGAAGCCGACGACGTGACCACTGTGTACGAGTTTCAGAAGTATGCCAGAAGACTCTTGATTCCCTCCATCCAGCCCCTCTGTCCCGCGCCTCACCGTAAACCCTTCGGCGCTAACTATACTTCTCCCTCGAACAGCTCCGGACTTCTAACAGGCGTGACTGGCTACATAGCCGTCGACCATACCCTCGGACTTACGATCCTTGCATTTCGCGGCTCCCATTCCTTCCGCAACTGGGCCGCTGATCTCGACTTTGCGCTTATCCCTACCGACGTCTGTCCTCAATGCTTCTGCCACCAAGGCTTGTGCGTAGGCTCTCTGATTGCTCCCTTCTCGATCTATATTCCTCTTAGAACACCATTACCATTTCAAAAGAGAAGATACTGAAACCCAGCAACAGCTACAACAGCTGGCTCGAAGCGCGCTCCGGCGTTCTCGCGGCCATCAAAACCACCGCGTCCACCTACCCCAACAACCGCGTCGTCGTAGTCGGGCACAGCCTCGGCGGCGCCATCGCCGACATCGCCGCCGCCGAGATCAGAAAGGCGGGCACCGACGCCGATCTCTACACGTACGGCGCACCGCGCATCGCCGGACCCGCGCTGAGTGATTACATCACGAAGCAGAACAAGGGGGGCAATTTCCGAGTGACGCATTACGACGACCCGGTGCCGCGGCTGCCGCCTCGCGCGTTGGGGTACGTGCACATCAGTCCGGAATACTACATCGATACCGTGACTGGGGTCGTTCCGACGGCGGAGGACATCACCGTCCTGAGCGGGGATGTAAATCTGTTGGGGAATACGGGGAATGATCGTAACAGGACGGATGTAGCGGCGCATTCGTGGTATTTTAATAGGGTCAGCGCGTGTAGCCCGAAAGGGTTCGAGTTTAGAAAGAGAAGGGATTTGTCACGATAGGTCGGTAGCGCTGGGGTCGATGGATGGAGAGATAGGAAGGCGTCTTGGCAGGATTTATGGGACACTGCTCGCGCGTTTGATCAAGGGCAGAATCATCAATGGCGACTCACAGTCAGCGTCGCTTCCGATGTTGTAGGTCTAGCGGTTGTTTTGCTTAGATTAGAAAGTACCTTGGAGATACATGTCCCTCAAGACCAATCAGCCGACCATCTTATAATGCAACAGCACGTGACAGAACCTCCACCACTCGTAGCATGATATTACTACCCAGTGCCGACGGCCCAACATAACCCGTCAAACCGCCTCCAGGAGCGCCATTCTATCCAATAAGAAGCATTGCCGTGCTGTGGGATTCGAGCTATGAACGGCTCTTTGACGTCAGTTGGAACGAGCCGGGAAGACAGGCGCTTCTGCCAATGCCACCAATGTCCCGGTCGGTCTAGTTAGCTTCGGGACTGAAAAGCGTGTCGCGTGGCAGGCGGCAGTTAAAAAAACATTCGCAATTCTGACACTGGCCGTACCATTCCTCTTTTGGGCATCCCAGACTCTCTGCATAATATGATGATGTTACCTCAATGTCCCGTATCAAATCGGCTGTGAACGTATGCTTCGCGGACCAGATAAGCGAGAGCTGTCAGGAGTTCTTCTCGCCTGTGCTTGTGTAGTGGTGACCTGTAATATCTTACAGGCGTCGTCATGTCTCGCTTCGGGGGCCAGCTTCGCCGGCCAAAATTTTGGGCATTTTCCTTGCAAGATTAATCGATGACTTTGTATCGGCTCGAGTTGTCAACTGCGACTTCGAGAGTGCCCACAGTCAAGAGATTTGAGGACTGTCAAGACTTTTGGCGACACAACGTGTACAACCATGAGACCATGGCGGCTTCTGGCCCTCGCCAGCAGCCTTCCTGGAGCGGCCGGCCCTAACACAGGTCGCAGGAGAAGACATGAGCAGCAATAAAAACCGCGATAAAGTTGATCCCCTTCGCACATCATTCCATCTCTTCCATTATCGAATCTCCTCAGCTAAGCTCCCTATTCGTGCACAAAGATCCAAGAGACTGCTTCCCCAAGGTGAGCGAGTATGTGCGAATTGGGCAACCCCATCGTGGCGCATTGTTCTAAATAACATCATGTTTCGGCGGAGCAACTTCCGTACCTTGACTTCCAAGATCTGCTATCTTCGATATCTCTTCCTTTGCGGGGGGCGCACCAACATGGGCCGACGATTTCGGCGCTCCTGGTGCTTTTGGTATGGCTGCATTCTTTGCACCAGGTTCCTCCACCTGTGTGTTCTCAGCCTTTTCTATCTGCTTGAGTATCCATCCAATGGTAGCATCTCTCACTCGCTCGAGCTTTTCAAGCGTGGCTAGTGGCAAAGTGGAATAATCCGTTCTCTTCGCCGGAGTACTTTCCCCACTTGGTGCGGACGACGGCTGCTGACTCTTCCCGGCAAGCAAGTCTCTCAACACTGTAATACTTTGGTCTCTTTCCGGGAGGGTCTGTATCAGCCTTTCCTTTTGGGCCTCATCTTCTCGTACCTTTGCCTTCTTGGCGGACCTTTCCCTGTCTTGTGCCCATTGCATGATGGCATCGCGGGCAGCATTCTTGATGTGGTCAAAGCGCATAGGACCAAGCATGACGCCACCGTACCACCTGGCTACTACCACTGCGCCTTCTACATCCGTTTCGATGAGGACCTTCTCCACAGCCTTGCCACCATACTTCTCGCCGTCATCATCATGACCGGTGTCCAAAAGACGCTGCACGTTGAGCGAACGCTGACTGCTAGGCTTTCTCCATGCGGCAATGCGATGGCTTGCACTCTTGAACTCGGTGTGTGCTTGTAGCTCCTTGGCCGCGAGAGTGGGGGAGTAAAATGCGAGGAATGTGGAAGATCGATCTTCAATGGGGGAAGATTTAAAGATAAGGGGAGGTGATGCCGGCGATACAGATCTACCTCGTTTCTGAGACATCGAGGTTTTTCGGCAATAGTAATGTGAGCAAAGGGTGAAAGATTGTGCCTTGAGCCAATGAGGCTACCGCCTGGTGCCGCTAAGGTGTAAGGTACGGTGGTACCTTAGTAAATAAAAAGCACCGTAACACCATTGTACCAGCGCCATTAGGAATCGAACCTAATACGAACTAAATACCCCCAACAACACCTTAGTTGTAGTACTTCGCCTATGCTCAATGGAGATTAGCATGTACTCTAGAGCCAAGAAATGATTTCCCTCCAATTGTTGGTTCATGATTATTGAAGAACAGCCAACGTAGCTGACGATGATGTATCTTTCCTTAGTTATGCACCAAATACTTTATGGTTCTATGATGTTTCTAGTATCAATGCCAATCTCAAAAATCGATTTTGTAATGTATAATATAAAAGGTACTTTACTCTACTAGCAGTTTGAAATTACAGTTCGCGGGTGCGTACTCTGATGCACGGCCGTCAACCCCCTACTCCGTTACGCGGTACATATGGGGCTTAAAGAATTCAGGTAGACTCTACTAGACTACTACACTATTATATAAGGTTCACTAATATAATTTCAATTTTCAAAATTTCTTAAAGTTTAAGAATCTTATACTCCGTTATATAATTTAAGTCTTTAGTGATTTAATTATAAAGTACTATTATCAAAGGACGAATTTCTGAAATTTCACTGATTGAGTTTTAGACCGTGCATTACGAGCTAACAGGCATTAACGGGTATATGTGAGTAGCGCCGACAAAGATGTTGGTACTCTGTTTCACATTCGCGTCCATCTTCCAAAAACACTGCAAGTACAGCAGAGAAAGAAACGAATTACCTGCTGCATCGCCTATTTACCCTCATCTCACTGTCAACACGAAATAAAGGATGAGCGAAAGCTATCTGTCTTTGTCATAAGGGAATGTAGTAGGCACAGAATATGGAAAAGCATGTAGTTGGTAGCTATCTATGTAGGATGTGAAGCCATGTACTACTCCGATTAGGCAAGTGCACACCCAAGAAGGGTTTATGTGTTCCAACGTCTGTTGGATGGCGGAATGAGCCAGCCCTTTCGACTCTCTTTCATTTCTTTCTTAACTGCACTTCTCCGTGCGCGTGTCCTTGATCACTACGCAGTCCCGACTCTTGTCATTTGCTTCCGAATATGTTCCTGTCGTGGAAAATATTGTGCCAAACCCTTGCGGCGGTCACTGTCGTACAAGCATCTCAATCTTCATCCGAGACAAAAGACCGAAACGGCTTCAATCGCCGGGTTATTCGCCCCCGAGGATTGAATGCTACGACTGCAGAAAGCGAGGCTGCAATCGTCAGCTTGACCACTTCCTCCCATGGCTCAAGCGTTTCCGCTTATCCACTTCAACATGTCGAGCTCAATCTCTTGACAGCTCCGGTTGTGCAGGACTGTGACAGCGGAAACGGAGAACCCGTCACCCAAGATTGTTCTTGTTCCACGAAACAATTAGCTGCTCAGGCGATAAGCGATGCCATCACAATGGTGCAGGCGGTCCAGGAAGTCTGGAACGATGTTGTGAATCAGCCGATCCTAGAGCGATACATGGGTGCAGCTGGACCACCGTCGTGTCTGACTTCAGAGGCTTCAACCTTGATTAACGGTGAGTTTCTCAAGCAGGTGGCAGGATGTGGGCACTCATCGCGAACAGCAACCCTGGCAAACCTAGCCAAAGTACAAGAATACCAATGGCTACCATACGACACCCGCTGGCTAAATGACTATTCGGGCAGCCATTCCCAACCTTTTGTCTATTGTGCAACTGGTGTCCCGCCTCCGCAATCCGCTGTCACGGTGGAGTGCCAGGAGAATGGCCCCATTGGTTGGGCATACACTTCGCACAGTGAAGCGGTATGTCAGCCTTCACTCCGAACTCCTTTTACCTAAATTGAATCCAATGTGCTCTGGACAGGGTTATTCCTCTTTCATTGGATTCTGCAACAATACTTTGGCGCAGCAAGACTTCATCTCCAGGGCTGCGATGCTCGAACAGCTAAAAGCCGGTCAAGTAAGCCTGTCAGACGAGCGGCTAGGTGCGAATTACGGAAGAGCCGCTTTAAGTCTACTCGTGCAGCTTGTACCTTTAATCAATAGCCAGAGTGCAAGTATGGAGATCTTTCGTCCGATCCCTTATTTGAGACTAACCGCTGACATCCTCAACCTTCAGTACAGTTATTCGGCTATGAAAATGTTCTACTCTTGGCTGCGGATGACGGCTGCAACCCAAATACACGTAATTTCATAAGCCTGAACAATGGTATGAGCTTCAACGACCGCCGTCACCGCAAACCACACATACTAATCTGGCTTCTTTAGCGGATAACTGGGCGCTGTGGATCACCAGTAAGCGGTCCGCCTTCCTCACACTCCCAATTCAGAACTAACCCATCCCCCTTTTTTAGCTCTATACTTTACCATTGAAACGAATTCGACTCCCACCACCCCTCTCCTCCCAGTAGCCAGCTCCAACTGCAACGGCCATGACTCCTTCTGCAAAAGTTTCGTTTCGCCGGGGGACTGCCAGACCGCCGCCAGCAGATACGGCAACGACACCATGTACTCGCAGTACACTTCCCATTGGTTCAACTCTGAAGATTGGGAAGGGTGCACCGCCATCTTCCAGTGTGCGAACGGGTACCCGGCTGGCGGGATCTCGGGCGCCGAGATACAGGACTACTTCGCGGAGATCTACACCTCGACCGCGGATGGGGGTGCGGGTTGTGGGAAATGTGGGAGCGTATATTTGAGCAATGGGTGCGAGTTCACGTTCAATGAGTGCGGTTATCTGAGTTGTCAGACTTGTAACGGGAAGGATTGCACTCATCCATGAGGCTTCGACTCTGTCCTTTATATAGATTTCGAAGAAGAACTGGCTGATGAGAACGATATTATCCTAATAGATCAGATAACACCGCAGACGTCACGTCCCAGGCCAAAGTAGGCGGGATCGCCAGTAAACGTCTCCGATCCCAAACGAGTTTCCGATGGTGTAATGTAGAGCTCAATAGTACACTCCAAAGGGTGCAGCATACCTAGACGTTCGGCTCAAGTGGATAGCGAGTTCAAGCGCAATGGCTAGGATGACTACAAAAGCTACATGAATAGCATTGGGACTAATCTCCCATTCACGCCAAAACATCTTTGATGGGCATCCATGATGCAGTCGAAAAGTTCCAAAGCACGTCGTCGAACATCCTGAGCCCCTTTAGCACTTGTAACGCTGCTATTCTCCACGATGACGACCGTCGGTACGCTATCCAAGCAGCGCGAGTTTCTCTCTGTCAGGCTAGACTCTTCAGAAAGGTGCATAACCGCCAAGACCCCGGCGCACAGACCTCAGGCGCCGAAGTGATTGGATGCTCTTGCTGTGATAGAATGGCAAAAGAACAAGCCAGCTGGGAGATTTTACGAAAGATGGGCATTACTCTCGGAATATAGAAAGACGTTTAGAGATACGTGTATGAAATGATAGACGACGACTCTGGCAGTATGGTACCTGTACGCGCCGACTTCAAATAGCAAACGCAGAAGCGAGGTAACTGAGTGGCTACTTGTTGATTCTACTTCAATATCAAGCAATGACTGGAATGTCGCTGCTAAACTGACTAACTTGATAATGACCAATTGTATGGATCGCAAAAATGAGGCGAATTTAGCAGTGACGAAGTCATCATATGGCTCATGCCCCACCACCGTATCTCTGAAGTTGGGCTTGATCCAATATTGTCATGTCCTCTAACAAGACCTATCCATTCTCGTACGTTTTAGCCGCTACTAAGCATCTGAGAGTCGTCGATTCCACCTAGTTCACAAGACTGTCTTCAGAATCACCCATTAATCTTAGAGGGGCTGCGAGGTCCCAATCAGAACGCCTGTCTTTCAAATGAAGCGGCAATTCGCTGTAACTCTGCAGAGTCTGGCTTGTTATAAGCTCTGATCTGCTTCTTCCCGGCTTTGAGATAGCTCTGAAGTGCGACAATTGGTTGCAACGCTGGCTTCTGAAAGAGCACAGCTTCATGATGGTCGTTTACACTGTTCCGCAGGCTCGCCTCATGTAGCTGCTTAAAAGCGATACCGAGCGCAGGGTTTTCAATCTTTCGTGATCGGTCGACAGCTGACTCGAATATTTGCTGTAGTGGTGTTTGCCCGACACCAGTGCGTGAGGTTGAGGTTTCGAGAGGTGCTGCTTGTGTTGAAGCTGCCTTAGCCGTTGTAGTCTTTGCACTACCCTTTGGGTTGTAGTCGGCATCCTGGTATGCTGGGCTTCTTCCTAGCTTGTGACTTTGGTTCCATTACCTCAAACGTACTCGCCGAAAGTGTGCCGGGTTATCATCAAGTTCCTCGTCTTCAGTCCACTGTCGTTTCCGCTGAGGTGGCGTTGGCAGCTGTGTATCTTGCGCAACGACCTTGGGCTCAATCATACTCATGGGTTTGGGTTCGGTCGTGGTCTTCTCCAAGACTTGTTGGTACCACATTTTGCACCTGGGACTACGAGAATAAGCAATCTGACATACAGTGCGAATCCATAACATTACCATTGCACCTGTGAGTCAAGTTCTTCCTCCGTTTCAGAAGTGACTAGGTGACATCCAGGACAAGAGCTAAGACGTCCGAATTTGCCGTCGAAGATCATACTCATGTTAATACGCTGACCACGTAGGAATCATCGGTTCAAAGCAAGGGAACGCTCGACGTCCCTTTTCCATGAACTGGCCTGGAGTGCATACTCTCCTTGCCTTATCTTTCGATGGCCTGGTAATTGTCGAAAGCGAACTTCGAGGACGGCTTCGAAAGCCTAGGAAGTATGTATTAGACTTCTTGATATACAGGACCGAGGGTATTTTCCAACTTACTTCCCAGGAATCGAGGAATTCTAGGTGTACGGCAGTCACTCGGCCTAAAGCGTCTTCGAGAGTTGCCGGCTCTTGTGTCCAGCATCGCTCGAGTTGAGCTGGAATACTAGTCTGCAGGGATATCACAGCTTTGTAAGTCAAGAAATTGACTTTCCTGCGCAGCGTTCGATTTTCAGCTAATGTATGTGTCTCATAGCAGGGTTTATGCTCAAGACTTACCATATCTTTTGCATGAATGAGAGAATGTCAGCTCCAAGGTTCTTTAAGTAATCCCTATAGAAAAATTTCAGTTTTGGATAAACGGTGATCTATAATTACGTACATGTCAAACCTTAAGCCCAAGTCCTTGGTCTCAGATGCCGCTGCCTTGATCAAAGCGTTGTTTTCCTCTAAGCGACTTTTGATCTCAGCCAATTCGTAGGCTTGAGTAGCTGACGACTTTGCATGGGATAGCTCGGACTGCTTCGAACTTGTTTGTACATTTTCGTCGTTCATTTTGGCGAGAGTACTGTTCACCTTGATAAAGGCCACGACGAGGGTATGACTTGGGGATACGAACACGCCAGTCGTCGTCAGCAGCATATTGATAGAGAAGCAATGCGCATTGATCTCAGCTCTGAATTTGGCGAGGTCGTCCTTCGAAACCTGCCATCGAATTTTCATAGCTATATCTCTGATGAAGCTGTCTGAACCTCCGGATTGTAGACTCTTCTCGAACTTCTTTATCTGCTCGTGAAACTTCACAATGCAATTCCGACATTGCTCTACACATTCATTGACGGTAACCCTCAACGCCCTCAAATGGACCGTCTGTTCCCAGGATTGAAATAGCACTTCGACTTCGAGCAACGCGTGGTCAACGCCCCATAATTCGCGAATCACAGCCTGGTACTCTGCTGGAGAGCCGTGGCTGTTATCGAGGGATCGCACAAGGTCTTCGATAAGAATAGAGAGCGAGATGATATCGCCAACGGAGCTGAATGTGATTGGAATTCTTCATGAGAACAGCTTGGAGTGATTCGGAAGTTGTAGAGAACAAATTCGCGCAAGGCTGCGAGGCGGCTGCCATTGTCGTGGGCTTATTATGCAGGCTCATGCGGGGTTAATGCAAGATTACAACATACGCCATTGAATTTTTAACTCGCAATCGCCCGAAGTCAGCTTCGAAAGTGATACATCAACGAAAGATAAACCACGAGCGCCTTCGCTCCACACACAGTGAAGAATCCACACCATACGAAGGTCTGTATCTCAAGTCCTACACGGCGCTAGTAGTAGCCCTAACCCTAAGATTAGCCCTGTAGCAGGCGGTCGCTAGACTACCGAAGCAGATCTCCGGCGGGGGCGTTACCCGAACTTTTTATGGCAAGAGTCTTGGCGTGTGCAGGACCTTTATAAACGAGGCCATATATTCTCAGGAACAAGTCGGCCTTTACGTGCGTTTTGAGCCCGCGAAATAGTGGCTCCAAAGACGCCTCGGAGCCTTGCCTTGAGCCGATATAACGTGAAAGTCCACGCTTGCAGAAGCAGAACCTCTGTTACCCGTTCCGCAAGATACATTCCGAGCGCCGTCGCTCCACAAACGCTCCCACTCCCCACATCCATCATAGCCAGCACTCTCGCATTTCTATCCGATGCGATACGACGACGCGACCTGAAGCTAATCTCCCGACAACAAAACACCTATCAACGCACACAGGCGACGACCAAAACAGTCGTCTACGTAGTCATACCGTCCGCACGCCAGGGGGCTACCTCGCCGTGCATATCCCCATCATTCCGGCGCCAAGAAAACGCTCCCACGCACATGCGGCAAGGTTTCAGAGTGGACAAACGGTGGGGAAGTGGACAACCGGACAATAATGCTAGGGCTGGTGTGGAACGACTATCACATATTTATATCTTCAAAGATTCTACATAATGTCGGTCCTCTTGGTTTGTGGCATGAACCTACTTGGTCACTAGGGGACCCACTAAGCCATGCTGCTGGGCTTCTTCATATCCTAGGGATGGAAGCGTCACAGTTCAGGGTTGGCGCTCTACCTTGCTATTATTCCACATCAGTGGGATTACGGCACGTTAAGATGGATGGATTTCAGTGAGACAGTAGGATTGTATTTCTCTCACGGGGTCAATCTCGGCATCCTTTTTGAAGAGCCGTGACTGCAACGCCATTGTTCCAAGTCATCTTGATCGTTAAAGTCTCTACAGCTCTAATCATACAGTCATTCAATACCAGGGAAAAAGAACCGACAGAGGCAGACAAGCATGCCCACCAAACAGACAGCCGGTGTTGCGCGCCCTCCATCCCAGCCGCCCGAGTTTTCCATCCTGACCTGAGAGCACGTCTCCGCTAACAGACGAATAAATACAATATAGACATATGTTACTGCGCAACGTCGATGGCAAGATCAGACATTCGAGACGTTGAAATCCACCGTCTTCGTGATGCCCATCACCCTCTCATCGCTATCATCATCACTAGTCCTGCCCCTCGTAGCCGTGGCCTGGGCCGTAGACAGGGGGATCGCGTCGCCCCAAGGGTCGATGACTTTCGATTTCCGATTCGGCGGAGCGTTGTTGAAGATGCCGTGCGTCTTGTCGAACTTGTTGCCGTCGGCGTCGTAGTGACTGCCGGTCGCCTTGTCGATTTCGTGGAACTCGCTGTACTGCCGGCTCCGGCTGGCCGTGTCGTTGCTGCTTTCACCCGTGCAGTAGCGGTATAGCTTCAGGGCTGGGGCACGGAGGGCGGGGAGACAGGCGCAGATGATGCCCGTGCCTCCTTCGATTTCGGCCCAGATGGTGGCGTTGACCGAGCCCCCTTGGTAGAAGTTAGCAGACATGATAGGGTAGGTCATGACGACGGGGGCGGAGGGCCGGGTTGCATACAGGTTGGTTCTTTTGATTTTGCAGATGCTCGGAGTGAGACTATTCTCATGATGCTCGTGAAGACCACGAACCATCCCAAAAGAAACACAGCCGCCAGGGACACTTTTTGCGTCCATTTAAGTTGCAGCCTCCAGATCGCCTGCATCGGCATAATGATGATGATGAGATCGCATATCGTATTGAATGCAGCATACGCATACCAGGATGCACCAAGGTTGAAACAACTCCCAGGTATCCGTCTGTCCCAGACTCTATGTATGGGGTTGCATTCAAAAACTGAGGCAATGGCGAATGCGAAGGATCCGACAAATATTATGCCCGCGAGGACTTGTGCGAATCTTTTCAGATTCCATTGGACGAATATTCGGAGATACAGGAAGATGATGGCGAGTTTTGTGAAGGCGACGAGAAACTTGTATACAATTTGGCAGCCGTACCAGAACTGCAGGATTTTTTAGCTATGATCTGGGCGGCAACCCGGGAGTAGGTCCGTACCATGATCGCCCTTTTGAGATCATTTGGGGGGAGATCGATAGCATGGTGCCCGAAGCCATATTGTACAGCTATTCTCATATCAGATGCCATTAACATTAGATGATGATTGTCAACTTACTAGCAAGACCAAGACCTGTGTGGATCCAGTCCGCGAGCTGAGACTTTGTTAACGGAGGCCCACCAGCACAATCCAGCTTAAGCACTGACAATTGCAAGACCTATGAAGAGGTCATCCAGCCCCAGACCCTTTGGCTGATGGTACTTCCACCCCAGTCGTACAGCAACAATGACTGTCGCAGGCACCACCATCCCAATATACACTGCGTTCAATTGAGGTCCTCGATTAGGTACCCCTGTTGGTATGTTGTGCAGAGCCGGGTTTGGCATCCCCAAAGGGAGTGCCGGCGACGACATTGTAGTGGTTGTTTACTTGAGATTGTGCGTAGGCCTGTTTTCGATGGTATGGTCGATTTGGGCCGGTTTTCGTTGAAGGTTCGTTCTGAGACGAAGTTCGAGGTTCACAAGCTCTTACCACAAATGGCGACGAAGGTCCCAAGTACACCAATGAACCTTCTCTTTTCCGTGCCAAAGCCTGCTTACTGGATCAAAGGCAAAGTGTGCAGTTGAAGACGGGAAGAGTTTCCAACACGCAGCATTCGTCCCAAAATTCTGACGTTTTCCGGCGGGCGGACGGGCTTATGGTCAGCTATCACATCGAACATGGATCACACGTTAGTTTGCGCCATGTGGTTCCTGATCTTCAAAAGCAACGAAGGCGGGACGGACCTAACGCACAGTAGAGTTCCTTTGCAAGGTTCCTCGTGCCGACTACGCCACATGCAGGGCATGAAGCAAAAAGCCAGCGGCGAATCAGATGCTGCAGGCCTGGAGTCATCCGGGTTTCCGGAGTATGCCGGCTAGGGCCCATGTTATCCTGACGAATGATAACCTTTCATGAACTATTTGTGAAAAGTCTCGGACGGAAGCTTCGAAGAGAATTCCGCTGGTGAACTACGGGAACTCTGAGAACCCATGATTGGAAGTTGGCGACACTTTTGTTGTGTATGCGACCCGTCTCTCTATCTTTCCATTCCGCCCACGTTTCTCACTTTGGTTTCTAAAAAGATGTTTTCCGAAACCTCAAGAGGATGGGCTACGCATGAGTACCCCGTCTGTGCTTCTGCCCAGCTGCCATACAGCCATCCTCTGACCGGATTATTATGCTTCCGTAGACTGCCTTGCTATCTAGGGATGTTAGTCGCAGCGTGAAACGTGGAATTACGTATTTAGAGGAGAAGTCAAATTGATGAAATTGCGTAATGTGGAAGTGTAATATTGGAAGTATGAGCGAGTGAAAATGATTGGATGACCGAGATAACCTCCGGGAGCACCTCGGGACAGACTCTCAATCCTGAAAGCCGGGCCCCCCCACAGTGTTGCTTATCTGAGCCAATCCAATTTGTCCCTATAACACCACTCACGTCATTGCATGTCTCCAATTCTTTATTTCCACCTTCCTATTGGCGACCCGTCCATCTACCCCAAGTTCTAGGATATAGCTTGGATGCCAGGATACGCCTTGCACTCGTAGCTCCAGCAGGACATCATAGCGCTAAGCCACCAACCCACAGGCAGGAAATGCCGTCCGGATAGATCGCCTTGCCCCTTTTCTGATCGCGTCCATGTAGAGAAAGGTGAACAAACCCCTGAGGGCTTCAGATGGGCTCTATAGACTCCTGTGAACAGTACAAAGCAAGCCATAGAAAAATACATATCCTTAATCACAAATCGCGGTGAAATCCGGGCTGCCCCATCGCTTTCCGCCACTTTTCGCCCACGAATATTAATGCAAGCACAGGTAGCGACACCGCGAAATTGATAAACGCAAACGTGATCCAGGCGTTTTGGAAGCCAACCTTGGTGCCTAGCTTGACTGCGTAAAATCCGACGCCGAAACCAAAGATCTGACGGCCAAAATTAAGCAATGAGCCGATCTCCGCTGCTTGCTGTCTGTAGCACTGTAATGACTGTCAGCACACATCGCAGAAGGTAAATAAACCAGAAAATGAGAAAGGGCTCACCTCGGCGGTATAAGTATACACAACGGTCGTCGCAATCTGCAGCCCAAAACTCGCAATCGCAATCCCAAAGCCCGTACCAGTCGCATGCAACTTATGCGTCAAGCAAACACCCTCAATAATGATGCCCAACGGTAAGAGCACAATAGCTGGAAATAGCGCCAACAGCCTGTCCTCAGGCTTCCTGACTCCGCTCCGAGCCAAGGCGCGCTTCTCACTGATCCAATCCGACAGCCCACCAGCCACCAACTCTCCAACAACACTGCCCACCGTCAACGGAACACCCAGTAGCACGCCTGTTTGGTAAGGCTTGTATTTGTAGACCTTCAAGAATATGTTGGCCGAGGTGATAATGAACAAGATGCTGCCGTAGCCAAAGGAGACGGAGTAATAAAGCGTCGGGAGCAGGACGCTTGGGTACATGAGCATCTGGATTGGGCGGAAGAAGTCGATGAGTTTGAGAGACCGTGTCGAATGGGCTCTTCCGCGCATGGTCATATTCTCCATCCATGATCCGTAGGGTCTTTGGGCGCGTTCGGCGGAGTGCGAGTATAAAGTCTCCGGGACCGTAAGGATGAAGAGAGGCAACATGAATGCCGTAATGATTGCAGGAATGTAGAAACACCAATGCCACGTAAGGGTATTTTTGACAATGTAGCCTCCAGCAATCGGCGCGATATGCCCACCCGTAATCAGCGACAGTGTATAGATTCCCATATAGAAGCCTCTTTGATGTTCAAAGAACAGATCCGTGACGGTTGCACTCCCCAAGCCGAGCGCAACGCCGCCAAAGAATCCATTCAAGGCGCGAAAGGCGATCAACTCGCCGTACGTGCGGGAAGCGCCGGAGGCAGCCGAGGTTGCAATGGCGATCGAGATGCTGATGATGTAGATGGGACGCCGGCCGTAAACGTTGGCGATTGGGTTCCAGAAGAGCGATGAGGCGCCCACGAAGGCAATAAAAACGCTGGTTACGTAGGCCGTTTCGGTTAGGTCTTTGTGGAGGGATACGGAGAGGGGGACGAAGGCGGGTGTCTGGCATTGCTCGAGTCAGCTTCGAATCCATGCTGCACTGCTGATTCTAAGTGAGTACTCACAATTAAAGAAGCGCTGAAAAGAGCAAGGAATGCCAGCAGCGACACTTGCAACAGAACCAGAATTTTGAGCCACAAACTCCAATTTAATGGGTCTAGAGGGTCGGAAGTGGGCTGAGGCACCAATGGCATGCCTCTTTTATCGAGCTTGACTTCTGCTGCTTGCGACGAATTGGAGTGGACATGCTTGCTCTCGCTATCAATGCTGCTAATTTCGACATCTTTTCGAGAATGGCCAAACGCCATGATGGCGCAGGGATTAGTATCTACAGTCTCGGCTTTGATTACTGTAAAGAAAGAATAATGTCAAGTCGCAAAAGAAAGACTTAAGAAAACTAAACGGTGTTTTTGTAGAAGAACGAAGAACAAAAAAATAGAAGATCTCGAAGGTTTGGAAAGAGACACGGGTAAAGATGGCGGCCAGAGCAACAAACCGTACCGTAGGCGACTACTGTGGTGGGAAGTGGGAACGCCTAAGCGTCACCAACTCACGCCTCGCTTAATCTTATCATCTCGTGCAGGCGGGCTGAAACTCCACTTGTTATGCATTTCCCCACGTGAGTTTCTGGTAGATCTCGGTAACTGGGTTGCGGCGAATTTACCGGCTTATAGCTTCGGGTTCATCACGAATACGAATGTCCCAATCCTGCCAACCATCGACCACATCTTCAAGATTCCAGTAACGCAAGATGTCCAGGAAACAGTAAGAGGAGCCCCTAGAAAGATACGAACGAGTAGACAATGGGATCCAAGTCAGAAGATCTCTTCCGTATCGCCATCATTGGCGGCGGCATCGGCGGTCTCTTCGCTGCCCTCTCCCTTGACCATCACTGTAAAAATGACAACATAGCCATTGATGTATACGAGCAAGCATCCCAGTACTCAGAAATTGGCGCAGGTGTCGGCATCGGTGTCAATGCAGCCAAACTCCTGCACCGAATTGGTTTAGGAGATGCCATGAACAACATCGCCGGAGACCGAAAGGGAGTATGGATCTCTTTCCGCAGATATGATAACGGAGGCGACATTGTGACTGTGCCGTCACCGTCCAATGATCAGCAGAAGATCAGGCAGCTGCCTGTGCACCGGGCCGAGTTTCTCGAAGTGTTGCTTAATGCGGTGAGGGAGAGGGGGGCGGCGACGTTACATACGAAGAAGATATGTAGAAAAGTCGAAGTCAGTATCGACCCCTCCTTCAAGCGGCGGAGAGCTGAACATTGTAGGAAGAAGGCGAGGTCGCGCGCATACATTTCCAAGACGGCACAACCGCAACAGCCAATCTCGTCGTGGGGTGCGATGGCATCCACTCGAGCCTCCGCGCGCAATTCGCACCCGAGAATCCCACCTATAGCGGCAGGATAGCCTATCGAGGCTTGGTGCCGACTTCCAAGATTGAAGCATGGTGGCCCTTTCAGACGTACTCCGTCAGCTGGCTGTGCAAGGACAAGCATTTTTTCGTCTTCCCCATCAGCCAGAACCGAACCCTAAATATCGTTGCTTTCGTATCAACACCTGAAGGAAAGCTGGGCGGACTGAGAGAAAGCTGGACTTCGACTGGGGAGAGAAGTCAGCTAGCGAGAGATTTTGAGGACTTTGAAGAGACGGTGAGGAGGGTGATCGGATGTATGGATGGGAAGCCCTCGAAATGGATTCTGAACGACCGAGAACCGTTGGAGCAATGGGTCTGGGCTAGCGGCAAGGTTGTGTTGATGGGAGATGCGGCTCACGCCATGTTACCACATCAAGGTAAGCTCGACCGTCAGGCTTGGGCCTCGCGGCTAAAGTGCATTCAGGAGCCGGAGCCGGCCAAGCAATCGAAGATGGCTACATCCTCGGCCGCGCCCTGCACGACTGCCTCAGCTCACGAGGTGACGTGCAAAAGTGGGCCAATCTCTACCAAGACGTCCGACTCCCACGAGCACAGAAAGCGCAGCGAACAGCCAGAGAAGCGGGCGATGTCTACGAGATGCAGGCAGAAGGGTTGAAAGGTGTGGACTACGACGCTTGTCTACCCAAGGTGAGAGACAGGTTGAAAGATCGGATGAAGTGGGTTTGGTCTGAAGAGATTGATGAGGCCTACGAGAGCGAGAAGGCTAAGATGGCCCGATGAAAGAGTAGGCTTCGACTTCTGGCGGGTACCGCTCTAGTACAGCTAGGTATGGGAGTGTGTACCATCTCAATCATCAGCATTGCACAACAAGTGGTCACGATACGCATCACACATCTCAAATCGACCATGCAGGCCTGCGCTAATCTGCCTTAGCGGCGCCATCCCTACTCCTGTGACAAGCCGCCAATGCTGCCGAAAAAGTCCAAATCATTCCTCCACAGCGTGCATGGACCCGGGAAGCCCTGTGCGCATGGAGAGACCGCCGTGGTTGGTCGAACTCGCGGTTCTTGCATTCTTGGCGTTCCCAATGTCTCACATTCTGCCTGATGGAATGTTGGGAGCATAACCTTCATTTACCTCGAGCGCGCCCCTTTTCTTCCTCCTCTGTCGGTCGGTATCCTTTGCCATCAAGACAACCTCTCCCTTCTAAAAAAGAAAAAGGAAAAGGAAAAAAATCCATCAGCAGCCAAAGCCATGCATCTCTCCAACATCGTCCCTTCTCTCCTACTCGCCTCCCTAATCTCCGCCAAGCCTATCCTACTACCCTCAATCACCGTCCCAGTCTCCGGTTCCACTCCCGTCACCGTCCCCGCCGGCCACCCGTCAAGCCTGACCGCATCAATCCAATCAGTATTGCAGGCCCTTACCGGTGATTCTGGTATCCCAACTGGTTCCGCGAAGCCTCCCGAGCTCCTGTCACTCAGTATCGAAGATGTCGGGGTCTCGGTGCCGACTCTAACGTCACTTTCCGTGCCTTCAGTCAGTCTTGGTTCGCTTAGCTTTCCTTCTGTCAGCTCGGTCTCGTTTGGTCTTCCTTCGGTGACCAGTCCCGATTCAATCCTCCCATCACCCAGTTTGCCCTTGCCCGCAATGACCGGACCCCCTCGATTCGCCATCCCGGCCCCCATCATGGACTCGATGCCTACGCCTCCATCGGCCGTCGATTCCTTTGGTCTTCCACTCATCACGTTTCCCGCGACACCCAACGGGTTTCCGATCTTCGATATTCCCACGAATAAGGTGGAGAGCGTCACGTCGACAGGTTTACCTGCGATAGGTGCATCATCCGTGACGAGTTCGTTTCCTGTTCTTGGTATCTCGGAACCCACTATTGGCTTGCCGCACTTGGCTGTTCCCTTATTCACTGTTCCATCTGTGGCGGTTCCATCCCTGACTATTCCGTCTCCCAGCCTCAACATCTCCAAGCCCACCATTGGGCTTCCATCTTTCAGCATCCCTTCGAACGGCATGCCATCATTAGGCTTTTCGCTCCCAACTCCGTTTCCCTTCAAAGGCTTCAACGGCAGCGCTCCAACCTTTACTCCAATTCCAGTCGCCATCCCCGTCCCGACCCTTGAGCCCGAGGGACTCCCGTCACCAAGCACCCCCTGGGCTAGAATTCCCGGACCCGCGGGCGTCAACAGGTCGGCCCCATTTCCGGCGAATAACACCTTAAGCGTCGGGTCGTTCCCCACATATCCGGCGCCAAGCTTTCCATCAATAAGTCTTCCGAACCTAAACGTCTCAACAGCAATCCCAACTCTCAGCACCCCCACCCTTCCCACAATCACAATCCCCACCGCCCTAATCCCCACACTGACCCTTTCCCCCACCATCCCACCCCTCGCGCCCCCCACCTACGACCCCGCCGCCCTCGTCGCCAACGCGACCAAAGCGATCGAAGTCCTCGAGATCCTGATCGACGTGGCGAAAGCGGACGGCGGGGTCAACGCGGTGACGGTGCCGGGAGTGGGGGTCGGGGTCGGGAGCAATGACGCGCTGGTGCAGACGCTGCTGGCGGCATTTTTCCCGCTGTTGAGCGAGTTTGTCGAGGCGGGGTGAGGGGGGTGAGAAGAGGGGGGGGATGGTGGGGGAGGAACGGGCGGATGAGTGAGACGATTTGGTAGTGCGATGGTTTTGCTCTTTGGAGAGATATTGTTGTTGATGAAGAAATGATGGAAACGACTGTTCGTAGTATGATTGTTGCGTGAAATGACTGCGACTAATTTAGATAGCGATATGTTTCAGGTATGAGAATATGATGTTCGCGCGCGATCAGAGATCTATGATGCGAAGGAGAGAGAGTCAATCTATCTGTCTGAAAGAAAACAACTGCGGTATAAGTACTGTATTTGAGTCGAATGAAGGCCAATAGCCGTAGATCAAACACTTTCTTCGTGAAGAACTGCCACAGCTTTCATCACGACTTCTTAGCGTTTGCACAGGTTGTAACGCCCACAGCCTGCCACTAAGGTAGAGACAGGACACATCGGCTGCGGTGTTCTGTTGGAAATTGCGAAGTTTCTTGTTGTGGGTTGGTCCCCATGTTGTCTCGTGTTGACCAAGTATGAGTTAACGTAGATATCACGACTGGAACGAGAACAGGCGCGACCGTTGCGCTCCATATACTGTCACCCTAAACAGATGGATCAGCTCATGCAACTCTGTGTAAGCCCATTATGGCCTAGTCACGTCTCCACTATGTAGACTTAGTTTCTAGAGCACTATCAGACATCAGGCGATTTTGAGCGTTTTCGACGACGAGATGCACATTCAGAAGAGTCATGGTCTTTCATCTTCGCTTCTCAGCTCCTCCACCACTTTACCATACTTCGACACGTATTCACCAGCATTCAAACGTCCAATGATTCCATGTGCGACCATAGGACTGGCTAAACGAGACCTGTGGTTAAGTAATATACGCCACCAAGCCCCAGATCTGAACATCCAAGACGTATGCCCGTTTGAAACAAGCCAAGTGAGTAATGCAACCCGCACCGCCAGTGTGAACTGCGTTTTTCCGTCATAAGGCTCGTCAAGGGTTCTTTTTCGCCACTTGAGATAGCTATTTACTTGTTCGATCACGAACCACGAGCCTCCTGTAACAGCTAGTGTGACCGCCGCGGTGGTGATAAACAGAGAAAAGTGTTGTCCGCTTCCATTGAGCTGCTGAAGATTCATGCCAAAGATTGAGGTTGCAAGATTAAGAGGAACATAGACGAAAGCGAGTATGGTGACTAGGAGGGGTATTGTATCAGTGTTCCGTAGACTCGACCTTGGATGTGACTCTTACAAATTCTCACTATAATCATTAGCCAGTCATCCCCACCGTTCCGGGGATTTGCACTGACCTCGTTTTCCCTCCTCAATTTGGATATTGGAAAGCTCGATAGACCTTCTAGACTCCTGTAATGCCAATTCTCCAATCTGGAGTTGCAGGAAGTTACGGATCTCGATCTCCAAGCGATGTGCTTCGAAATGGGTTTGCTGGATCTCATCCTCCACCATCGCAGATGATTTGTTTTGCGGTACATCATTTGGTTGTTGCGAACGAGTGAATCTTCGGAACTGCTCGAAACCGTCCTCTGAGTCTTCAATCATTCGCCGTAGATCAAGCCGCATATGGAACAAACCTTCCAGTGTTGTTTCGTTTCCTTGCCAGCGCACTAGATTCTTCCGGGGAGTAACAAACTTGGAGTACCCTTCTCGAACCAAGCAACATTTTTCGCGTGTTCTAAAGGTACTCCAACGCAGCAAGGGAGCCAGCGACCTGAATGACAGATCCGTAATATTTTCCTTTGATCCTCTCCCCTTTTCAAGATCAGACTGTAGAACACGAACATACTCCTGCATCCATGTTGGTAGTTTCTCCATAGCATTGGAGATGCGTCCCACGGCCGGATTCTGAAAGGGTTTTTATTTTTTTTTTTTTTTTTTTTTTGTTTTTTTTTTCAAAACCCCCCCCTAAATTAAAAAAAAAAAACCCTTTCCCCCCCCCCACACTTACTTCATCGAACCTTTTTCCGATGGAAAAGGGGTCCCTCACATTGCCAAGGATCAAGATAACGGGTGTGGCATCCGCATTCGCAGGGAGATAATGACGGGCTATGGTCACGACATACTGGCCTATAATGACATGCTCGGGTGCAAGCCTTCGGTTATCAACTTGTGCCACTGGATCTTCTGGCGGTTGCAAAGACTCGTATCTGGAGAAATAAGCTTGGAAAAAGCCCGGTTGGATCCTTAATCCTAGTCCAAGTGCATTCACCATTTCTCCATCGAGTTGAGAAGCTTCACACAGCACAATACGAGCGGCTGCTGTATCTGGCGGTTGACGTAGAGCTGAAAGGATTACTGACGCAGATGAATTGCTGCAATGCAAACTCATTCTAGTACGGGACTGGATTCCATCAGATAGATTGAAAATGACGCAAGTCGGGTACCATTTCCTACTTCCTGTCCAGTTGTAACCTTGGACTTGTTTTTTCAACCACTTCAAATCCGGATGTCTTTCCTCGTAAGCTTCTAAATAAGCAGCATATGAGGCGTAACCTGTCTCAGTCTTTAGGTCTTCCCAGAGACGAGCACTTCCATCTGGACTGATTTCGTTCAGCGAACCGTGTTCCTCGCGTTGAGATTCCTGATACACTCCGTTTCGGGCCTCTTCATTTGATAGGTTTCTACCAGGAAAAACAGCCAGCTCGTTACCATCACTGTCCTCTCGACGACTGGAACCCGTGGTTGGCATTACCGGCGTCCGCATTGGCTGTCTTTGATGGAATATTGATGACGGCTTATTATTTTTCTATGAAGTTTGTGTGCGACTTGTAGTACATGCCAAGCACGATAGGGCTGAAGTGCTGAATTCCAACAGTTTTCGGTGCCAGGACAATATGATCTAATCAAAGGATGTGTGTTGATTGAAACAGATGAACAATTGAGAGATGAGGTAAATGTAAGATTGATAAGAATGATGACGTGAGGCCACGTATTGGTTTTGGGGACGGTACGCTAGCCTTTTGAAGCTGCATGCGGCAAGGATGCAGCCTTGAGGCCAATATCCACAAAAACTGGCCAATGGCTTAGGATTCTCTTCTGGCGATGTTGCCATTATCTGACTTACACTACATTACAATAGTACTGGTCCAAGTTCCTGCGATCTTGGCCTCATCATTTCCAAAATATACCATGACCTGTGTGCAGGTTCTTAAAGTACGGATTATCAGGGTTCGAGGAATTTATCCTTTACAACCTAGGTCTCACCCTGTTGAGGATGCCTTTACTGTCTCCATGACGCAGTCTCGGAACCTCGGAAGCACTTGGTGACTGAGTACCAAGATACGTTGAGTTCTCATTGAGAGACCAGTCCAAGTTATGAAAGCATGTATTCGTTGCTCAAAGATACTCTGGGATCCATACTATCATACGTGTGAAACAGTCCGACTCCAACGCCCGAGACTAAAGAAAGACACTTAAATAATCCACGCCGTCGCACTCGTCAACAAACAAGCATTCATATCGCCAACCGCTTCACGATCCCCATCTCCCCCTCCTCTATGATGAGCAACTCCTTAGTCCTGATAATTGATCCCTCAATTAGGGGCTGTGGTATTGGTTTCAGCGCGAATGGTGATGCTTCTTAGGGTGCCCTTGAGAGTTGGACGATGACTTGTCTGCTCCTTTGGCGAGCTTTGGCGACAAGGTAGCATCTGGCTTTGGAGCAGGCAAAATTGCTGATATCTTGGGAGAAGGCTCCGCTGGGGTGTGAGTGACCTTTGGTTGATTGACAGCAGTCTTGGCCCCAGGATCTGGCAGCAGCGACGATGATGCGGAAGTTGAGGCGGGAACTGGGACCTTCAAGTGCTCTTTTGAGGCTGATTTGGAAGGGGTTAGTGTAGTTGGAGTCACCCCGGGACTATTACCAGCTGCGTCGGCTTCGGTGCTATGTGAAGGTTTTTGTGCGCTCAATGATGGGGTGACCGAAGGTACGATTGATGATGAACTAGTTGTTAACGAATTCAGAGACGTGCTCGACGAAGTAGACGAAATAAACGTTGATGAAGACTCGATTTCTGAAGATGTAGAAGATGTAGTGAGTGTCGATGTCATCGTGGAGCTTTCTGGCGTGGATGGAGACAGAATTGATGATAGTCCGACCTTCGAAGATGTGGAAGACGTACCGGGTGTCAAGGTCGGTTTTATTGTTGAGGTGGTCGAAGGTAACATTGATGAATCTGTGCTTGAAGATGTCGACATCGATTCTCCTGTCGAGAAGGTCGAATGTGCAATTGATGATGACTTCGTGCTCGAAGATGTGACAGATGTGGCGAGTGTCGACACCGGTCCTGTTTTTGGCGTGGTCGAAGGCAGGAGTGACGATGGCTCCGAGCTTGAGGTTGTGAGAGACGTAGCGAGTGTCGACGTCGGGTTTACTGTTGAGGTGGTCGAAGGGGTGATTGGTAATGACTCCGAGATTGAATTTGTGAGAGACGTCGTGAGTGTCGATGTCGGTTCTGTTGTTGACGTGGTCGATGTCATCCCATTATTTGATGAACTACCCGAACCAGGCCTTCCACTAGAGGAGGATGAATTGGTTTGAAGACCGGATTTTGACGGAATGCCTGTTGGTAGCGAAGGTACCCATGCTGAACGGAGTGCCCATCTGTCTCCTGGTGGCAGAATTGCCCATCTGCGTTCTAGCTCCCAGGTGGGGGATGCAGGTGCTGGGACCCCGGATGAAAATGCTGATACTGATGGTGCCGAAGGCAGCGTTGGTACCCTTGTTACGTTCTGTTCCGGCAGAAGTTCAGGGATGTTGAGCGGATAGCAGTGCGAATAGAGGTGCTTCGAGTCGCTAAACAGGGTCTTCGACCAAGAAGGCCCCTTGTCCAGCAACTTTGCGTCCATATCCAAGTCAACTTCGATACTGACCCTGCTGTCAATTTCGATCCCTGTCTTGGAAGCCCCGACACCTTGACTGCAGGCGCCCAGTTTGTCTGCACCGATTAGTCGATTTGGTTTCTGTCCCTGCGATGGGAAGGGGTAGATACTTACCATAATTTGCAGTCAGCGTCGTACTAATCTCCGGCAACTTGACCGTCACTGTGACAGTCACGGCACCAAGCTTGAACAAGTCGACTCCGAAATTGATCCCCAGCTGGGAAAAGGCGCTCAAAGTCACAGATGCCGATCCGTTTTTGATGTCAAACTTTGGTGTCAGCTGGCCTCCACTGAAGTTTGTCGCTGTACTCGCCCCAGAGTTGCTATAGTCTGCAACAATCTGCGCGCTATCTGGAACAGTAGCTTGAAGTCCGAAATCCACCGTTGCAGAACCGCTGAACGAGCCACTCGCGCCGACGGTATAGGTCAGGCTGGGACCTATTGTCATTATTTCGGGGATTGAGAACCCTAACTCGGGAATCGGGATACTAGGAAGCTCTTTGGTGAAATTTAGCGGAGTTGATTCATAATCGGCTGTTATACTTGCTTCGAACTCGAGGGTTGCGAGAACGGACTTGGGGGATGCAATAAGGATGAGGTCTCGAAGATTGAAATCAAGAACCTTGAAGCGCGTTAGGGGAGGTTTCTAGTAAGAAGGGGTAAAGTACCGAGAGATGACCCATGACTTCGAGGCTCCCAATCATGAAGCAGTTGGTACAATCAATGGTCAAGTCAGCCCTATATCCACGTTATCAAAGCGCCCAGGGTCAACGACTTGGCCAAAGTACTTACCCGGGATCAGTGTAGATAGTCGTTCGCTTATTTTGCTGTCCCGCAGATAATAGGAGGCTAGCATTCTTGGTCTCGTCAAGGTTTCCTTCGGTAGCGTTGAGGGCGTCGTTTCCAGCATTCTTAGCGTTATCCCACCAACTCCGGCCTTGGAGTTGCTGAGGCTGTCGGATTGGAATCGCATGGCCAAAATCGAGCTCGTACGAGCCACCAACGTCGGACCAGGGGACTGCTTGAGCAGCCAGAGATAGATTGAGCGTCGCAGTGTCGTCCGTGATATTGGAGATGCTTTCGACCCGGTAAGTATCAACCAAAGATACAAGAACATTTTGAACCATGAGAGTACTGACACATAAGGCTGCCTCTGACCACCAGGCCCACACCCATCTTTATTCGCAATGAGCAAAAACTTCCCATCATCCACCTTATTGACATAACCCCATTTCTCTCTAGCATACTCAAACGCATCGCTCGAACCGAACATCAAAGACAACACGCCCTCATCATCCCGACAGTCCACCTCGACATCCAGCTCCTCGAAGCGCTCAAGCAAGACGATCGGCAGACCGTCCGGGGCATGAAGCGTCATGTTGGCGAGGAGAAACCGGCCATCATCTGGTGCTGATCAGCCGCATACCCACAGTACAGCGAGGCATCAGGACTCACCTGCCGGGCTTCCGTACACGAGCTCCGAGTGATTCTGGGGGACCAAAACGGACAGATCGGTGGAATCGCGGCGCTGGAGTCCCACGGAAGCCTCGTAGTCGAGGATGTTGATAGGGCGCAGTGTGGTTCGTTGCTGGGGTGGGGGAGCTTGCGGCGGCGCATTCGAAGAGACGAGGACGGGTGAGATGAGAGCGAGCACGCTTAAGCTGGCAATGGGGATGTGATGCATGGCTTTGGAAGTCCAAGGTATGGTATTCGTTGTAGGCGTCAGGGAGAAGCAAGTCGGTACTTGTATGTGAAAAATGTTGATGAAGAGAGGTAGAGCGAGATAGGAAGTAGTGTGCTGTCTCATTTCATGGTAGGGAAAACGGTGTTTATATAAGTAATCTACTTTCAAGTCATGCTGATGGATCAAAAGAGTGTGGATGGCAACAAGAACATGTGCTCGGTACAGGACATAGCATTCCGAGTCAGTTTCAGCAGCTCATGTAGCTAGGCGTGCGGCTTGCTACCCTAGACTGCAAGAAACCATGATCAAAAGGCACAAAACAACAGGCAACGACTTCGGCTGCACACCCTCAAGAAGAGGGTAGCTGTCGCCAAAAAAAAAGGAGCACGAGTATAACACTGAGTACGACGGAGTAGGTCTTGGCAAGGCATTGCGCCGCACGCATAATTGCATTTCGTGGCTCAGTCCATGCAGTGACGTTATAGGGTGCAGATTTCTGTTTTCTAGCGTGATGCAAGAAGCATAAAAGTACGAGATAAAGCACAAGACCAATATCGAAGAGATAATTTAGAGGAATGCGGCGGAGGTCTGGGCGGAATGAAGGCTGAAGGCATAGGGAGACTTGTGGACGTTTCAGCACGATAATCTTCAGGTTGCACCAGCCTTGAGGTCGTGTTCGCATAGAACGCAGGAAAAGGTGGTGGCGAGGCGTGGAGACGCTGCTAGAGAAGGTGGTTGTTCAAGTCCGCGGGAGCTCAAAGAAGTCAGCACAAAGGGCGCGGGTTCTCACCGCTGAAACAATTTGGCTGGATTGCTTCTAAACATGATTTGGCACTGTTCTCGGCCTCATGCCTCGTGACTTTGGAGTTCTGAAGAACCAAGTAATCCAGACCGCTGATGACTTCTCTGAGCGCATTCAGGAGAAAGAAATGGGATCGCAAACACCTATTGATACCGTGATCAGTCAAAGACATCAGACATAAACCTCTCATTCCTCATCGCATGAAACCATTTCTCCGCCTCCTCCTCCGTCTTCGGCGTACCCTCCTCTTCGTTTGCCTGCATGTACATCTTCACCGACGCAGCCTTCACCCCGTCGGCAACCTTGCCACTGCCACACATGAACACTTTGGCCCCCGATCCGAAGTAGTGCAGTACATCCTTTCTATCAGCCCAGAAGCGATCTTGCACGTACTTCGCCCCTTGGCTGCTCTTCGGATCGCGGGAGTAGGCGTAGCGGACATCCACTGCCCCTTTCGATGCCCAAGCTGAGAGCTCGTCTGCATGAAGATCATCTTGGCCCGGTTTCTGGCATCCGACGAACAGTAGCGCTGGTGCGAGTTTCCGGCCAGCTTCAATTTGCAAAGCGCGCTCTTGAATGAAGCCTCGGAAGGGCGCAATACCGGTACCGGCACAGATCATGATCAACGGGGTCTCGGTGATGTTGGGGGGAAGATGGAAAGATTGATGGCTCTGCTTGACGTTGACGTGGATGTGGTCGCCTTCATGCAAGTTCGAGAGGTAGTTGGATGCGACACCGAGAAATCGTTTGCCGTCGCCTTGGAAGGACTCTACATCGAGGACACCCCATGTGAGAGTGCAGGATCCAACTTCAGCGAGGGGAGAGGATGAGATTGAGTACTGACGAAGCCGCAGCTGCGGGAGCATTGTGAGGAATGCGCCGAAGGGTATGTCGGCTTTCGGAAATCGCTCTAGTAGGTCTAATGGGCTGACTCGTTTCGCTGTAATCTCGGCATTGAATGCGTCACCCTTCAGTCGTTCAAGTTCCGCCTTAGTTGATTTGTCAGCGGTAAATTTGAGTATTGCCTCAATGTTCTAGAATCAGGATTAGCAGGACGAGAGCGCGGACTGAGTAGACAACCCACTCTTCGTGTCGCCGTTTGGCTGAGCTCCACATATGCGCTGAGCACGTCAAATACGGACATTGGCTGGCCAACAGGCAGATAAGATTCCCCGGACTTGACCGTGACAAAGGCATCCCAAGGGAGGCGGAAGCGCTTGATCACTCGTCGGACTACTGACGTGTGGTTGATCGGAAGGACTGCGAGGTAATCTCCAGCTCGGTATGTCATGTCTGTCGGAAGCTTCAATTCGATGTGTCGCTTTGGCGCTTCCGTCCCAGATCCAAGAAGCTCATTCTTCACGACAATAGCTTCCTTGACGTCTTGACGTAGATGAGAGGATCTTAGCGTAGTAGAGACTTCGATATCTAGGCCAGCCGTGTCGTCGGTCCCATCTTCGCTGCCAAAGGCCTTCTTGATGGTCGGCCAGAAGTTCTTGTCTTCCCACTTCTCGAAGTCGTTAAAGACGTCGTTGTTAGCAACATCTGCAGAACCACGCTCCAAGAGTCTCTTTGCGCCTCTCTTTTCCAACATAGTGTCTATCGAGGTCGGTATACGCTGGAATGTGTCTTTCCAGTCACCTGGACCATGAGTGTCAGACGTATTTTTGGAGACGTAGGGAACGCTTACGGTTGCCGCATCCGAAAACAGAGTATTGGACTCCCTTCAATGGCTCGCCATCAAGATTTTTGAGCCAGGTGAAAAAGAGGTTGGCGTTATCAGGAGGCTCCCCTTCGTAGCTAGCTGTGATGATGATGACGGGCTGATCCGTTGGTATATTGTCTGTAGACTCATCCAGCGGCTTGACTACTGCTTTGAATCCATGATTTACAGAAGATTGCGCTACCGTGTGGGCCAAGCTCTCGCAGGTACCCATGTTGCCGCCAAAGTAGATCGACATTGGTTTCTCAGATCCTTTGCTTTCAGCTTCCTTCGACGCATCAGATACCTGAGTAGCTTTCTGGCTCTCGCTGGTCATCATCGTTTCCAAGTGCAAAGGGTCAACGCCTTTCCGTAACGTCGCGTGCATGAATAGGTCCTTTGGCTTGATTGTGAGTGTCTGGTTGATTGCGAGTTTGTAGTTAGGATCATCCATACGGAAGTCAAAGTATTGGAGTAACATAGCAGCGGCTAACATAGCCTCTTGCCATGCAAAACCTCGACCAATGCACGCTCTTGAACCATTTCCAAAGGGCTAGTAGAGATCGAAAGTCAGCGCCGAATCCACACAGCCAGCTATTCCAAGATTACTGACCTTCCAAGCGTTCTTCGGCAACTTGTTGAAATGCTCATCCAACATACGCTCGGGACGGAACTTGTCCGCGTCATCTCCGTAGACCTTCGGATCCTTGTGGACCTTTTCCAGTATCATGGTAAATTTGCTACCCGGTTTCACTAGATACTTGCCGCCCCCAATAATTATGGGGTCCTCCTTGGTCTCGGGCAGAGGTCCCATGACTGTTCCCGTAATTGTGGGCGTTAATCGAAGTGTTTCCCTCAAGCAGGCAGTGATATACGGTAGCTTCGAGAGATGCTCAACCTTGACAGGACCAGTACCAATGACTTTGTCGACCTCTATCTGTGCTTGCTGAAGGGTCTGGGGATTGGCCATCAATTGGAAGAACAAGAATGACATAAGGCCTGAAGTCGTTTCATGCCCTTCTGATTGTCAGCGCACATACATCCGATGATGGTCAAGCTAGAGGAGCGTACCGGCAATTAAAAATGTGATCATGTTATCGGCAATGCTCTCATTGGTCATCTTCTGACCCGTTTTTGGATCTTTGCCATTCAACATGGTATTCACCAAGCTTTTCTTGTCTGTCGGATTCGCTCTCTTGTCGGCAATAATCTTCTGGGCAGTTGATTGTAGGACTTCTATATCGTCTGCATACTTTTTTTCCGCACTCTTCATAAGCCGTTTGACAAACGAGGGTCGTAATGACCGCCTGCCGGCCTCAAGTAGGACTTCTTGCATTGCTTTTACGAAAGGATGCACCCCCTCTGTATAGAAGCTGTTGAACCTGGTATCCATTGCACAGATTGCGATGGAGTCCAAAGTCAGCCGAGTGAAGTCGTCGGCCGTGTCAATTCGATAGTCTGGACCGTATCGGACCCACTTGAGGACCAACTGCGTTAGGATTTCATGCATTTCTGCCAGAAAGTTAGCCCTGAGAACGTTGTCCAAATCCTTTTGTTGTTTTGGAACTGACCATCGAACATGTCTCGAATCGCGAGAGGCCCAAATGATGGAACTAGCGTTCGGTGTGCGACGCCCCAAGCGGGCTCGCCTGGGTGAGCAGTGAATAGTCCATCGTGTATTGCCGACCTCAACTCGATTAAAGGCCCACTAAGGACTTTTGTGAAGCGTTTCTCGTCGCAGATCTCGTCAAAAAGCTCATGATTAGACACCACGATCAGATTTCCGGTTGGGAGTCGTAATTCATAGATAGGGCCTATGATAATTAGTGTCCATACTGAGACGCCCTTCGATGCGTTTAAAACATACCGTAGATGTCAGCTAGATGAGTGAGACTTTGCAACCGATTCTGAGGGTCAAGGTCGAAGATATTGCCAACGAGTGGCAGTCCCGGAGGACTCGGAATTGGCGTAGTCATTTTTGCCCTTTGAATTCGAAGTGAATCCTCAGGATGAAGATAAAGCAATGCGTGAAGACGAGAACGAGATTGACAAGACCTTAAATAGATGACTTGAGTTCTCGAGCGAAATACACGTGCGGCTTATCTCGGACGCGAAACGCTGGCCATCCTTGGAGAGCCATTTAGTTCGAGCGAACAGCGATCATGCATGAGTTGTAATAAGTTTCGGACATAAGCTGTTACACAGCCAGTAATGAAAGGTACATATAATGATTACTAAATTCATGCTGTATAGCAGATCCAATGAACACGGAGAACTAGAGTCCCTGCATCCTATCAAGCCAGCTGCCTCCAAGGCAGCTCAATGAAGAGAGACCGAGGCAAGAAAGATTAGTTCTGGATACTCGTACCTACCTGCACATGCAATGTTTAAAATCCGATTAATCCGAAACTTCATAATTCGTCGTTTTTAAATAATATTACAATAAAAGGAAGGGGGAAACTCGCCGGGGCTTAGGTTTAGGGTGAGTTCCGGGTGAGTTTTGGGGGTTGTATCCCCCAAAACCCACTTCCGCACTCATCTGACTCCTCAAAGAATCGCATACAAGTATCCATATAAAGTGCATATACGAGTAGATGATACGAGTAACCGGGCGTCCGTCCTTCCGCTAAACGTGGCCCTCGGCGAGATGTTTTCCATGCTGCTGTCGATCGCTGTCCCTCCGAGGCCCCCAACGCGATGTTTAATCACTCCGCCCCTAGCCGCTCCTCGTACCGAGGCACGGTTACGAGCGGGCGCTTGGACCCGTGCAGCTGTGACTGCTGACTGAGTGCTGACCCATTTTCTCCGTGGCGCTCATAGGGCTGAGTGACTGAAAACGTGACAGGAAACCTTCGTATCCAATACAATGCTTGCGAGAAGCGGAAGACAGTGCGAAGTAGTTGAGATTTGCTGCAGCACCTGTGTTGTAGCTACCCCGCATGGTGGCAATCAGGTGGCAAATTAGCGTGGTGGCAAATACGGGTATAAGTAGCCCACTCAGCACTCCCATAGCTACTTAATCAATCAATCCTTCATACATTTCCAACAGAAGTAAAGATAGTTGAAAAGCATGGGCAGGCTATTGGCCATCAGTATCTTTCTCTGCATGGTTTCCCGTCGTGAGCGTATAGTCATCATCGCATTCCTCGAGCTCGCTTGAGGTAGGTCAGTTCACTCGTGCTCTTGCCTGCTCTGATATCGTCAGTTGAAAGAATATAATGCCTTCGGCTCTGTCTGCGGTAGGGTGTGTTGTTGTTTAGGGTTGTAGACTTGGCGCATCAGGCCTTGCTGCTTTTCATTCTGTATCTATCTCGATGCGCCTAGGCTTCAGTCTCAGAATGTAAGGAGAAAGTACGCCTCAAAGGACAGAAGAATGACACAGATCAGGCCGAAAGCTGACAATGAATTGGAAAGCACGACGAGACTGTGACGTAAGCAGCGGACAGCCTTTGAGAGATGCGACATGAAGCAAAAGAGGAGCTCTGGCTGGAAGGCTTCGTTTGCAAACCCTGTGAGAAACTTTCATGGGCTCCAAGGCATGTTTCCTCACTCTCCGGGTGCCGATAAATACATATAGAGGAGGCTCAGGAGGTAGGTCTCAATCAAAGTGATCGACAACCCTCTTTTTCGTGCTGTAGACTCCCGCTTGTTCTCCAGAGACGCTGCTCAAAACCAACCCCCGGCATGGTATCACGCCAAGTGCGGTGATATATTTCCATAAGCTCTCCTCTCAATGCTTGTCAGATGGGATGTTGGTCTCAAGTGCTGTACCGACAGACTCAGACTGCGAACATGATCACAGTGGATTGGGCTCTTCCCAAGAGATGCAGGTACTCTAGTGTCAACATATCAATGTCCGGATAGCTTCACAACACAAACAGACGCGGTACGTCATGGCACAAAGATTGCCGCCGGCAATCTTATCGATAAGGACTCTGATTCACGCACATCGACAATATGGACCGGCCCACAGTAAATCCACAGACCACGGTTTCCTTTACATGGTGTAAATTATGGCATACAACAAAAGAGGGATCAAAAGATCGCGGCTGCATACTCACCCTCTTGCAGGCAGAGCGGGACTATTACGGGAGATCGGGGCCTCACATAATCATGGCGCGGTATTGGATGCGTGGGCAAGAGGCCTCGGCGATCGACAGCTTTGGAATTATGTCCCAAGGCCAGACGCTAAGGACATGGATGTTGCTTCGTATACGAATCTTATTCACGATGAGACTACACAATTTATTATTGCCGGCCTAAGTAGACGTAACAACAATAGGTTAACCTCCTCGGTGTGAGCATCTTCCCTTTTTTTTTCAGACTTGGATTCTAAAGCCCAGTTGTTTGAGTTAACACGTCGATAGCACCACTCTCTATAAACGATCCATGTTACACACGTATTGGCCTTATAAAGACGCGGTATGCCCGCACTCGATCGTAGGTTGTCATCCTTATCACTTGTGAGAAGGTGCTGATCAGTGATTGGGTTACCTCCATGAGCGTGTCACCTTCCCGGATATTGCTGTAAGCATGGGTAGTCACACCGTCCTGCCACAGCAAGCTAATCGGTGTATGATACAGCGCAACGACACAAGGCGCTCAGCTAGCGTCAGCTCTCTATCCCCTTCATTTTGACGCAATCGCTAGAGACGGGTTCTCATGGAATCACCCTTCTGGTTCAATGGTGGCGCCCAACCCAACGGGCGTCTATTGGGCATCTGCCGCGAATCCTGGTCATGGGGTCTGCAGCTTTGCAATCGCCGCATCCAGCGGTAGCATTCTACTTCGTGAAAACGAAGACGAATGGGCTTTAGAACGAAGCCAGTGCATTCAAGGCCAGCATGAAGCAGTGGCCGTCGATTGGTTAGGTACGAATGTCGTTTTGAAAGGCTGTAGAGAAGGGGCAATCAGGTTGTGGGATACCAGGAGTGGCGCGGAGAGCGCAGAGCCGAGAATTCAACACACCAGCGCGATTAACCACGCAAGGAGTATCGATGAGAACTTCATCGTAGTAGCAGGCCTGCAAAACGAGGTAAGCAGTTGTCCTTCCCCCTGACGCACGATTGGACTAACATTATAGCTTTGCACCTATGATATCCGGTATGCCAAGCGAGCCAGCCTCGCTCATGCCACACAACCGTACGATAGATTCCCGGCATACCGCAACAACGCATTGAATCACCTCTCGATCGGGCTAGACCTTCATCGCAATCTGGTCGCTGCCGCAACTGATGATGGAAGAGTGCAGATCTTCGATGTCAAGAAAGGAGTGGAGCTAGAATGTCGCATCAAGAATCTCGGTGCGAATGCCGCATGCGTGAGATTCGTGGATGAACAGAGGTCAGGGAATGGATTGAAGCTAATGGTGGCTGCGGGACCAAGGATTGACGGGTGGGCTTTCGAAGGCCCTGGCGATAGGGACATCCACGATAGAGATATGGCCCATTATTGCACCTGATGACGGGTTGAAGAGCGAAGATGTAGCCTCGAATTTAGTCGTGTGAAGTTCTTGGCAGATCAAGAACCTTCGAGCCAGTTCTCTCAACACTCCGGAATGACGTCCCATGTCCCTACCTATGTCCGAACAATTTCAAAAATTGCCTTGCCAAAGCTCCCTTCCCTACACACCATTCGGAATCCACATCGCACCACCAGAAAAGCGAACAGAGTTGTACCAGGCCCAAGTGCTTTATGACTACTATCCTATGTGAGCCATCCCGTCCTCATCATTTATTCCCAGCAAGACGCGTACAGTGTGCCAGGACGCGTGGAGATCTATCATGGTAACAAAGCAAACCCAACGGGAATACTTGGTCCTCACCACAGTCACAGAAGGTCCTATCGCTCCCATTCCCACGAGGCTGGTTTTCATGGCTGAAAGTCCTTCTGGTCACGCCCCGAGTCCTCCGTTCCGTAAGGCGGCACAGACTGCGAATCAAAGACTGCGCAGACCAAAGAGGAAGAGACAAGCGCGTACTAGTACAGCAGCAAGCGACTCATTGGAAAGACTGATGGCTTCGCTCGCAGTGAAGTCCCAAGGGGATCCCCGGCAAGTCTCCTTTACTGTTTTGATTGGCAGCGTACTAACACGCAACACAGCCCAACTGTTCCTCCATTCTTCCTGCCTAACATTGTCCGAGAACAATGCGACAAGCGCTGCCACTCAAAGAGCGATGACGGCTATCTTGACCACACTAAGGAAATTCATGATTTCTCGGTGTACAATCTCGCATGGGCTATCCAGCACGGCAAGGACGGAAAATGCAGAGAGCGCTACTTGACTCAACACCATGAATCCGAAATCGCAGAGTGATTGTGCCAGTCGGTGCAGACGACTCTATACTTTGCCGCCAAGGAGAAGTCGCCCGAGATCGTCAGCATCCTATGTCATGCAGGAGCCAAGCCAAACAAAAGCATCAGCCTATACGGCTCCGCGATCTTTGGTCTTCCACTGCTACCCTACACTACTCTAAGCACCGAATACAAGCTTGCGGACACAACGGGAACCGTGGTTGCTCTGCTTGCTATGGGTGCAAGTCCATACGACGTACCGAAAGACATGTGGCAGGATTACCTTAAGGCCCCTAAAAAGGACAAACCGAAGCAGATGGCGGGCATTGACGTGCATGAGGCGTGGTGTACCACCGAGATCAGGGAAGCGCTATGGAAGACCTTTAACCTCTTACAGCGTTACCCCCTTTGGAAAGCTGCGCAAATAGAGCGGGCAACAGTCAGGGAGATTCATGTCGCTGAAGCAAACAAGATCATGTCCCTCTTCGAAACTCCCTACTTCATCTTCGGACAGCAGCTGGCGACAACGCAAGTCCTGCAGCGAATCATAAGCCGACTGCTGCTCAATTCGCCAAAGCCGCTAGTACTTTTCTTCACCGGTCTCAGCGGCCATGGGAAGACGGAGCTAGCTCGCCGTACGGGTGGCCTTCTGTCTTTGGAGCTTATCATCGTCGATTGTACCACGATGCAGTACGATACTGATATTTTTGGACCATGGGACTCGTACCATGGATCGGAAGTTGGGATTCAATTGAATAATCATCTTGCAGAATGGGATGGGAAGAGGACCGTGGCCTTCTTGGACGAGTTTGAAAAGACGACAGATGATGTACGCCAGGCTATGCTGTTGCTGTTCGAGTCTGGTTGCTACACAGATCGACTGCTTAAAGGTGCTCTGAATTTTAGCAGCTAATCTCGGAGTTAAAGAAAAATAAATAAAATTAAAAACTACTTTAATAAAAAATTAACTATACATATTTAACTAAAAAAATAGGTGTTGAATGTCGGAAGTCAATTAGACGGCAAGAAGGGATAGCATGTTGCGAAATAGGTCAGGAGAAGGTTAGAAGGAAGGATTTATTGATATACGTAGTATTTCATTTAATTATGTTATTATAAAACAAATCTCGTAAATGCCTAATTTCGCCGTAAAAGCCTGCAGTGCCCTTATGCCATCGCAAATCTAACAGCCACTAACAGATCATTGCATCGATACGTCGTGATAACTGGAAAGGCATGAGCCGGCTTCAGGTCGAATGGGATTCGAGCAAGAGTGGGCCGCTGGGTAAGAGGGATCCTTGAATGGTGGATGCGTCGGGAAGGGCTGGCGATTGGCTATTAAGCCTAAGTCAGAGGAAAACACTAGGAAAAGCGTGTATCCACAGCTCGATATAGAATGTAACGAGGTAGAGGGACAGTGGCTATTGCAAGAGTGAAGTACGTCTACAATTTCATGAATGACGCTAACAAAATCGGAGGCGGAGCTGAATCAGCTTGCCAAGCATTCTTATTTAATTGCAATTCATTAAAGAAATCACCAAGTTCTGGGTGGATAATCTCAAGGACCGAAACCACGAGCAGCACAAACTGGCACCTATCCGAGACCTGCAGGTTACGCTCAAACAGTGTATCATCCAGACATTCGGTGCGCCTCTTACCGGGCGCTTTTCGGCTATCGTACCCTGTTTACCTTTTTACCCTTCTACGAAGGAGAACGCGCTATTACTGCCTACAAATGTATGCGCGAGCTGTGGCATGGTGTCCGTAAACCCAAACGATACCGACGGCAAACGGTTTGCAGGGACCATGTTTGTGAACTTTGTCAATGATGGAGAGATCGCTAAGCACATCGCTCAACGGTACCGCGAGGAAACGGGTGCAAGATCTCTTGCCGACGCGGTGGAGGAAGAGATAAGCGACAACATGGCCGCCGCATTTTTCGAGCAGGAAGGAGAGATCAAGGATGAGAGCACTGCCGCTGCCGAACTATGATGTTCGAGTTGTGAGTGGGTCTGGCAAGAATGATCGCATTGAGGTCATTTGCTTGGGCAACAAATCGCTCCAAACTACTCCAGCCTAGCAAGATACATGGACCGCATGGGAAGGAAGATCTCGGAGTCAGCAAAGCTCGGTCAATGGCATTAGAAGTGAGCTTAAATAGCAGGAAAAGATTTGGACAGAGGCTGTCGCTGTCATAACGTGAGTTGGAGATGAAAAGTTTGTCATGAGAGTGCCAAGGATGATTCTAATCTTAACGTGTGCACAAAATATAGGAATTCTTTAGTCTCTACATAAGATAGTTGATACGTGTGAGCGCCAAGAATTCCAACGTTGTATGCCCACGCTAATTACATACGAGTAGTTAGATCGCACCAGCTCGTGTTGGTCCTCGTACAAAAGTACAGTACAATCGTATATAATGTACAACTGTACAAGCAGTTCGCGTCCGAGTTTGACTCGCGCGCAAGTTTTAGATACATTGCTGTTCAGCCCGACGTGGCTAGAGCGTCAGGACATCATCTAAACCACTTGTGCCACACACATTGACTTATTCCAAACGCCCACTCTTCTAGCATTCTGGCCTGGCCTCATCGATTCTAGATAGCTCATGCCCACAATGGCTTCAGATTCAGGAACGATCCTCCGGCTGTGTTTGTACTTTGCGTGCTGCCTTCCGTTTGCCTCGGCTCTCCCTGAGAACATCAGGCCCTATCCTCTGGTCTGTCTTGAAATGTCGGCTTTTTTACGCCGTACTGACTAACGCCAGGATGTCACCGTCTCTGGGTTTCAAGCACCATCATTGCCCCTGGTGAGTCACCATCGTTATTAGCGACGGCCCACAATATACTTATCATCAACAGGCCGTAAGGAATCCATACCTATCAGGTCAGTACCATCCTTCGAAAGCCTACGTAGTCCAGAGCATCGTCGGCAGACTGACATTCTACAGCTTGGCTGCCCGGCTCCCAAGTCAGCAATCTGCCCACAGCCCAAGCCGAATTTTGGACCAGCAAAACGACATTAGGATGGACTATCCTGGCGCAAGTCGATGGCAAAACATTCACGCTCTTTGGTGCGCCAGATGGCATCACAAACACCACAACAGCAACGCAAAAATCCATTGGTTACACTGCAACCCACACGATAGCCGAATTAGATGCGGGCGCCGCTAGCATCGTCGTGGACTTCTTCTCCCCTGTCTCACCAAATAATCACCTTCGGCAGTCTTTTCCTTTTAGCTATGTCACTATATCAGTCGCCGGGAGCTCTGATGTCCAAATTTTAAGCGCAATTGATGATTCGTGATATGGCCAGCCGGATAACCTCGTGTTACAGCATCAGAACACAGGGGCTACCTCTGTGATAAGTTTGACTGACCCCAAAGCTGCTGACTATACAGAGATCAACGAGATGGCAGCTTGGGGCTCCATTGTGCTTGCGACCAGCCAAGCCGGCAGCTCATCAGTTACTTATCAGAGTGGCCCGCTTGACACTGTATTCAGCAAGTTTGTCGAGTCTGGAAGCCTCGATAGAACTTTACCGACCCATGGGAGAGGTAATTGGATTGCTTTTGCTCAGAAGCTCAGCACGGTGTCTACCACTTCAACTTCCTCCGTCACATTCGCTGTGGGCCAGTACAGAGATAATGTGGTCAATTACCTGGGCAATGACCAAGTTGGGTTCTTCAAGTCAAAGTACCGTAATGTGCTAGAAACCGTCGATGCCTTTTTGAACGATTATCAGTCAGCATACGTGGAATCTCAAACCTTGGACAAGGCCATTATTAGCGAGACGAGTTCGATCTCTAGCAATTATACTGATCTGACGACAGCAGCCGTACGGCAATGGTAGGCTGCAATTCTGTCAGAACCGAGCGAGCTGCTGACTTGCCCCTCAGCTATGGCGCCATGGAAATCACACTTCCCGCCAGCAACACTGCTGACACGAGCAATCCATACGTCTTCTTGAAAGAGATATCCACGAACGGAGATGTAAATACTGTCGACGTAGTATATCCAACCTCTACCATCCTAGGTGTCATGAGCCCAGATTGGATCAAGTATTTGCTTGAACCGGTTGCCATATTCTCCGAGAGCCCAGCATGGACTGCTGACTATGTGGTGCACGACCTTGGCAGTAAGCCTGATCTAAGGAATCCCCCAGTGGTCTTCGCTGACATATAGCTCCAGCCTATCCTGTAGCAACCGGACGTACCAACGCTACTTCCGAGAAAATCCTTCTTGAAGCCACGGGTGGTTTTCTGATAATGGTATACCAATACCAGCAACTGACCGGCGACGAAACCTGGGCCCAATCGCACAGAAAGCTCTTCCAGCAATTCGCCGACTACCTCAAAACCAGCGGTCTGAACCCTTCACTGCAATATGACACCGTCGACTCGATCAAAGCAACCGCCAAGCAAACAAACTTGGCCATAACATCCGCCATAGGCCTGAAAGCCTACGGAGCGCTAACAGGCAACCAAGCTTACACACGGACAGCTCAGAGCTTCGCCAGGACGATATACACGCAAGGACTCGGCACGAACCTCAACAGCAACGGCACATTCACCAACGGCACTCCCCAGCATTTCACCTACAACTACGGCATGTCCACATCATGGGGCACGGTCTTCAATCTCTTCCCGGACCAATACCTCAATCTGAGCACCTTCCCGACCGCCGCAGTCTCAATGCAGTGCTCCTGGTACATGTCGCAAGCCACGAGCGTTGGCATTCCCTACGCGAGCGTACAGGATGATATCGCCAATGGGATGTGGGACATGTGGATTGCGGCGACCTGCCCAACCGATGTCGACACCATCATTGGTTTTGAGCATGCGTTTTTTACCAATGGCAAGAATACGGTGCCGTTTGCTGATCGGTTTTACGTGAATGGGAGTCGGGCGGGGACGTTTGTGACGGCGCATGCGAGACCGACGTTGGGGACGACGTTTGCGATTTTATTGGGGAAGGGGATCAGTTTCACGAAGGCCTTTACTTTGCATGGAGTACATAAATATGACGGCGCGTAAGTCTGGGAGCGCATTGGCCAGTGAATCGCATCTTGCAGGCGGAAGCATGGTTCTGCTTCTAGAGGCCTCATTGTCAGAAGGGACCTCATCTCTGCCTAGAACAACAGACGTGCCAAGATCGCTTAGCCCCTTTGGATTAGTTCGCTGGCAGCCTTCGGAAGGTTTCGTAGTAGAGTAAGCGAAAGAGCTAACCCGAAAGGGCTTAGCCATCGTAGAATGAATACAGGTACGCGGTGGACTTTCGAACCTGCAAAAAAACTTTCGACAACGCTATGTTATATTATTGAGCTATAAAAAGTAGATATATATATTTAAAGTATTTAGTAAGACTAGTATCTCTTTAATTAACTTTAGAGGATATTTATATTTTTATAACTATATTAAATAAGATTAGCTAGTCTTAATAGAATTATAATAACTATAATTTTAAGAAATACGTATTTATACTAAAGTTATTGATAAATATTATATTAAAAATAATAGATGAAAATTAGAAACTATTAATAAACGAAGTAGCTACTACCTTAGAGCGGCGATAATATTTATAGAAAGAGTAAATAATAAATTTAAAACTAGATAGTCTTAAATAAAGTATATAAACTAGTTATTAACTTAAGTAATTAAGATAATAATATAGAAAAAAGATTATATATATTAAGTATTAGATAGCTAGTCTAGAAAGTAATATATCGATAACTAGCTATACTAGCGTACTAAACTAATCCTCGATATTCTTCTTTATTATCGAAGAAATCTCTATTATATTATTAGTAATATCGAAATAAGACTAAGTATTATATAATAAGCTAAATAAGATTATTATAAAGCTATAAAACGAGATAATAAGTAAAATATTAGAGGAAAAGATATTAAGCGAGATAATTATAATAATTAATAGATATATAAAGAGTATAAATATTATAAGAAAATCTATTAGAACGGCTAGAAGGCTAGCGAGTAACGATATATATATTATAGCTATAAATAAGAAGAAGATAAATAAACTAAGAAAAAGTAAGAATTAAACTCTAAAGATAAATAATAGTATAAGAGTAATTATTAAAATGTATAGTCTTCTACTTTATAGAGTAAGGACTAAGGATTAATATATTCGATATTAAAGATATAGTTACGATAATTAAAAAGGATTTAGAATGAGAATATTAATACGCTAAGTCTTAATATAGTATAGCTAAGCTAATTTAGCGCGAATAAAGAGAGTTATAATAAGAGTTTATTAATTATTAAATTAGTATTTTTAGAGAAAGAAAATAGAGTATTAAAAGAAGGTCTAATTATCGATTTAAAATTATATGATTATTACGTCTATAATAAATAGTATAGATTAAAGTAATACTTTATATATTAAAAATATAATTATCTATCGATTATATACTCTAAAAAGAATTATTTAGTATACGAGAAATATTTAGAGAAATATTATTATAAAGATTATACGGTTAATACTCGTAAATATCTAGTTTATAAGAGATTATATAAGGCTTAAAATAAGATATATATAGTAAAGAAGAGGAGATAGCGAGAATGAGAATAGCGAGATAATGAATTTCTTTATAATTTATAATAATAAAGAAGATATTAGCTAGCTATTAAATAAGTAATTAATTAAATAACTACTCTTAGAATACGTCTAATTATAGACGAAATAAAGAATTTTTTTAAGACTAATATTTACGCGCGGTAGACTAGTAGATAAAAATAAGATAATTAATAGAGAAGAAATTAGAGCGCCGAACCTCGAAAGAACTACTATATCAAATCTCTAGTCAAGTAAAAAAGATATACTTTTATATTATTAATAAGAATCTCGTTTAGAAATAGATTACTCTTTAAAGTAGTAGATAAAGTTAAATAATATAAGAATAATATAGCGATAGAGGAAATTAATAATCTCGAGAATAATAGATAGTCCCTAAGTTAAAAAGAGTGATAATAAGAGAATTACGATCTCCGTTAATAGAAATAAAAGAGATATATTCGATTTATCGATAATTAAGAAAAGAAGAATACTTAGAAAGAAGATATAAACTCTATAAACTAGGCGAAGCGAGTAAGTAATATTAATAATAATATTAAGAAATAATAGTATACTCTAGTTAGCTATTAATACTATAATATAATATAAAAAATCTAGAATAGTTATAGTAAAACTCTTTAATAATAAAAAGATTTATAATATCGATATAGTAGTAATTTAGAAGCTCTAGAGAAATATTAATATAAATATATCGTATTATTCTCTAAAGAATAGATTTAACTTAATCTATCTCTATTATAATAATATACGAGTATACTTCTATATTAATAAGAGAATATTATTAAAGTAATAATATTTATTATATTACTTATCGAACCTCTACACTCTTAATATTAAATTCGAAAATAATAAAATTATATATATATATAATATCTATAATCTCGATGATTAATAAATAGATAAACTTAACGAACTATATAAAACGCTTATAGAGTTTAAGAATAACGAATAGATTATACTAGGTAACTTTAATCTATACTATATAATATAAGAGAAATTAAATACTTATATCGATAAGAGAGTAGAAGAACTAATACTTATAGCGAAAGAATTTACTATAAAATAAATATTACTAATAGAAATAATAATATATAAAGAAAACTATTAAATAATAATAGATTTATTATTCGTTACTTTAGTATTAATAATAAATATTATTAATTATAATATCGAAAATAATTTCGAAAACGAATTTAATTATCTTTTAATTCTTATAAAGCTTAAGCTAATCGTGATAAAGTTAGTATTAATAATACGCCGAAACTTTAATAAATTAAACGCTAAGATTCTAAGAGAGATACTCGCTAGAGTTATAATATCGAAAAGAGTATCTAATTAATCTCTAGAAAAATAATAAAAACCTTATTAATAATAGTATTAATTATTAAATAGCGATTATTATTAACTCTATTTAAGCGACTATAAAGAAGTCTACTTCGATTATTAGATTATTACTATAATTTAGATTAGAATTTATATTAGAATATAAGAAAGTATAAAGATATTATAAATTACTAAAAAGAAGTTAAAGAATAACGCTTTTAAAGAAAGTATAGAATAAATATAAAGTCGCTAAGAACTTTAAAAAATAATCTAATTAAGAGAATTACTAGAAAGGCGTTTAGAGAGTTTATAATAAAGGCGTATGAGTCGTTATAAATAATATGAAAAAGATTAAGTAAGCTAGAAAATAACTTATAATATAGATATATCTCTCTTCGCTATTTAATAAAGATAAATAAGAATATAACGAATTAGACTTAAAGGTAGATCTTCTTATAAGAACGTTCTTTTTATTATCGATATAGATAAAGTTAAATAATATTAACGTCGATATAGCGTATTTATAAGTCTATCTAATAAGTATAATTATTATAAATAAAATAAGAAAGGCTATAATGTAAGTATCGTTAAAGAGAATATCGAGGGAGATATAATCTCTAATCTAATTCTCAAGAAGATTCTAAAGTTATTACTTTCTTATCTATATAGAATATTTAATATATATATAACGAACGACTACTATTTAGAGTACTTTAGAATATCGATAACAATTATTCTTTCGAAGTTAAATAAAGATTACTCGATTTCTAAAGGATATCGGTTAATAGCTCTACTTAATACTATAGAAAAGATAATAAAGTTTATTCTTATTAAGAGAATAGCATATCTTATAAAGATATATAGACTTCTATTGGCTATATATATAAGAGATCGTAGATTACAATTATATAAACACGGTATTCACTATCTTCTAGAAAGAATATATTAGATCTAGAACTCTAATAAAGTAGCTACGATATTACTATTAGACGTTTCAGATATATATAATAAAGTCTCTTATTCTCGACTACTCTATAATCTTTAAAAGTGAAAAATCGATATAAGAGTAGTTAACTAGATAGAATCGTTCTTATCTAATAAAATAATAGTATTAAAAATAAGCGAATACTTTATATTAAAGACTTTTATAGTAACCGAAATTTCTTAAGAATTACCGCTATTATCTATACTTTATCTCTTCTATAACTTAAATCTTATCGATAAATATAATAATCGCGTCGACTTAGAAATAATAGCTATCGACTTTATAAACGATATAGATCTTCTAATAATAAAAGACTCTATCGAGGAAAACTATAACGTATTTTATAAAATCTATAACGAAGTTTATATAAAGTAAGTGTTATAATATAAATTAAAGTTTAATTCTAGTAAATATTAACTACTACACCTTAATAGAAAATAGAGATTTAGTTTAAATTATTCTCTATAACTTAATAAGAGATAATATATTAAGATAAGACGCTTTATTCGCTATTTAGAAGTCGAAATCGACTTTAAATTTCTATAAAGCTATTATAATAAGAAGATTCGATCTAAAGCTATTAAAAATATCGATATATTAGCGAGAATTATTAGATTAATATAGAGTAATAATTATAAGAGTATAAGATAGCTCTATTAGGCGGTAATTATCTTATAAATAATATATTATTACTTAATATAATATTAGTCTAAAAGACACTATTAACTATAATAAAATTTATCTCTTATCGCTATAAAGAATTTAATCTTAGATAGAAAGAAAGATAATTAAAGTATTTAAGACTATATTTATTTTAGTACTCGATATAGAAGTATATCTTCTATTAGTTAAATAATAGCTAGATAAAATTATCTTAAAAGCTATTTTATAAATCGCTATTAGTTTAGTATATAGCGAGATTATTAAATTATATTTCGAGCGATAAAAGTCTAAAAGAAAACTTAAGAAGAATAAGAAACTAAGTTTACTAAAGCGATATACTAATAAATTCGAAGAACGATATAATAATATTAATAAGATTAAGAAACTACGCCCTTTTAGCGCCGCTTTTAATTAAGAGCCTCTTAAAATAATAATTTATAAGACTAAGAAAGCTGCTAAAGAATTAGCTAAAAGATCGATTAATAAGAGATATATAATAATATATATAGACGATAGCGGGATTAATAAAAAAATAAGAGTATTAGCTATATCGTTAGATATTAATTTTATTTTTAATATCTATTTAGACTTAAGCGACTAATATATAATATACTTAACGAAGTTATATAATATTCTTTAAGCTCTAACTATAATAGTTATATACTAAATAAGATTATAACTTAGTAGAGTTATAGTAAATACGAATAATTAAGTATTAATTTAAACTATCGAAGACTCGAGTAAGTATTTAAAAATAGATCTATATGATATAAATAGTATAGATTATTAATTCGCTTAGATATCTCGAAGTAATAATAGAATTATATTAAATTTCGATATATATTAATATTAATAATAATAAATAAGCGGATAGAGAGACGAAGAAGGCTATTAATTAGCGAGAGTGAGTAATTTATAATAAAAGAGTAAAGGTAAATATTAACGAAATAGTCTAATTATTAATTATATAGATAAGAATAATATCGATAATTAAGATAGCTATTAGAGACTATATAATAAAAATAATAAACTATCAAATAGATTAATAAGAAGCGAGGCGATATTCTTAGAAGAATTTAATTAATATCGTTAAAATAAATATAACTTTTATATTCGAGAGTTAAGCGCGCTAAGACGTTGCTAATAATATAAATAAAAATCGAGAAAATAAATCTTAAGGCCTTTCTTTATAATCGATAGATATCGAATATAGAGGATAAAAGAATACGAGTGTAAAGCGAAGTAGATAGTTCGATATATCTTTTATAAATATAGGCTATTTAGTAAGAAGCGAGGAATATAATAGATTAAAGAAAGAAGAAAGGTAAAGAGAGGGTTATTACTTATAAGGATATACTAATAAAATTACGCTACGCCTCTATAGCAACGAACTTTATAAGAAGTATTAGACTTATTAGATAATATTAAGCTCTTAATAAGAATTAATAATAAGAATTCACTAGGGTAGACGGTTAAAAAGAAGGATACGATTAAGATGAAAGGGCTCTAGCGATGTAGGGTATACCCCTTTCTAAGGATCAAGTATAATAAGACGCGAACCATGACGGTGACTTATATAGCCTTATTTATTTGAGATTATATAATTAGCTAAAAGGATCAGATAGATTACGTAATTCGCATAGTCGGCCACTAGGGTAAGACTTCAGGGTAGTATGATGTAATCAATCAATCAATCAATCAATCAAACTTTCGAACCTGCACCGCGTGTCGTATCAGATCACCACGATTGAGCACTCTAGATCATCTACAAGATCCTCTACTAGATCATCTACAAGATCTTGTCCGAGATGGCAGAGACCTGCGCCAATCCCAGCTGTACAACCCAATGCACCAAGCGCTGTGCCGGCTGCAAACAAGCCTCATACTGCAGCGGCACGTGTCAAAAGAAAGACTGGCCGCAACACAAGACCGCCTGCAAGAGCTCGACCCGTCCCAGCGCCAAAGTCCCGCCGAAGCAATGCTCCAACCTCGGCTGTGCCGCGCGACCAGACCAACTCACTGTGCCCTGCGCCTGCTGCAACGGCGTTACCTACTGCAGCAGTCTCTGTCAGAAAGAGGACTGGAAGGACCACAGGCCCGCCTGTGTCGACCCCTACCCCGCCTCCGCCAAAGATGCTGTTGCCAGAACAGTCATGATGTACGCCTCAGTGGACGGCGGAGCGCGATACTCGAAATGGCTCACTCCGCGCGACGATCTGATGTTCAGGACCTCGCCGGTGCCTATATCGCAGAAGATCGGGTTCCCGCTGCTCGTACAGCGTTGCAGCGTGGCGGACGTCAGAGAACCGCTGGAAGACAATCAGCACGCCACGTGGCTGATGATCGATCCCGTCACGGGGTTCGCACCGGCGGAATGGCAAGGTCGGGTTGGAAACGTGGTTGTTGCGAGGGCAGACACGGAAGCACTGGACACGGCGACTCTGGCAGCCGTCACGGACTACATCTCTGATATTTTGGACGCGTTTGGGAACGGGGCGGCAGCAGCGCGGAAATACTACGATAGAGGCCGGTTGGACAGGTTCATCGCGAGTCATTTGAAGATGCAGCAGGACTTTAAAAAGTTTCAAGAACAGAGCTTTGTGGACGGGGCTGGAGAGAAGGTGCAACTGTGAAGGCGGTAGTCAGAATTACGCCTCTGAGGAATATCAGTGATGAGCTGGGTCGAGTCCAGCTTTCAGTTGAGCAATCCAGGCGGTGGCAGTCATCGTCAGTAGCACGACTTCAGAAGCTTGCACTTCTTGCCATGTCTTGAGTTACTAGCCCAGGAAAGCCGGGCAGCTCCTCGACAAGGATCCTTCTCCCTCACAAGAGTCGGAGAAGGCATTTTAGCAAATCCTTCCCCACACTTGTCAAAGGCCCGTTCTTTTCCAGCGTATCACTGGGGTCCAGGTAGATTGCAAACACAACGAAGCAGTTGATAAGCATGAAGATAGACCGTGGAGACATCACAGGTCCACTCACATTACTTCGCATACAGCCAGTAGGGAACTCATAAGTCACCCAACAAGGTGCAGGAAGCGGGCTTGGCGCGGTTCTGATTGGGAGTGGGTACAGCTTGATATGCACATGACGGCGAGCGCGCAGCCAGCGGTGGAGGTACTGGCAGGGGGCGAGGGGTTGATAGGTGCTTCAGCCTTGTTTGTGGAAGCGTAGAGTAGTCACTCAAGTCATTTATCATTCCTAATCTAAGCACCCTAAACAACCACCCCTCGAAGCCGCATCGACTTGCTTATTTTGCCCTTGTGTCCAATGCCCACCCAAATCTCCTCCCTCGTCCGTCTCCTCACAACCTAGCCGCCGCCCTCGGACACTGCGAACAAGTAGCAATTTCCCCCGACACATCACACGCCAGTAGACGAGGGCGGCGTAGTGACGGTGGGCGTAGCGGTGGCAGGGGTACACGCGTAGCAAGAGGCGAGGAAGGTCTCGTTGTTGGGGGAGCAGACGTCGAAGGGGACCTGGGCTTCGGCGCAGACGAAGGCGCAGCAGGGGTCGTAGGGGGTAGGGCACGCGGCGATGGATTGGCGGGAGCAGGTGGAGGTGTTGAGGGTGGTGGTTGTGTTGGGGTAGCTGGATTGCTGGGAGGATGTTAGCGGTGGCCCGGGGTGGACGGGAGGCTTGGACTGACCGCGGAGGCCAATCCCACCGTCATCAAGGCAGCGCCCAGTGAAAGATTTTGTATTAGAAGCATTTTGAGGTAGGAATAACTGATAGAGATAGGCGGAGGCTTCAAGGTGTCTGTAGCGAGATGTGTGTAGGGTATTTAATGTTTCAAGAATGTCGGTCAAGGCGGCTTGAAATCAGAACGAGGCAGGAGCCCACGGGCAAGGAATGCCATGGCTTTTATGTCCTGTCTGGAACTCGGCGAACTATCTGGGACTCGGTGAAGCCAAGGGAAGAGTAAGACGAGCAGCCGATCGACGATGGCAAAAGTAAGCCGCGGATACGGGATGGGTTGATGCTGCTGGCACCACTGGCACTCCCAGCCTGGGGGGAGTCGGAGAGCTTGACGAATGTGGTATTTTCCCTAGGACAAGAACCCTGCACTTCCGCTGGATGCCGATTTGTACTTGATATTGAACGACCAAGCATTCATCCTTGTTGACGGATGGTACAGTAATTGTTCCACAAGTCTTCATAACTTTGAGGCTCTGCGGTGGCGCCAATGAAGGCTGAAGCTATGAATGGCCCCGGGAAGACCAATCAAAACCCAACATCAAACTATTCTCGCATCAAGAGGCGCAGCAAACTTCTTTCGCGAGTGCCCACGACATGGATTATGATGAAAGGTCTCCTCTCATCTTCTCTTTGAAGATGCTTGGTCCGTGGAAGGTATTGATAGAGCTTTTGACGGTTCCGACGGTGCCACCATAACTCCAGCACCATGGGCATGACCTTCAAACTCCCTGACTGGAGTCTCAACTACCAAGTCGCAGCTTTCGGAGCCTACGCAACAATACTCGTCGAGTCGGTATATGTGATCCTCGGAGGTTTTGAGAACGCGTCTCTGCTCTCAACCAGTATTCTCACCAATGGCTCCGCGGTTTTTGTCGTCGGGTTTGGCGGTACTTTCTCGACGCCTTTTGCAATCATTCGGATATGCTTGACGTCCTTGTTCCTCCTCTGGGCCATCATCTCCCAGGAAAATGGGGCTTTTGATGGGACCTATGCTATACTGTGTAGCGTGGCGCATCTCTTCTACCAGCTGCGGTTGCGGCAAAATTGGGACGAATCAGAGGGATTCCTGCCTCAGTACGAGAAATGTGCGAAGACGGATGAAGCACCATCGGAAAGCTGCCTGCATACCCCTCCAATGGACCACAACGACGCGGCAAAATTGTCGAGAAATCTCCGCATCTTCTTCGGTGATTCCTTTTGCCTTGAGGGTGCGATGGTTCCCGTCACCGTTCTAGGTACGGTAATGACCTACCGTGTTTTTGACTTCGATCTCGGATTCGGTCTGGTCTTCGCTTTCCTGTCGGCTTTCTCATCCTCTGTAATTTTGCTGTTCATCAACTACGCTCGAACGAGGGGCCGACGGATGGACACTAGGAAAGCGCTACAAAGATTGCTCGCCATGGTGTTAGTCATTGGAAGTTTCTGCTTTGTCTTCTTTACCAGCGTAGAATTCCCAGGCATTGAATTCAATTGGTGGAAGATCACCTTTGGTGTGGCTTGGTTCGTATATCCTCTTAGATCTATGCCTTGGCAACCTTTAACTCTCCTCCCTAGGTTCATGTTCCTGTTCATCACCACCTTCGTCGCCTGCCGATTCCTTATCCACGCCACCCTCTTCTCCTGTGCGGCATGCAGTCAGAGAGAAGCGGGCATATATGGGCCTTTGACCCAAGAGGCTTCTGCTCGTTGCCTTTGGGATGATTCCGTTACGTTGCCCGCTCTAGACCAGGTTAAGGACGACGCAATAGGTGAATCTACCACTTTCCGGATAAAGCGGCAGAAAGGTCCAGATCTTGTCGAACGATTCTGGCTCGGTGACCAAGAGTGGTTTCAAATAAGCCCGAGAAGCTTCGTGATCTTTTTCGTCTCTTGTATCGCATTGGCCTCCTTCAGTGGTGGCGCGTTGGGCTTAAACGGCAGCTTCGCCGACATCGGCAGCCAGGTATCAAAGAATACAGCGTTCTACGTAACAATGGTCTTCACCTTTGTCTCTACTGGCCATACTCCAGTTGGAGACTCTCCAGAGCTCATGTTCGTTCCGTTAAGGCACTACTTCCCCGCTTGGAAGGCGATCGCGAGCGCAATACTTGCAACAATGCTGGTGCATGCTTACCTTGTACTTGCCCCTCTTTCGGAAGTGGATTCCAGTTTCGCAACGCCGCTTGCATGCACAGTTGTGGCGCCGTTGCTACTCGCCGGCCTTTCAAAGCCCTTGGACACCGTAGGCCAAGCAGGAAATCGTGGACCCGGTCTCAAAGAACAAACAGTAAATTTAGGTTCGGCAGAACCTTCGATGTCAACTATCAAAACTTGGGCCATTGATTCGACCCTGGTATACTCTTCTTCACATATCAGACGCCTTGATCTTCGAGTGCTTCTACTGGGGGTTTCTGTTACACTTTTTGATGTACTGTGCAATCAGTATCAGGATGAGATGTCTGTCACAAGGTGGCCTACAAGTGCAGTTGTTTCAATCATCGTCACAGGAATTTGGCTATATCTAAATAATTCGGTACCCACCTCTCGAGAACTTGAGCCTGGGCTACTCTCGTTAGCTGCGGCCTCTCTTGTGGGAATCTTCAGCCACGTCAACTTCCTGGATGCTTTTGGACTTTACGACAACGAATGGGAGAATAAGAACTCTACTCAGATAATGCCCAGGCCGGAGAAGGCCAGTCATTCAAATCCCGTCATGATTGCCTTGTGGTACACGACGCTGATCTCCATGGTCGTCTTTAACCGTCGGTTAGTCCACCGAAAGGCAGATCAAGCGCTCCCCGCTACGAATGGGCAGCCTCCCAAGAGAGACCATCTGCTCTTCGGCTTACACGTCAAGACGTCACGAACAAGCTTTGCATGGCAACTCAGAGATTCTCGTGTCGCCATCTGCCTCGTATTTACAATGGTAGCTGCCTGTATGGGCGAAAGTTGGCCGCTTGACATGAACACGACTGTCGCTGGGCTATTGCTCTTTACATTGATTGTCAGCTTTCAACTTCCACCCACGTCTGATAACTTAGACGAGAAGAAAAGCATGCTTCACGTAGCCGCGCTTGGTTTTTCGGCCTTGGTGACGGTCCTAGCAGTTGGCCTCAACCGCCACAGGGCGTCGGATGATCTCATGTCGGATCCAAAACTTTATTGGAAGGCGGGTGCATGGTCCGCCTTGATCTTCTATCGGCTCTTTGTCATGATTGTGGGTAGTCTGCTAGAAGGCAGGGGCTGGTTTACAAGACGGAATCATGTGGGAGAGCTGCCTACAGTGGACGGTGCACGAAGGAGAGAAGCAGGAAATCATAGATGCGACTGCCAATGATTGAGGGAACATTGTGTACACTATCAGACCTCCTGACCAGTCGGTAAGACTGTCGAGAATGGCGACACCGATAAAGCATATCCGAGGAATTCCTCGCGCCCGAAAGACCAGTAAGCCATAATCAGCGCGGCATCATCCCGGGATTACCACAAAGACTGTATTTTCGACGCGTTCCATGGGCTGGCCGAATCGAGGGTATGGCGCATTAGATATCCAGAACATCTTAAGAAGTTCTAGCCACGATGGCATTACAACATACGGTTGATAGCCAAGGCAGGGAAAAATGGTGCCAAGGCAGTGTAGTAATGTAAGATGGCGATCGAGTGGTTATTGTGCTAGCATGACGCTTGGCTTATATTTCGTTACCCAAAATGGGTCTTTCCGCAGACAACCATTCCCCGTTGATAGACTGGGGGTACGATCTCCTGATCTTAGAGGAAATCCTCCTTCCCGCTAGCTACGGATCATACCATCCGGTACCAGGGAGGATATATCGCTCGTCGCAAAATCCCACATCCTACTGAACATCTCTACTACAACCGTTTCAATCCTCATAAAGTACGAAATGCTAAGAACTGATCTCCAGTCAGTTTCTGCACGACTCACCTCATAGCAACAACAGACACGCACCCTGCCTTTTCCCGCTCTTAAAATCGAGGCGAACCAATCTTCGTCATTCAGAACCCAAGACGCTCATTGTGCGAGACAGGTCCGTGCTCGGATGCCTAACGGCGCAGAGTGTGAACAGTTCCACCAAGAGCGTTCAAATTAGCAGACGCACGATGATATCTCCAAGGCCCAAGGCGTAGATCACCAAAGGCACTTGTAATGGGCCGATCATGCCCTCAGCTGCTTTTTGAACCAGCCTAGCTATAGACTATGGTCAAGGAGTCTGCGGGCTTGGAGTTGATGTTACGCTCCCTGATTTGGAGGCTCGCTATCACCAACACTTCTGGGCTTATCGAGTATCGACTATGTTGTATATCATATACTTTGCGCGGACGTCCTTGGAAGTGATTGCTATCTCTCTTGTTGATTTGAGTCGCCGACTTCGAGCCATTAGGAGTGATGATGTTGTAAGTATCGATAGAAATTCCGAGCTGTTCAACATTTTCAGTATCATAACGTCGAGGCCAGCAGAGCGAAGTACAGGGCGGAAAGGACTGAAGATGAAGTCCGGCTGGGTTGTCATCCTGTTCGTAAAATGTATTGTCTGATGTGCGACTCTCTCAATATATGTGTGCTTTTTTTTTGCTTTTTTTTTTTTTTTGCACGACCGAGCACAATCATCGTCCCTCCTGTTCGGCCACCAAGCCTCGAGCTTCATCCACAACTGCACCACCGTAGCTTCATCCGTTTAATCCTACCACCGCATCAAGGGCGCTCTTACAACGAGCCTGTTAAACTGTCCGCGCAGAACAACGTCCACGTCCACGTTCCGACGATAAACCTCCCACCACGTATTCCGCCACCGGTTCTTCATCACAAAGTCATCCAAATCCAACATCTCGCCTCTACGCATCCGACTCATCTCGTCCGCTTCGCTTCGCGCCCCTGAGTCCCAACAGCCGCGAACAGCCCGCCCCATAAAAACCCAAATTAAAACGGAAAGATTTTCTCGCGATTCCTCGCTCATATACTTTTTCTTAACGCTACATATAGTACTAGTACGCTACTCACCCACCGTAGTAAATCTATTCATCAACGGAACCTTGACTCCACCAACCCTAACCACCATGTACCACTGCAACGTATTCAATCCGATCAGGAATCTCTCCTCCAGCACCGGCAGCACCGTCACGTGCACCTCGACCGCCCTACCTGCAGTCTACATATCGAAGTTTCGCGCAGCATTCACTGGCCGTCGTTCCCGAGATGCCACGGCAGGTCAATGTGGGCGTGGGCTTGGCGGGGCAGGCGGAGGGTGGACGCAGGAGCCGGCAGCGCCCGTGTCCACGCAGACGAGGACCGACCGTGCGGATCTGGCTCGCCGATGTAGATGAGAGATTCGACCAGAGCAATTAACCACTTGCGAGATATATAATATTGCGTAGACCCCTCTACGACTTCGTTATCCCTCATCCGGATCCCTCGTCCCACCTAATCCATGTACAACCCAAGTCACGGCATCGACACGACATCATGAACCCATACTACTCGCTCTTGAGCCGCCTAGCCAGAAAAAGAACAACACCGCGCAAGCCCGTCGACCGAGCCCCTATCGAGGTTCCCGGCGCCTACGATTGCCAAAGAGGGCCGGTATCAAAAAATTAAGACTGTTGTCCGTCAAGCTAGTGACTGGCATTCTCCCAGCCCTGGGGAATGCAATGCTCTAGCGAGCGAGGATGATATTTCTTGCAGGAGGCTTCAACGCTGGTGGGACGGGGCCCTGCTACGTCTTCGCAAGTTGGGTTGCGGTTGAGAGAGGGGGGGGGCACAACGTTCGCTATGAGGTGTCGGGGCACGGGTCTGCGACAATGGTTCCAAGGCATGGATGGGCGGGCGAAATCCACACCGTGCCCGGAGCGAGTCTGCGTTCACGTGTCGTGCGACAGACAATCTGAGTACCTAATGCTCTTTGGAATGATCTATTTTCCTCGTCGTCGGGAGAACGGAACGAGAAAGATGCTGTGCTTCCCCAGTAGAAGAGAAAGTGAATGACCAAGGTGCCGGAGCACTTCGCGCAAACCATTTACTACATCAGAGTACATATAGCCTTAAGAGGGCCTATGGCTGATTTACCTTCAAGGCAACTAACTAATGCATACATCGTATTCGAGCTCGGGGTAGGCTCGTGTGCTATCATTACTCGAGCGTTGGCATGCTACCTGACAAAAATTCTAGACAAATGACTCCGCGCATGCTGTTCCACAATAGATCTGAAAAAAGCCCCCATCCGCACATGCTGTGTGACAAAAGAATCTTGAGAAATCACTCCGCGCATGCTGTTTGACGAAAGGACTTTCAAAAGCTACTCAGCGCATGCTGTTTTAACAAAAGGCCCAAACGAACTTACCCCACCTCCAACCTCTCACATCTAGCTTTCCTTGCCTCCCGCTACCGGGGCACGGAGAGTTGAATCGCACGGGGCACAATGAAGAGCAGACCAGAGGAGGGGAAGATGACGCTCGAGCAAGTATCTTACTTCACTCCTTTCCAACGGGTCTGTATAACTGGGGGGAGCAAGGCCGTGGCCCAATGCTCTCAGCTGTCCAGGTTCGGTGGAACGGACGTCATGATCATAGGGGAACTTGAATTCTGGCGGAGAAAAAGTGTTATTGGTAGTACGAGGCGCGTGTGAGGAAGTCATTCGAAACGGTACTCACGCATGCTGGCGACGTCGTGGATCGTTTTGGGCAGGATTCGATGCCAGGCACCGCTCGGCTTCTTTAGGAAAGCCGTGCCGCACTGCAGTGTACGTCAACATATATGCTAAAAGGCTGGTCTTCGACGAGAGCAACCGTCGGAAAACATACCTGGTCGTCCGGAGTCCCGCTGACAGGTTCCTGGAAATAGGCTATGGTGCCACCGAAAATGAGAGATTCCAGAGCGAGGCCAGCCTCACCTTCACCCCCCTGCACGCCCTCGGTCACGGCATTGACTTGGGGTGGACTTGCGCTTTGACCCTTGGTAAGATACGTGACGAAAACATGGCCGAGTTCGTGGAGGAGAGTGTTGGCGGTCATAAACAGGAAAGCCTGGAAAGGATGATGGTTATTTGTTTGCGATGCTTTCCCGAATGCGATCGACATATGATCAGTTCTCTAATGTATGGTCAGCTTGCTCGAGGACCTATGTAATGACACCCCACGAACGTTTCACTTACCTTTCCATTGATTGAGATTTGCTGATGACCGGGTTCAAAATTTCCGTCCCATGGGCGTCTAGTGTGGAATCCCTTAGCATCTGGGTTCTCCAAGCCGTAATCCACAAATACTATAGGGAACGTAGTTAGGATCTTTGCGAGGAAGATATAGGTGACTTGATCCACGGTCAGAGGACTTGGGCCTTGCTTGGGCCAGCTGTGTGTTCGGACTTGGCTGTATCGGACGGCGAGGGTCTCGAAAGCTTTCCAAACCGGCCGATGCGTCAGCATTGCTCGGCATATGTTGATGGCTGAAACGACATGAGGGACTTGCCCCGCTGGGTACGGCGAGCCCGGTTTTCCACTAGCATCTCGAGGCAAAATGGTATGGACAGGAGCATGCTTCCAAAACTCTTGAGAAGCCAGATGCGAGAAGTAGTCGACGACCAGTTTATTCGACGCCATATTAGTCTTGACGGGATACGGGAGTAAGCAATTACTGGTTGAAAACAAGAAGAGGAGAGTTCAGGTTTAAGGAAGAACAGAGAGAGGAGAGAAGGAAACATACTTGAGAGACACTCTAAACACTATCTTGAAGAGCTCGCGGTGCCGCACTACCGCTCTGTCGATAACACAATCCATCGTGTCAGACTCGAACAGTCTGGTGTGTCGTGGAACATATCTATGTGTCAGACTGTGCGATGAGGGAAAGGGCAGTGTTGCACTCTAAATAGGCCCTCCTGAAAATCACAGTTGTCAAACGAACACTCTGGTGTGGATGCGGGTTCATCTTATTGGAATGTTTCCGATCTGCCCTTCAGCTATTCTGAGCTGCAAGTGGGTACCAGTGACTAAAAATTCCATGCCAAAGTGATGTGTCAGGCTCGACCGATGTCTCATCATCTGGATTTTCGCGAGGCTGCGGCACGCTCGAGTCATTCCATTGACTGCCAAACAAGCTGTATGAAAAAGCGGTCGTCTTGAGTCCCCGATTTTCAAATCAGAACATAGCTTATTGATATCAATATATCTCCGTGGCCATCACATAGGTTCAAATCACCCAGATTTTTCGATACAGAGAGTATCCGCTGTTCTTAGTTATTCGTTTCGAATCTTTTCGGATCCGTAAAGCTATGGCTGCAACTGGTCTTAGTAATTCACCTACCACGCTCTGTGTCTTCCGCCACTCCGCCCGGAGATCCTTGAAATTACAGGGTTCAACTGCATTTCGTCACCAGGTTGTTAATACACGATACTCTGAATCGTAATTGTGTATGAAAGTGGCACTTCTGCGCCTCTCAGGCCAGGTGGCAGCATTTGGGATAGGGTATGTGATTTCTTGTACAAGTCTCATGCCTTACGTCCTTGACGATTTATCAGCCGCTTCACTCGACAAAGGGATCAGTAGAGCTAAGCCCTTTGCAACCCTATCCCACTCTAAGACAGAGTGAAGAGTAGTATCAAATGATTACATTAATGGGGACTGCGGATTTAGGAAAGGCTTAGGAGGCTGAGCACGTAAAGTGCCGAACCCAAGTTCTTTGATATACCTTGAGCGCGGCAAATGTCTCGGCGTCTATAGGGGCCCTACCTTTTGACTAGTAATAAGTCTGGATTCTGTCATTGGCAGATGGATGACAAGGTCATCATTGATTGCATCAGCCTCTTGGTCCTCACGGGAGGCTGAGTAACGCTTCGTAGACCTGGAGGCCAAAGCCCTCGGGTAGCACTCGTCGACAATCACAGCGCTGTAGAAGGACTTCCTTTGTCTACGCCGTTAACGAGTCCATGAAGCTCAGCTACGGCGGACTCTTCCGGCAGCCTGTGTTTGATCACCGAGTGAGCCATCCACCTCTGATGGCATCATCAGGCCGGTAGGCCTCAAGACAACGAGAGCTAAGCCTCGTGTGAGCGCTTACCCTTCGATCGAAATAGATGATGTAGATCACCAACGCACAAAGGAAGCACAAGCCGTCAAGATTATTTTGAAGAGGTATATGAGCGAACATCCTGGAATAGATGAGGAAAGCTTTGCCCCACGATAGACGGCAAAGAAGGCGCAGCGGTTTGAGAACCCATCTGTTTAAACCGCCGGGCGAGCAGGGGGCGTCTTCCCCTCTGCGGGCTACGGAGACTGCGATATACGGCCGAAAATATCCCAGAGATCACTGGTAGTTCCGGAAAGTATGAATACCGGTGCGTATCTTTAAGCCAGGGATGCGTGTGTAGAGTACGGATTCAGAGAACACCGGAAAACAATGGAACACCCTTCAAGGTAAATACAGGGCGATGAGGGACGTGACGCCGGACTCAAAGGTCCCCGCTACTCGTACTCGTATTCGAAGTCTTGGCGTCCAGGACTTTCGGCGTGGGCACCACGGGAATCGCAAAGTGTATTTTTTTATCAAGTTTATAAGTGAACAATGTTTCGTTTGGTAGCTGTTTTACCCCTATAAACTTTAATAAAACAACAGCAGTAACTTTAAAGACACACATAGTATATCTACTATTAATACACAAAAAAAAAGTATACCAAAAAAAATAAAAAGAACCAAAACCAACAGAGGAGGGCTTTTCGCAGAAAGGGAAAGGGAGATATGAAAAGAAAAAATAATTAAAAAAGGTAGGTAGGAAATAAAGATCAAAAAAAACACGAAAACATTAAACAAAAGATAAAATAGGTAACAGTATGCAAAGGACAAAAGTGCTTTTTCCACTCAGGTTAAGACCACGTCAAAAAAACCAGGCCTTGGTTAATGTTAGTTTTAAATAGAAGCAAAAACTCCCACAACATATTTTTTTCGGAAAACAAATAAACAACACCAAAAAAAGAATAACTGACTCGCAGATTTTTCAGATCATGAACTAGTCCTCCTCGTCTAAGGCAGCGATAGTCTGCTTCAATCATAAGTGTAAAGCGCAGATTGGCACCGTTGAAAAAAATTGATCGACTCAAAGATTCCGCCCTCAGCGCAAGTGACATCTTCCACACTTAGCCTACCTACCTACCTTATCGGAAAAAGTTGTCAACCTTGCGGTTACTACTTTAACTTGCTGATACTTTCCTGCCCTGCGGTACTCTCCTACCCCTGGCTATCACCTGACATCGTGATAACAAAAGAAGTGAAACGATACAAGTAAAGACGACAGAGAGATGTCAGAGAAGAAACGAAGAGGGATCTCTAATGAGACAGATAGATCTTCGGTCTCTGCCGCAGTCGTATCTCGAGGTTGGTGTTGCCGTTGACGTGTATGTTTATCAAATTCGATCTCGAGGCCCAAAGAGCTGTGGGTTTCCGGGACTTACGATTCATACTGTAGTCATTGATGTTTTCTCTAGCACATGGCTTACAAACCAGCAATGCAGGTTATCGGTACACCTAGGCAACGGGTGTGTTCGAACTTCAAGGACCATAGACGTTGGGACTATTTGCGAGCTGTCGAGTCTCTATTCTCATCGAGTTTGTAGAAATTGTCAAGACTAGTGGGGTTACGTGCCGTGTCTTCTGGTTGAGGAGTTTTCAATATATCTTTAACGGCATTTGCTTTCTTTGTCAATTAGTATGCTCTTTGCAACGGAATTCCCCCAGAAGGAAGCCTCTTGCTTTGAGATATGATCTTTTCCCCCACATCAAAGGTGATTCCTAGTAATCAAATATGCAAGCGATGAACGCAAGGGCAGCAATGACCTACGAGTTATCAGTGACATCAGCTCTCATCTTTAGGTGATCATATCTCACCGTTGAGCGTTGGCCCTTCAAGTGTCCGACTTCACTCTTTTGGGTGGAACTCGGTGTGGGATTTGAGACGCTCGATCCAGTTACTGCTCCACTCCCACCACCTGTTGTTGAACTAGGTTGTCCCGTCGATACCTACACGGAAATTAGTTCGTTTTGTCAAGCTTTCAGCTGCAACGTATGACCACAGGCCATTACTCACAGCCACCCCACTACCGCTGCTCGCGCCCGCACTACTGCTCACGCCCGTACTACTGCTCACACCTGCACTACTCAGTATTCCCGCATTGACGAACTTGGTACAGAAGCCGACGACCCCACTATCATAAGCGCTCAACGCAGACGCATTCGCGCTGCCAGCACTACTGATAGCCTGGTAACACGTGGTAGCTGCGTTGTCCCATACGGTTCCGTTCCAGCTCCCGTCGGTGTTGAAGCAAATGCAGCTTGCTTGCTCCGAGTTCGCCATGGTAGTGAAGCCCGAGGTGGATGACACGCAGTCGTTGATTTGAGTGCTGATGTAGGAGCACTCGGGTGGGAGAGCTTCTTCGGAAGTACCATTGCTACTGCCTGACGCGGCGCTTTGCCCGCCATTCTTATCCAGGAATCCTTGGAAACAAGTTTGCTGGTCGGAAGGGAGATGGGTGCAACACCTTGTGCCACGTATCGAGTCAGCAGCGTAGATTACATGTTTAGAAAGAGCAGTGTCAAGGGTTTTGGCGACAGCCAAGGAGCCCAAGAAGGACCTTTCTGGAATTCTGCTCCCCAAAGATATATCTTGCGACTCCAACTGGGGCCTAAACTAGGAAAACTACCTACATCTAGGGGTCGGCACAGCCGTTTGAGCACCAATTAGAAACGCAAACTTGTTGGGGTTCGGCATGTCAGTAGATTGTCGAGAGCCGAGAGCGTGGTAAGTCAGATGGGGCGAGGAAGGGACGGAGACGGACAAGATGAAGCTGGAAATCTGCCAGGACATTGGTTTAAGATCATGTCACAGAGCTGCGAAGTGTCGAGCTGGGCAATGCCCTGGTCAAGGGCGCCGAAGCCGTTATCAACCTCATCACCACCATCATCGTCATCATCGTCGTCATCCTGTGCAGTGGCTCGAGAAAGGATGGCCCTAAGAAGAAGCAGCTTGGTTAAGCAGAAATACATAGCAGCGGCTGAAAAAAACATTGGACAAGAAAGGCGACGAAGATACTATTTATTGAAGATGGGACTGTAAGGTGAAGTATGATTATGCTCTCCCACTGTGCAAAGGAGGCACAGATGTTAGAGTTTCGGCAGAACCGGGCTAGATACTACTAGAGAGCAGTGGTGTTCGAATTTCGAAGATGCTAAACAGCGCAAAGATCATTCGACGGCTTACCGTATACTCTAACACGCTTCTGAATCGATGAGGAATCAGTAAATATCTAGATTCATGAACATGATCGACTCGGCTCGCATCCTCCGCTTTCTGTCCGTGTGTGGTCGATCTTTGGTGTATGAAGGCAGAAATCAAGGAGATGAGGTTTTCTTTCCGGCCCCCAAGGATTTTGTTTATTTTTCTTTGGGGCCTTCTTTAGCTCGTTTGGCCATGTCACAGCGCGTGCCCTACGACCCGCCGGGCTCAGCCTCTCGGTATTTGTGCCACGCACTTAATTCGTCCCTCGCTAATATCCAAACCTTATCAAGGCCGACCTAGGCCGAAGAAGCAGATTTGGAGCGAGGACGAATCCGAATTGGAAGTCATAGCAAAGGATAGAGACAGAGAAGGAAGCTTCGAGAAAAGTGCAAGAAGTGAGGAGGTTGCCGGAGCGACGTATGTTTTCGACGTCGTCGCCGCTATGTCTCGTGGACGGGACTCGAGAGCTAACCTGCGGGCTTTCGACAATGCTTGCAGCTCCCGTTCAACAAGCGACATCAACGTAGGTACTCACGACCCGCTCAGCCCTAAAGTGGAATCAAACCGTAACAGATTCTGTTTTCAGATGGTATTATAGAGATGACGAGGCAGCAGCCTCCCCGCGTCCAATGGCGCTCGATAGCACTACACGGGATCGTATGTCCTCAGTGTCCGTAAGCCAGGCCCATCCAAGATTCATGAGTCTCTGGGCCAATTGCCTCATGGAAAGGTAACCGCCCTGGCTGGGAACCCGACGTGACCATCACAATCCAAAATACTTCATCCCGCGGCCGAATAGCATAAGTGTAGCAAGGGCCATATTAGCTGGTCTCCGAATCGCGAGTAGTCCTGTTCTCGGCATCTGCGTGTAGCTTTATATCGGAGACACCGCTCAAAGAAGCAATTTACTAGACGTCAAAGTACATCAACGACGACTCTTTAGCATTCTTTTCTGCAAAGATCGTAGGATCTAAGACCAAGACTGATAAGTCCTATTTCGAGGAGTCTCTCTATGTTTCTGGCTTTCGATATCTTATTGGTCATTTGTCTTTAATCGATAATTACTTTCTAACTCTTCTTACCAAGGTGCATGTCTCAACCTAGTCACCCAAATATCTCAACGGATATATACTCGTGAATATATGAATGGGCAAATTACAGATCTAGCGCTTTGTTATCTCGCCGATCATAGGTCCACCACACTGGGCAAGTACAACCGGTACGGCGAGTAAACAAGCACGCTGCAACAACACCACCGTACAATGAACGTAAGTGTTTGGAGTCCATAGTGATTCAGTAAGCCAACCACACACCCACAACATTAGCCCAAAGCACTCATCGGGTTTCATCAAAGCGTGAGATTACAAAAATTAAAACACCGGAGTCCCGTCAAATGTTCCAATCCCCCTCGCTACTATAAGAAACCATCGCCCTTCTCCGGCGCCCGGCGAAATCCCCATCAGCATTCAGATACCTAACCAAAAACCATGCAGCGGCACATCCCTCACCAGCCATCAACCGTGTATCCCCTCTAGCACCCACAGACCATTCCAATCCGTCACTCGACGACTCACTTAGCAATCCACATGAGCCATTCCATGCTGCAAAAGCCAGAATGAGTACATACATAGAGCACCCAACCCCCTCTCTCCCTCCCTCCCTCTTCAGCAAACCCTACTCCCGACATGACAGAACGGAACCCTACGCGCGCGCGGCGACGGAGGAAGGAAAAACAAAACCAACCCGGCCAGTACCATTGCAAAAAGAGTAGGTATCCCGCCCATCAAGACGACCGTAGCACGTTATCTCACTCACTCTATTAATGATACGCGCACGATTCACATACCGACCTCAATCCACCAATGGGAACCCGGTACCGGAAGCGCGTATAGGGGAGTCGTTGGGGGCCAGGGTTCCCCCATTAGGGATGCGCGGCCGCGAACCAACGTTTGCAGGGGCTAGTGTGCGGCGAAGCTGGAGGGGTTGGAGCCTGAAGGAGCGCCTCCCCGGGTGTGAGCTAGGTAGGTTTGGGGGTGGGAAATGGTTATTTAAAGCGCAGACCCTCGATTTTTCTTGCTTTTCCTTTTGATTCAAGACGTTTCTCGGTGCGATGATCGCATCGGGGCACGGCGTTGGTCAATACGACAACAAGAGAGGCGATGGCGTGCATTTATTTCTTCCAGTGAATGTTGAATGAGGTTGGGAAGGGTGTGGGTAAGCAGGAACGAGGAATGGAGTCGAGTAGATGCTGGCATTGATGGTCACAAGGCTGGCGACACGTCGCGGCTGCACACGTACAAAAGCGCTGTACAGAAGCTTGAATGAGGTAAGGACAGTAAGTTAGCTAAGCTAAATGCAACATGCAGTGTGCTTCATCCCATCGTCACAATATTCGCAAGAATTGAAAAGGTGTCTTGGTGAAGCCAGTCCACGCCAGCATCAAGAATTGAAATATTTCCCCCGCATGAAATCGCCCTCTATCTTGTCTAGTGGAAAAGATGTGGGCCACGTGAAAACATCCTCCCTAGATGAATGCGAAAGGAACCTCCAGGTGTCCTATCTCTTGCTTAGAAGGTTGCGTAGAACTTGCCAAGATCCGACAGCTCATTTCCGGTTTCAGGCAGGAAGCCTCCCGTTGCGCGATTGTCGCCGAGGTATCCATAACGCGCGACCAAGTCGTTGTCTTCCAACCATGGAATGATATTAGTCAAGAACTCGATCTGTCCGGCGTTATCCCCTGTTGCTTCGAAGTTGTCGACCCAGACTGGCTTGCCCTTGGCCATCGCGGTAGCGTTGTTGACGACGTTCTTGAAATCTTGCTGGCCATTAACACCCGGAGTCCAAAACCAGTGAACACACACGAAGCCAATGGTGCAGCCGGCCTTCTCGCATAAATCGAGGAAATTTCCGAGCCATACGAAGTCGACTGGGTTCTGGAGATTTCCTGGGGTTCCAAGTGAGACACCCTGAGCGGCATATGGCTCCATGTTCTGCATCCAGGAAGTGACAGCTGTCTCTGCGGTTATGCCAGAATGTGCCGGCTCTCCGAAGCTCATGAAATATTTGTCGCCTGCAGCCACACCCTTCTTTGCGTTGCTGGCCCATGATCCGTCTTCGACGTATTGGGGGCTGTACAATTGAGGGACGTAGGACATGCCCATGGCTGGAGTGAGGTTGGGTGGAGGTCCGGAGTACCAGTTGCCAAGCCAGGAGACTTTTGTGTTGGCAAACGCTGCCGTTATGGCATCGGTGTCGTCTCCGCTAACGATGATGCCTCGCTTCGCGCTCTTTGCCGAGTTTGTGGCTGGCGCGGGGACGGGCGTTGCTGCAGCTTTGGCGGCTGGGGACGTGCTGGAAGTGAGCGCGACGACTGGAGCAGCGGCCACTGTTGTAAGAGTGTCAGCCACAGCTGGAGTGGACGTGCTAGCGCTCGGCTCGGCACCAATAGCAGTGAGTGTCACAACAGAGTTCACTGTCGGCAACAGGGTGCTGGAGCTCTCTCCTGTGGGAGAAGCAGTGATGGACTCGACAGGGGAGGAAGTGCCAGCTTGGACAGGCACTGGTGCTTGAGTGGGGATCACGGAATCAGATGTTCCGCTCTCGGGAGCAGAGACAGTCACTGTAACGGTAGCGTTCGTAACCACGGTGACCGTGGCTTGCGTACAAGAGCTCGGAAAGGGACTCGACGCACCAGCCTCTTTCAGAGACGGTGATGCTGACTCGAGAACAGTCTGGTACGGAGCATTCTTCGTGACGACGACAGTGGAGTAGATGGCCTTACCAGCAGTGGCAGTGGGTGCATAGAGGAGACCTGAGCTACCGAAGGTGGCGGTGCCGTTACTCAAGCCGTACGGAGCTGTACCGAGATGTTTGCGATGGTGATCATGAGATTTGTGGTGATGATGGCCGGAGACGTAACTGTACGCGGAGGCTGCTGGTAGTAGCAGGATGGCGACGTTGAGCTTCATCTTTGATCGAGTGGGTGGTGCTTGGATGAAGTGAAGTCGACGGATATGCTTGTGCTATCGGTGTGATGAAGTTGGGGGTCTGGTAAGTTGTGTGAAGCCGGCCTGGGCTTCTGAGAATGAGATAGGTTGGTAATGAATGTGAGGCAGAAGATGAGTGAAGGAATGTAACGAGCGAGTGCTCTGGTAATGAGAGACGGGAGAGATGGTGGTGAGTTGGTGAGGGTGAAGAGTTTTATGTGCGAGATCTGTGAGTGAAATGAGATCGATAGGGAAATTAATTCGCAGAAAGAATAAGCGCGTATGTATTGTACCTGCAGGTTTTAGCGCCCTTTTGGCCTGCAAGAAGCCGCAGGTGCGCAGATTGAAACGCGAGAGTATTGGCACTTAACGCTCCGAATTCCCGTCTTTCATTTCCCCACCCCTGAATAATACTTGAATGTTTCATGGCCTTCAATAGCAAAAAGGGATCAAGTTAAAGGGAATGCTCGGGAACCTAAGTTGATATAAGGAGGATACTTTCTATCTACCAATGTTTATCCCATACACTCTCTACACGACGGTACGAGTATAGCAATGCGAATCCCGTTACATCTAGAACATCTAAGCATCTGCAGAGGAAAAGATACATACTCCAAAGTTGCCCCCAAGGCATTGTCTCATGACCTTGGCGCCACCATCACGACCTGCATAATCAGCGAGCCTATGATTTCTTATGTAGCATCTGGAAGAACCCACCCGACCTGAAACGCGACCCATCTTGTTGAATCTGCTGGCGGGTCGCCACGGTCTGCAGTCAAAGTGACCTACGAGGCTACCCCACTGCCAGCGTTAAGCCTGCGGACTTGCTCGGATTTCTTCTTTCGGAGCATGGGAATAGGGGCATGGTGATCTCGGCCCAATCTGAGGATCGTGGTAAATTGCGAAATGTTGATGAAACATGCATCAACTGCTTGACACGACTCAAATTTCCGTCCGGCACTTGAACACTGGTGATGCTCACGAAATGTTTACAGCCAATCATGCATCTCAAGTCACACGTCCTGCACGCTAGCACAACTTTCTTCGCTAGACCCAATGAGGCAGGTGTCTTTCGACCCAGTAGAGTATATGGTAATGCAGAGTGTATAGAATGCTGGGGCGGCGCAGACATGAGTCCAGCACATGGGATGTTCAGCCCAGCCAAAGACATCTACCCCCTACTTTGCCTAGCCAAAGACCTCTTCTCTTGACCGTGATGAACTCTCCTCCGTTCCTTCCGGTCTTGTTACTTAAGCCGGCCACGTTTTTGACCATGACCAGGTTAATGCCGGCGCTGGACAGCGCAGACATGAGCCCAGCCCAAGAGCTCTACCCCAGCTTAGATCGGACAAGGCTTTGGCCACAGCCAGGCTGATGCCAGCGAAATTTTGCATGCTAATTATCAGACCAACTGGCCGCCGGTAAATTGACCAGTTCAATGATTCACCAGCATCGAAGATACTCTCAAAGAGGTCTTGATTTTTAGATCTCAAAGGGATCTGATCTACATTATCATTACCGGCAAAGGTTTCGGACAGATCTGATTCTTAGTCACATGCAGAGTTCTCCGGAGTTATCCGCCGATAGTCATGGTCATGAATTCTGATAACGAGACCAGTTGAGCCCCACGTTCATGCACGTAATACCTTAGTATCTGAGAGTTACAAGAGAATAATGACCACAAGCGTTGACGGCCTGATTCCTTACGCTAGCAAGCTTAGAAACGACATAGCTCTGGTAGGCACTTTGTTCCGAGGCCCACCATCAGTGCCACAAACGCTCGTTGAACGATCACGAGCTTCTTGAAGCTGGCTGGGTTCTTCTTGAGCGTTGAAATACCGGATCGTGAGGCCATTTACAAGCCAGCGTCGGCCCCCGCGTTGGGCTCTGGACTGGTCACCGCAGTCCCATACTTAAGTATATATCCATCTCAACATCCTCTCTCTTCCCAGAGTCAGGCATCTCGTAAGGAGTCCGCATCATGCGAAAAGCAGCAGCTTTAGCACAACCATCCGCCATCATGGCGCCTCTCACAGATGTTCAAGCCACTTCCCAAAGCCAAAGGACATCTCGGTCAGCATATTCCTTTTCGACTTCGTCTTTTCACCCTTTCAACAACCGTTGTGCCCCAACCTGCAAGCGAGCAAACTAGGTAGATGATGCGAGAATAGGCGAGCAACTCCGCAGGCAACTGTACAGCCCCGACTGTGAACGTTTCGCAGCAGTAGCAGGCAGCTTTGCCTTCCATTCATCCCTTAAATTCAGATTGCGTGTATCAAAGCACCTCCTAGCGATACTGACCTTGAAGAGCATGCGCCGCAGGGGCAGCCACAGTCAAGCGCCCCAGCCCTCAATGGCTTATATGGCAATTGGGCATCAGGTTGTGGAGAGTAGAACGATGCTACGCGAGCTAATGATACGGGCAGCGGAGACAGCGCGAATTGAAACGTACACTGTTAGGAAAGAAGAACGTGGGGTTCGAACTGATACTGCAACATTTGTCTCTGTCAAAGACGATCATCACGATGTATAGTGAAGGGAAAGCCTCGTGGGGTAGATCCATGACTGCTCATCGTCAGAATTGTAGCACGTCGCTGACTCTGACCTTGTCCACTCCTTGCGCAAGGGCACACTGTTTCTCAAATCAGCGATTGCAGACGCTGCACAAGGCCTGTGCCTCTCTGGCAGCGAACGGTGAACGTTGCGGTTAGTCACTCCGAAAGGTACAAGGCGGCAAGGACCTGCGGAGCAGAGATGTGGTAAACAGGCGTTCCCTGTACATTATTCTGTACTCATTGCATCAAATTAAATTCTATCCGCCCATATGCATACGGAGCTCCTCTCATAGCGTCTTCTTCAGCACTATCATGTCGGAAATCTTTCTTCATACTGTCCCCTCTCTTTCTCAACCAATTGAACCCGTCGAGATAATTACGACTGTCGTCATGTCGAGAGAGAGGATCCGTACATCTGAGAGACGGTCGTCGATCATCGGAAGGTCCGCCGTAGGATCAGGCGGTACCATCGATCCACGTCCTCTTTTCTTGCTGTTGGAATAGTGTTGGCAACCTCGAGGCAAGTAGCTTCCAAGACAGACAGGAATCATGATGTATTCATGCCCCCGGCCGGGCACTGAGCGTCATGAGCGTCTTAATTGTTTCAGCGTGGTTACCCGTTCTGAACGTCTTGGTCTTCGCAACTCTGACGAATCTAGCGCGATCAATGATGGCGCAGTCCCTCTCGAGAGGCTGTCAACTGATGACATCAATGATTCTGTTGACAAGCTTTGGGCTGTTCTGGAGGCTGGACAGGATATTCGTCCTATGTCGACTACCTTAAAAGCTTACAGGGCAGAACATCCACAACCATATCTGAAGAAGGTACTGCAGGGATAAATTGCAGCTTCCGACCATGATTCCAGCTATCAGCGGCACAGATTCACCATACTCGACCTATCAATTGACGAAAGCTCCCGGCCTGGGGCAGTTCCGCGCTGTGACAGTGACTCCGTTTCTCATGAATCTGCGGCAACCACCGGCCAATGTTGCTGTTCAGATAGTGCTGTGGGACTCTGACCATTACCTTAAACCAAGTGTGGTGAACGCGCTCGGATTGGGCTTGAGGATTGACCCACGTTTTTTCGGAAGCTCTTTGTAGTGGAAACAGGCGACCTTTGGATTTCAGACACGTCAGAATTGGTGGGATTGTCGCTACAGTGGTGCGTCACTATGACCTGGATAAATTAGATGCATTCCCCATCGTTCTCATTGCTCGCATGAAATGGGAATCGATGTTGGCGGATGCTGTTGAGGAGGAGATCGGTGATATCTTCCCTTTCAGGAGCCCGGCCGATGAAAGCTATCAATTCTACACAGATCCGCATAATCGAGACTCATGCGGGCTGGTGCGTTATGATATCGGGAGATCCGAGCATTTGAACTATACACGTCTTCTCAACTGGCTTAATGAGAATGAGCCAGCGCTTGACGTTACGGACTTGGTTTAGAAAACGCTGATTGCCTTGTTGTATCCCAGCACATTCCGAATCGGTGATTTCCGCGAGAGCTTCCGTGAGGAATATTCTGAGCACCTGGGGCTTGCGGACGATCTTTGCCCTATGGCTGAGAGGGAAGAGATCACCTCTGATCTGCTTAGAAACCGAGTTCGGCTGCGAGCAATGGTGGAAGATTCGGAAGATGGCTTAAACCATCTTTTGAGATACATAGATTCCCAAACACCGGCTGGTTGGCTGTCGAAAAGATCCTGGCACAAGATGGAAGAAAACCTCAGAACAAGTCATCGGGAAGCAGGTCGATTGGAAGCACAGGTTCGTGTTTATCTGCACATTCAAGTTGGAGATTGGCCATTGCAAGAATCGAAAAAGTCCATTGAGCTTTCAAATCGTCAGATCAAAGAAGGAAAACGGAGTAAGTCTTGCTCATGACTGCAAAGTTCCGACATCATCCACTAATAAAGCGTAGTCAAGATCTGTGAGCGTGAAAAGTGAGCATACAACGATGATGAAGACATTAATATAATTGCAGTTACAATCCTCGCCTTTGTTTACGTCCCCCTCAACCTTGCAACTTCTATGTTTGGAATGAATTTGAGAGAGCTCAATGGAAGCGGGAGAAGTCCGTGGGTTTTCCTTACCAAAGTCACAATTGCGCTACTAATCACTGGGGCCTCATGGTTTCTGATGGAGGAGGTCAATAGTTTTCTGTGATAGTATAGGAGCAAACCTCATGTTGCCAGAACGCAATTCACGATGGGGTTGCGGATTGCCATGCTCGCGTGGCTACGGAAGCATGGCCAAACGAAATGGATGTAGAAATCAGGTGCTTGGTGGCGCATTCTGACCAACAGCGACTCCCCACTGAAGGGCCCAGGTAGAATTTTTGGAATGAACGCCTATTAGCTTATTTCGGGATATGAGTCTGGCATTCGTAGTAGGGAGTTTGAGTTATTTGGGGCTGATGAGAACTATGAGTGTTGAACTTGGAACTACACGCAAAAGCCTTGACTGGTGAGACTTCTCGGATAGCTCGATCTTGTGAGGTTTTGGTCTTGAGACTGAGGATCAAGACATTGTCGCTGGGACTTGGGAAGTTGACTTACCTTGTAAGATACTGAGGCGTGTAGTAAGCACGGGTCCGTATGGACTGTCTTTTTGGGGGGGGGAATGCAATTCACCGTTCAGATACAACGTCGATATAGCAGCCGCTAGATTATTGGCTACTGATTGATCATCTTAATGTAGACAAAACCGGAATCTAGACTGTGACAAGACGTCCATTTTTCCATCATCTTGACGATGGTTGAGCGAGATCATGAAATTGTGGCCAACTCCTTGAATGTCTCAATGGCATAAGGATAATGGCTGAATGAAAAATCAAAAGCCGGAGAGTCAGGCGGAGCTAGAAGCTCTGGAGAAGCGTATTGACGTGAGATATACAAATGTATGCTTAATGTCGTAGAGAAGGCGAAATGCCAAGCTCTTGCATCGAGGCTAGCAACCTCAAATCACGTGATGAAGCTAATTAGAGCTCAGAGCTCCAGGCTTGGCGGCTGTTCCAGCCGCGCTCTGCGTTCCCTCCTCTATGTGACATGCCTACCTGTTTGGTCGTTCCAACCGCCTTCTTCCTCTCAGGCTTTTCTCAAGGCATACTTCGCGCCGCCGAGATTTGCCATGAATAGTATCGCCAATGACATCTCGATTAGGAGACCACATTGGAGGACGCGGTAGATGTCCCGGAGGCACTACCCGTGGCCGGTAATGACATGATAGTGACGTAGCTATCAACATGCCGGCCATGGGTTTAATCCTCGTTCTTGAATCATACACTCTTTATATTCTCGACTTTTTATTAAACGAAACCGAAGCATCTCCCCAACAGATACAATTACCATGGCAATGTCACAGAGCGCCAACCTGGCTGAAAAGGCCATGGGCCACGGTGACAACGCAGTCACTGAGCAGAACATGACCAACCCAGCCAGAGACCGTGCGAAATATGGAGATCCCTCGGAAAACATGAAGGCTCTTGCCTGGATGGGCAAGAACGACGTTCAAATGAGTACGTACACTCCTATCTCGGTCCCTTCGACCTCCTCGCTCTGCCACTGCTAACAGCCTGTCTCCAGTCGAATGCCCGAAGCCTAAAATCCTCGAAGATCGTGACGTAATCCTCAAGGTCACCGGCTCCACCATCTGCGGCTCCGACCTCCATCTCTACCACGGCTCCGTCGTCGAGCTCCAAAAAGGCGATATCCTTGGCCACGAATTCTGCGGCAAAGTCGATAGTATGGGACCAGGCGTCAAAGGCCTCGAGGTTGGGCAAAGGGTCGTCGCATCCTTCCAAATTGCCTGCGGAGAATGCATGTACTGCAAGAAGAAGCTGTCCTCGCAGTGTGAGCGGACGAATAGCAACACCATTGAGAATGCCATGTATGGTGGACGAACCGCTGGAATGTTCGGATACAGCCATTTTACCGGTGGATTTGCGGGAGGACAAGCAGAATACGTGAGGGTGCCATTCGGTGACGTCAACCTCCTCAAGCTGCCAGACGATGTACCAGACGAGAAGGGCTTGTACCTGTCAGATGTTCTGGCTACGAGCTGGAACTGCGTGGTTGACACTGGCGTAAAAGAGGGAGATGTCGTTGCCATCTGGGGTGCCGGACCTATTGGAGAGATGTGTGCCGAGATGAGCTTCACAAACGGCGCAAGCAGAGTCATCATGATCGACGGCGGCAACGGAGCATGGAGATTAGACTTCTGCAAAGAGAAGATACCAAAACTCGAGCTCCTCAATTACACGGACCTACCGCACGGCACTAGCGTAACATCACGCCTGAAGGAAATGGAACATGGTGGCCCCGACGTTGCTCTTGAGTGTGTCGCCGGCGAGTACGCCAAAGGCTGGGCCCACCGCTTCGAATTGATGGTTGGCGCCGAGACTGACACATCAGAAATCGTCAATGAAATGATCACCTCGGTCAAGAATTACGGCCGCTGCGGTATCACAGGTGTCTATGTGGGCTTCACCAACCACTTCAACATCGGCTCGCTCATGGAACGCGGTATCCGCCTGATTGGGAACGGACAAGCACCCGTGCATCTTTACTGGGAGCAATTGCTGCAGATGATCCGGGAGGGCAAAACGGATCCTTACAAGATGCTGACGCATCGCGTCAAGGTTGAAGAGATGGACGAGGTGTACAAGATCTTCAATGAGCGAGGTGACAAGATGCAGAAGATCTTTGTGGAGACGAGGTTTTCGGACCCGCCTGCGCCAGGCACGCCAGCGTTGAAAACATTCAAGTCGTAGAGATTAGGATATTTAAGGTAGACGCTGGATACCAAATAAATTGATAAAAACCTATCATCGAAGCCTCCGGTTTCCGCTAACCCGCCCATCCCTAAAACCACACTGTTCTGCCTGGCCATCTATTTCAAACCTTCAACGTCGCCTTCTTCGCTCATGTCCAGCCAGTCTCTGCGCCTATCCTTCTAATGGTCATCCAACGAGCAAAGCCATCCGCACTCCCGCCAAAAACCACCGTCCCCTTTCCTTTCACTCAAAACTATGCAGATGTCTCCACAGCGAAGTGCGGCTCACATTTGACAGATCTGAGAAATTCGTGGCGTAAGCTGAAACAATTCTATGGGGGCCAAGATGCGTGACCCTATCGCTCTGGATCGGGGCGCCTCCTCAAACCATTGTGCCTCAAAGCAGTACTCCTACATTACTATTTTGATGTTACTCTTGTTCCTTGCTGTAATAGAAGATGATGGTAAGTTCCCAATATCTTATGGGGCTACAAACTTGTCTCCGTCTCCCAAGTCTGGTCGCCTTTGGGAGGGATTAGCCACCTATGATCATGTTTTTCTGCTTGCCTGGCCTCCTTATATACGCGTTCTTTGTCCACCGATGCCTTACAGCTCCAGCAACCCCGCAATGTATGTCCGTGCAAGTTGACCAACCAACGCCATATGTCCAGTACATTGGCGATCCAAACGGGCGTGGGACCCTTTCACTCATCATCTCATGTGTTCTCACACTCATACTTTGTGTTTGGACTGCCCTACATCTAAACGTTCCCAGCAAATCACAGACGGCCCTGAACTCGCTTATGGTTCAATCTCGATGGATTATTACCGGTGTTTATGCTCCAGAACTCGTGGTCTTCACTGCTTGGCGGCAATGGAGTTCGGCAAAGCTTCTAAGCCGTCTGAGAGAAAGACAGAGGCATTTTGGGAAGCAGCCATACGATTGGTGGGAGGAACGGGCAACCGCCCCGGATACCTTACTCCACGAGTGGACTATGACCCATTCTTTCTTCGCCTCGAACCCACCTTCGAGATTGCGGACGACCGGGCTCAATATTTACCAAATGGCTGTAAAAGGCTCACCCTCACGGCTCGTGGAGTCGCGCTCTTAGCAAGCTGCGGCCACCTACCCAATATCTCCGAAGCAGAGATCAAGGACAAAAGCAAAGCAAACAACGTGGCCAAGGCTCTGGTCATCATCCAAGCCTCGTGGATGCTTGTACAAGTTCATTGGGCGCCTTGTTGCCGCCTTACCCGTCACTCTGCTAGACGTAAATACAATAGCGCATGTGTAAGTGGCTACCCCTTTGTCTGTCCAAGATCTCGAATCTTACTTACTTGCGAAATGATGTGTGCGTTTCTTATGTGCGCTATGTGGTGGCATAAGCCTCTGGCCCCAAAGGAACCTATACTACTAAAAGGCGACTGGGTAAAGCCCTTGTGTGCTTACATGTACATGAGCAGTGAGATGAGTGGGGGGGGGTCGATGAGATCTCAATCGAGTCGCAGACCGCAGTGAATACGCTATTCGCATCGATGCGTCTCTACTCCAAAGTACCTGAGATGGATATATTGTCATTTCATCAGTCAGTTCGGATCACCGATAGCAGCGCTGTTGATGGGTTCAGTGATACCTCTTCGATGACGGTTTTCAGCTTGGATACTTTTTGATCATTACTACATATGGATTATTGCTCGTCACTTATTGGAGTAACCGCGTGCTTGGCGTATTCTGGATTTGGATATCCGGCTTCAGGGATAAGTAGAGCACGCTTCGTCGACTGGTCCTGTTCATCCGTTGTAAGCGAGCTTCTAAAGATCCGAAAATCTCGTTGTGAAGCAGAGAGACTCTTCGAGCTCTCTTTGATGCAAGCGTCACCACATGCTCCACGCCCATGTTTCTGCCGGCAGCGACACAAAACAGGCTAGCCTTGAATATAGCAGCTGGCCAGCAGCGTGCCGGGAGCTCAGATCGCATGAATATGTCGAAGGTGCCGCAGAGGCTCTTGGTACGGATCGATTGTCAGACAAAGCGTACCTTAGTTGGTGGAAGGACCAAGTGGCCAAGTGCACCGGTAAGGGTTTAGCTGGACACGCGGAGTTGCTTTCAACAATGGATGCTCGCAACTGCCTTGGAGATATTACGGTACCGATGCTGATTCTGGCACCTGCGAAAAGTAGCTTGGCAGTACTTGAAGGCTTGGACTCGCAGAGAGAGCTGCATGAGAAAGTAGTCTGGTCAAAGCTTGAAGTGGTCGATGGAACTTGTCACGAGATGTATATCGACCGCTCAGAAGAATGTCAGAAGGCATATCTAGACTTCTTGGATGATGTTCGAAAAGATAGCAAATGAGATTGGACCCAGATTTCGCTACAGAGTATCAAACATTCAGCGACAGGAAGTTCAATCTCAATGGCAACGCAAAGTTTCCGATTGCTACGTGCCTGGAATTTTATGGACGGAAACATAGCTGAAAGTATCGATCCATCTTCTTCGGTAGATCCCAAAGTTCTGACAGAAGCACATTCTGCTTACGTGGGTACAGGTTGCCTCAACGCTCTTTGACCTTTTTCGTCAAAGACAGTAGCGGAAGAAAGGCGCCAGAAGAGACGCGCTGCGTCAATCACAAAGAACGCTTGAACCATGATAAAGGATCGAGAACCTACGTTTGCCAATCTTATCCTGCTTACAATGGAACAAGAAACACCCGTTATTATTGCATGGGGGATTCTTTGACATACAGGACCCTCTGAAAGGATTCGATCAGCTATTTGAGGCAATTGAATGGCATCATCGGGAACAAGGACTGCCCGATTTGAAAGACACTTAACAAACACAACTCACCGAAAGGATTTCATGTTTGGACAAGGCCTACTATCGGGCTTTCTGTTGTCTTTTGTGTCTGCCCGCAGAGTGCTGTGGACTCTGCCTACATAAACCATGGCAACACCTGCCCATTCCCGCCAGATTCAACGACCTCTCCATCCAATTTCAACGGCCTCTAGCCCTCAAAACTCCCAATCCAACCATGTATACCCTCGTGCTTGCGACTCCCATCCTTTTGGCACTGAGTGCCGGCACTCTCGCCATGAACGCCACGAACGGCACAAACGCCCCGAACAACTCGACGACGAACCCCCCCGTTTCCAACATGAACATCGTCCTCTACAGCGGCCTGAACTGCAACTCCAACGGGACCGGCCTCAACACCACCATGGCCCTGCCTTACGGCAACCAAACCATACCCTACATCAACAACGCGCTCATGCCGGTCTTGTCCTACAGCCTCAGCCGAGCCACCACCCTTCGGGAACAGCTCGACTTCAGCGGGCCCACGGCGGGCATGGGCGCCGTCAACGGCGATCCGGAGCAGTGCACGTTGTTCCACGAAACGACGAGCCCGAATTCGAATGGGAACACGTTGAATCCGAGCCAGTGTTATGGTTTGCTCCTTGGACCGGCACAGGTGAGTAACGTTCTCACACGGACACTTATTATGCGGCAGTTACTAACTTTCTCTATGCAGTGCCTGAGACTTTCGCAACGCAAGTAGCTGTGTGAGGGATTAGTGACGATTCGTTGCCTGGATGAACTGTAGTTGGTACTGATCATTTCTTTTCGAGTTTTCTGTGCAATGTTCAAAGTAATAGAGGTCGCAATGATCGCAAGGTATGTTTTGAAGTAAGATGATAGTCCCTACATTTACTCTTTCATCCGTTCGCGTTATCAAAAAGCTATCATTTCGCATCTTTTACCAGGCACACAGATCCAGCTCAAACCTGCTACGCTTGTTGTTCCTTGTCTTCTCCTTGGAGAATCCAGCCCGTCAAGAATCGACGTAAAAGCCGCCTAAACATGTTTCCCCATCCTACCCCTCCACCCTGTCCCCTCTACTTCTACGCGATAAGTTCCACTGCAAAAAGCGCGCGAAGAAGAACAATGCAGGTCTAAACTATCAGGACCGCTTTCCAAAGGACATAGCTATGCATTCCGGCGACCTATCGCCGACAGTGCATCTCTTGGGTCGCCGATCGTGCCCTCTTTCCCTCCCAACACACAAACAAACGCACCATCCTCTCCGCCTACAGAAGAAACCACGAACCTTCCATCACCCCCACCCAAAGCCCCCATCCTCACTCCTCCTTTCCCCCGCCTCTAACATCCGCAACCCTCTCACACTCACACCCCCTCACCATCCCCATCCCCACCATCCTCCACGACCCTATTGCCCTCAATTTACCAGATCTCTATTTCCTCCCCTTCCCTCTCCGGTAATCCTCGCATCATACCCCGGAAGTACATCAGTCACCTGACCCAGCCCGCGGTGAAAAACGAACACAGCGCGATTTTGTCCATTTAGCTTGCATTGCAGATAGCGAATGTACATCACTTATTGATTGATCCCCTCCAGCCTTCGCATCGACCCGTACAACCTACCTACTACTCCACCCCCCGCCACCCCCAACGCACAAACCCAAAACGACCGCAATCCGCCAACGCCGTGGTCCCTCCCAGCCTCCCACCCCAAAGAAGGACGGTGCGTACTGTAGCAGCGTGTCCTCGCCTCTGTTCCAAAAGGCCACGGTGTTTCATTCCTACCCGCCGCGATGCCTCCGCGTGAGGTGTGAAACGGGACCGAGTCGATCCCGGCGCGTGGGTGGCAGGAATGGGGCGGGGGGGGGGGGGGTTGCTGGTGCCCTGCGATAAGGGGATCGGTGGTTCCCATTTTGTTTTTCAGTGACAGTTTTCAACGTTCCCGCTTTCAGGCACAGCACGCGAGCTCGACGACAGCAAACGGGCAGACAGAGGTGGGATGGAGGATGAAGGGATGGATGGATGGATGGATGGATGGAGGATGAAGGGATGGATGGATGGATGGATGGCGTGTGAGTGTAGGAGTACTTTGGTGTCTGAGTCGATTACAGGGGTAGGGTGGAAAGGGTGGGCCGAACGGACGAACGAACGAACAAACGAACGGACGGAGCTTGGGAGGTGAGGAGGTGGAGGGAGATCCCGGGCGCCGGCTGAATACACGGCGTGCGGTTTGAGTGTTTTCGATGGGCTGGGATGGAATGGGATGGAGGGTCGAGTGTGGAGAGAGTTCGATAAGGGGAATTGAGGGAGGGGTGGTGAAGAGGCATTTCTTGTATTCAGTATCTGAATATCAACAGTATGAGCTTGTTGTCACAACGCTTCATCGATCGATTACGTGTCTCCAAAGACAAAAACCCCCTTTCCCTTCCTATATCCCTCCAAGGTCCCTTGTACCGCATCCACGAGGACCTCCCTCTCCGTCCCCCAGTCCCACCCCACCCCCACCATCGGCGTATCCTGAAACTCCCCCCTCCTCATGATCTCCAACAACTCATCCACCGTCCTCTTCTTCTCCTCCGGATGCGCATCACTCCACCTACTCACCCAGAATCCAGAGAAGCGTAGGTCTTTGAAGATCAGCATGGCCGCTCCGACCCGCATGGGTGATTTGGACATGGCGCCGTAGGTCACCATACAGGCGCCGGAGGAGAGGGGCTTGGCCATTGCCATCGCGGCGTCGCCGCCGACACAGTTGAGGGCGAGTTTGAGGGGAGAGCGGCCGCTGTTGGTCCAATCTTTAACTTGATCTTTGAAGCCTTTCTGTTGCATTTCTTCATCTGTGACAACTTCAGTAGCGCCCAGATCTTGTAGCTCTTTCTTCAGCTTCTCTCCCTCTTCACCCGGCCGTGAGCGGACGACGGCGATGGACTTATAGCCCCACCTCTTTCCTAGCTGGATGGCTGCTCGGCCAACTCCGCTGTTGGCACCGTTCTGGATCCACCAGTCGCCCTCGTCTAGCTTGACGAAGTCCTTGAGCATGCGGTAGGCAGTGACAGGGTTTACCTTGAAGAGTCCCGAGTCAGCAGTGGGTTTCCCCAGCAGTCGTTGAAAGATGATTTGTGTAAAGATTGGAATCTTCAAAAAAATTCTTGTGTAACATGACGAAGGGCCCACTCCTACACACACTCACCCCAACGGTCCCCACCTGCTCACTCCTCAACCCCTCCTTCTCCACCCTCATCACCTTCTCCTCCTCAACCTGCAGATGCGTCCTCCAAGTCCCCAACCCTGTATGCTTCGCAATGACCCAATCCCCCTTCCGCACGTTCTTGACCCCGGAGCCGGCCGCCAGCACCTCAAAGCAGGCTTCGTTGCCCGGCACAGCAGTCGGTTGCGTTGTGCCGAGGGAGCTCGTAAAGGGAGGCACGGTAGGATAGGTACCTTGTATCTGATTGATGTCCGCAGGATTGAGGGGCGCCGAGAGCGTCCGTAGCGTCACAAGGGAAGAATGTGGGGGTCCAATGCTATGCGTGTGTAGACTGTTCGGTAGCAATATATTCAGCACCGCCCCCTTTATTTTGATGCAGAGATGCAGGTACCGACGTACCTGAGCACCTCACTCGGATTGCCATGTTTCGCGTAGACCAAGGATTTCGCTTGTGTATAACCATATGTGGATATAGTACGGTGTGGATGAGTGGCCGAGGTGTGTAGATGCCATCCGGTGATAATGCACCGTTCCCTGGCTGAGTGGCAGCGGCATAACGCACCCTGCAGTGAGATCTTAGGCAGTTTGCTATGCAGCATATTGCTGGGAGAAAGAATGTTACTAGTGCACTTGTTGTGGAAGGGATCATCCTGTAGCGACCGCAACGGCTCGCAGCATGGTTCACTGGTGGCGAGCAAGTTCCGGGTGCGCATATGTATGAATAACTCCTTTATCCTTTATCCCTTATCCCTTATCCCTTATCTTTTATCAGTTATCACCCGCTGTAAATCCGAAGCAGGTTTTTATTGTCTGGAGTGCAGCTGCAATGCAGGATTACATGCGTTTTGATAGATTACTTTATGCACTGTTGCACATCTTTTACGAGGATTAAAAGTGGCAAATAAAAAGGTATATGTAGAGAAAGTGGGTGTGATGAATTGACTTTGCTGGTCTATATGTACCCCAGACACTCGGGGAATTCAATTTTGAGGCTCTGCGAAACTAGCCTACAGTCCTGCGAATATCACCATCTCTGTCCCGACGAATTTGTTTCAAAAAATTATCTCTTATGCCCCATTTTTCACCTGTTCATGTGGCAATTCGTGACTTCCTGTCTCCCCTTCCTAGCCCTGCTTTTCCTTCCATCCAATCATCACCCTGCAGCTGGCCTGTGCAGCGAGTATCCTATCATCTACTCAACTTTGACGCTTCCCGCCTTCTTCTTCCATGCCTTCGCAACCAGTGGCACTCCCCAGACTCTGCTCTACCTTGCCAAGTGTCTGGTTCTTGCTTATCTCCTCACCTTGAGCGTCACTAGCCTGCTTCGCAGCACGCATCTCATCGACCGCAGCTTGCTTATCAGCGCTGCCTGCACTGTGCATGTCGGCAGAGGTATATGATCCGATGGTCTCCTGTGCGAACGTGAGATTTTAGTCAAGACTTCTGAAGATCAAAGGTCAGGAAGAGTCAAAGCGATCATCTTGTAATACAATTGGATGGTTGGTGAAGGATTCGACAATACGAATCATGCATGACACTTAAGGCCGATGCAGATACAGTGGTGAGTAGACATACCTTCGCGGCAGCAGCGACGTAAGCTGCATGGCCGTGTAGCATCGAAGGATTCGAGCCAGAATCAGATGCTCCTGTGGAAGACATGTTCTTCTCGGAGCTGTCGTGATTCGATACTTTCTGCGAGTCCCGATAGTCTGGAGGGCGTGAAGGACTCTATTTGTGCGGAGCGACAAGGAGCGGCGAACGGAAGCGAGGGCTTCGTTTCAGAGTTAGCTGTCGTATGAATGGCAGATGACTGATGGAGCCTGGGGCTGGCAGGGAAATGGTTCGCTCGAATACAAAAGGGTCGATGATACTCAGCGTCAAAAGAATTAATTAACCCTCTCGTTGCAATTACCTCGAAGACGAAGAACAGTCTCGAAAATGACCTCACCACCTCCACCCTTGGCTTCGGCCGAACATTCTTCCGAAGTCGGAGACGCAGTGAGAACCGAGGAGGCAGCCCAAGCTCTGAGAACACTCCAAACCGAACCGAGGGAGCAAACTGAATATCTCCCTCCAACCGTCTCATCTGCTGGGGACACTCCGCTCTCCTCGCTGCCTCCTTCACCTCCTCAGCTCTCCGTGGCCTATGGCTCCCCATACCTCTCAGGCAACGCGATTCCGCCCCTTCGCTCCCAAGAGCTACCTTCACGCCCCTCCAAACGGACTGCTTCCTCGGCCGAGCTTCGTCCTCCAAAGAGTCGTCGCAACAGCCAGGGCTCACGCGAGCCCTCCAATATCCCGACCTCCTTGGCTGGGGCTCAGTTCACGCCCGCTTCTCACCATCATGCTCCGAACCGTATCTCCAGTGGAGCTCGAGCTCCTACATCCGTTGGACCAAAGTCGCTGACCCAAAACCGTGAGTCTCAGGCAGGAAAGCGTCGAAACGGTCGCTCTCGCAAAGAACCTCTGCATCTGGCCGATCCTCAATCATCCACCGGTGCACACGTTGATGACGATGGAGACGTTCCCATGTCCATGTTGTATCCGCACCCTCGCACAATAGCCTCCGTGGATCTCCCGTTCCTCAACACATTCAAGGTCCCGGGTCCCCATGAACTTCGCTTCGCAGCGCCCTCGTCTTCCTCTGGCTACCGTGAACAGGCAGGTGCCTCATTCTCCAACAGCCCTAGCTCGATCGCCCCAAGTCCTCATTTGCCGACCCGCGACTTTCCTGGCTCTCCCTTCTTTACCGCACCTCGCTCGGCCTTCCCACGTCCTTGTCTCTCGCCGTCTCGTTCTTTCGCCGCTTTCACGCTAGGGTCTCCTTCCAAGCCTTTGACACCATCGAGCTCCTTCGACCTGCCATACGGATCACCTGGCGTTCGACTCCTGCCGCCATCCTATGACATCCTGCCCAGGCCGAACTTGCCACCATTGCAACAAGCTCCAGTCCAAGCTTCAGTGGAGGCGGACGGCTACACAGTCATCCCAAACGCAATTTCCCTTGCTCTAATCCGGGAAGTAGTTGGAATAATTGATCGGGGCCTTCCGGTGAATGCGGAATCGGAGACGGCACGGTCATATGTGTTGCCGGTTCAAGCGTACTTGGTGCGAGATGAGTTTGTCTCGGTACAATCACTCACCATCATTCCCACCAACGTACTGACGATTCTCTTTATTACAGAACTGGCGCCAGACCCTCCGCCCTTTCTACGATCCAATGGGCAAAGCCATTCCTAAGATGCCGGCTACATTTATCGTTGGCGCATTCAAGGAAAGCGATCCCACGCACCTCAGACAGTCGCTCCTTCATGCTGGCAATAAGGACCAGATCTATGTCCACATAGCTTTGACCAAGTTGTCCCCAGAGACTGGCTTCTACAACATCCTGAGGGGGTCACACCGGACAAAACATCCATCACTTACACGGGTCAATGATTGGAGCCACACTCCTATCACTCTCGAAGAGGGGGATGCTATCATCTGGCGTGGGGATGTGTCCTACCTCCTGTCGCCTAATGGCGGAGGTGATTGCTCACTATGTTCCTGGCGGAATCTTGGTCGATGCTAACGTGTTGACCAGGGAGATGGCAGTGCCTGAGTTTTGACTGGGGTCCTGGCATGGTTGATCTGACGAACGAGTGATTCTGCGGGTGGTAACATTCAACAATCTCTGCTCGACGTCGGCTACCAAGATGAAATTTATGTCCAGATAGCTTGGAACAGGCTGTGCCCCCAGCCAGGCTTCCACCCCATCTTAAATGGCTCGCATCTAAGCAAGCACCCCAACAGGACGGCGCCGGCAGGTTGATTGCAGAATAAAATCAATCTGGAAGAAGGCGACGCCATAACATAACGCGGTCACGTTTCATACTTCCTGTCGTGTGGCGGTAGAGGTAAGTCTCGCTTTTCATCTTGTTGCAACATTGATGCAAATCTGACATGGACATAGGCCAATGGACGTGCCTGACCTACGAGTGCGACCTACGAGTGGGGGGGCCCTGGTATGACTGACCTGACGAACGACTGATTCTGGGCATGGTGACTTGGAGCGAATTGATCTGCTGATATTGGGAAGTCGAGGTGACCCCTTGCGCTGCGGCTGAAGTCGCAACACGAATATTGAATGGGGGTTCCTTTGTTTCTTTCTACTGCGCTTCCACTTTGTCTCGGCGGTGCAGTAGTCGCTGGTTGTTGGCACTGCGAAATTCTCCCATCACCTGCATGGCACCCTATCCTTGCCTCTTCCTCTACTCCTCAATATCCATCCATAATTGATTAGATACCCCCAAACAGAATCCAAAAAAAAATCTTTTTACCAACCCACCGGTTAGAGGTATCTAATCCCGCAATAGATTCGATTCCTATCGGCGCTGCTACAACGGTGTTGCGCTGTTTCTTATCTTCTCCCACAGCTTCCCTTCTTCATTCAGTAAAATCTCCCCAAGCATACATACCCTACCCTACCCCACCGACCCGCGCAATCCCTCTTCTTTCTTTTCTCTTTCTCTCTTTCTCTCTTTCTTTCTCTCTTCTCTCTCTTTCTTTCTTCCCCTTTCCTTCCCCTTTCCTTCCCCTTTCCTTCCCCTTTCCTTCCCCTTCCACCTCCCCATCCCATCCTTCCTCACAAAATCAACCCCACTCCGCAGCGCTAACAGCATTTTCAAACACCGACACCGACACCGACCACGATTGAAAGGGTGAGAGCGGGGGTAGAGCGGGAGAGAAAGAAAGAAAGAAAGAAAGAAAAAAAGTTAGAAAGCCGAAGAGTATGGGAGTAGTGCACTGGACGGAGACTTGGTTGGTTGGTCGGTTTTGTAGAAGGGAAGGGAAGAGAGGGGGAGAGAAGAGAAGAGAAGAGAAGAGAAGAGAAGAGAAGAGAAGAGAAGAGAAGAGAAGAGAGGAGAGGAGAGGAGAGGGAAGGAAGAGAAGAGTGGGGATTAGAAGGGATGGGAAGAGTAGAGAAGAGAAAGGAAGAGTAGGGGATCAGAAGGGAGGGGGATTAGGAAGGGGAGGATGGAAGGATGGGAGGGGGAAGGATGGGAGGATGGAAGGGTGGAAGGATGGATAGAAGATAGATAGATCGATAGATCGATATAATAATAAAAGATAGATAGAAATGATAATAATAATAAAAAGGAATGATGATAATAAAAGATAGAAATGATGATAATAAAAGAAATGATAATAAAAGAAAGGAGAGACAATAAGAGCAAGCAAGCAAGCAAGGAATCAATCAACAAAAAAACAAGCAATAGAAGCAATCAATCAAGACAACAATCAACAAGAACAATCAAGAACAACAATCAATCAATCAAGTAACAATCAATCAAGCAACAAGTAAGCAACAAGCAAGCAAGCAAGCAAGCAAGCAATCAATCAAGCAATCAACCAATCAACCAAGCAAGCAAGCAAGTAAGTAACCAAGCAATCAATCAAGTAATCAACCAACCAACCAACCAAGCGCGTAAATGAAGAAAGAGTACGGTGATTTCAGGAGGGGGATGAAAAGGAGGGGATGAAAAGGAAGGGATGAGAAGAAGGGGATGAAAAGGAAGGGAAGGAAAAGGAAGGGATGAAAAGGAAGGAAAAGAAAGGGAAAGCGAAGGAAAGGGCGGAGTATTGTAACTATATAAGTGTGAGGTATCTTACGTAGGAGGGAAGAGGGGGGGGGGGGAGTTAACAAGAGTGAAGTAGCCTAGGTAGCATTACCGAGAAGTAGCGGTCGGGCCGTGGCGAAGTGGGTAGTTCTGAGTTGTGAGTGGGAAGAGTAGGAGTTGTGACGATGGTAATGTTAAATAAGGTATCAATGCGGGAGTGTCTGATAAGAATTGTTAGGCACGCCAAAGGAAGGCATCGCGATGAGTTGATTAGGATTACATTTAATCGCTGCTAGGTACAAAGCGCTTTTCTTATTGATAGTACAACCTCGTAAAGGCATTATGCTGTGCGTAAGCGACAGCCCACAGCCAAACCTCTACCCACAAAACACATGGCCTTGTGACGATTGAACGGTACGGACAAGGCAAACACCTAGCCTGCCATGTAGAGCCCCAGTGCCACAATGTGGGGGTTCAACATGGAGGTGTTGAACGGCGTAACGAATAGGTCGAGGTCTGTGAGCATAATGGCCATGGTGCCGTTGATGATGCCGTCAGAGCCGTAAACAAAACCCTCGGGCTGGTACGTGTAACCGGTGGAATTTGATGTGAGGGTCAATGGGGAATATCTGATTGGGTTCTCAGCTCACAGTACAACGCGGTGGAAGAAGGGAACGTACGTTAAATTGAGCTGCTGGCTCCATCCTACCCAGGCAGGTGCTCCTGCGGCTGTAGACGTTACGTAGCTGTTGTTGGGACCCACCGCTGTAAGTGATGTCAGCGAATTGAATTGAAATAAAGACACGTATGTATTTACCTTGGCCAGGGGCATCCCAAGCAAAGAGGACTTTCTTGCCAGGGAAGGAGAGGGGTTCTGATTTGTTCTATGAAGATCAGTACCAAATCATAGGACCAGAAAGAGTTGAGCAACATACGTGTCCAATCGCTGGGCCGCAACCGTAGCCGGTAACGTTGAGGTTCTCGCATGAACCTGACGTTAGGTTGGAAATCGACGGGTCAGTGATACGGGAGCCAGTGACCTCGCTACCATCCTGGGCGGTGTCGTTGGGCGAGTAGCGGTTGATGTTGGCGTTGTTCAAAATGTGAAGAACGGGGAAATTTTGCCATGCTGTCAAGGCTGTCAGCTTTGCTGTCCCACACAACAGTGTCCGCGTATCCACATACCGAGACGAGTCTGATTCTCTGGGCAGTAGCTGATGTAAGGAGCGAGCATAGTCCATGACCACGACTGAGGCCTTTGTTTCGAAGTCAGTTCCCCATATCGCTCCGAACGTTTGCGATCCCAACTCACCAGCCGTTCTCGAACCATACATCCATCGGAGTAAGACCGCTCATCTGGCGGAAGATCTGCTGCTGGCGAGCCTCGGTAGCGATGGACTGAGCCAGAAGCTGGCCAACTTCACGCGAGTCGAGATGGTTGATATAACCCCAGACGCCTGATTCTCCGAAACGAGTCAGACGCTGCATAAAGTCGAGCCATTCACGGACGGTGTTGTATGGATAGTCATAGACGCACTGCTTGGGTGCAGTCTCGCCGAGCATGTTGGTCAACAGGGTGGAGTGGCCGGTTTCCTGATCGGCCATGAATTCGATGAGGGACATGTACTCGGAAGTGAGGCCGGCCTCGAGAAATTCGGCTTCGGAGAAGCGAGCGAGGCCGTCGTGGAAGAGATCGAGCTCAATCCATTCCTATCAGCGGTGTCAGCAGAATTTCTGTCCCTAAGAGCGAGCAAATCGAACCTGGTATAAGCCCAACGCGATCGACTCGTAATCAAAGTCACTCTCCACCATGTAGCGTGGGAGCGTGCCGTTCGTGCCCAGACCGCCAGCCGGTGTGTATGGAGCTGGTAAAGGGTTAATGGGTTTGCCACCAGTGTTATAGTAGGTCGCCGTCGGGTTCAATGGCAAGGGCGGGATGGAGGCGGCAAGAGTGGTTGGTCCATTCGCCGCACCGGTGGTTGTTGGCGTGCCGGTGTACGGACCATGGTACGTGGCGCTGGTGTATCCATCACCGAGCTCCTCGGCGAGTGGGTAGTCCGGACCAGCGGTACTTTGAGCTTGGTATGAGACCTGGACATCAGGACCGAAGGATGCTGGCTCGGTGACTTGAGGAGCGGGGGCAGGGGCAGCTAGGATAGCTGGCGCCACTGCCAAGATTGCAGCAATTGCTGAACGAGTAAACATGTTGAAGCAATGGGATGTTTGTGCTAATGATTGAATAGCGACGTGGGGTGATGAAAGGGAAAAGGGTAAAGAAAGTGGCCAGGTGGGAATATATATCTACCTTAGTATGGGTGGCAATTACCGAATCAACAATGATTTCGTCAGCCCGACACCGCGTAATGCTCGCGAAGAGCTCGGGCAAAAAGGCAGGAGCTGGCGGTAGGCTGCATTCTTTTTGAGGTCATGACCGCATCCATGCTTGCCCAGTAAAGTAAATTCTAGTACCTAATCGTAGTGGTAGAATCATGTCACTTGCAAATGGTGGTCAAGGTCTGGACTTTGTTTGGTTCAATGACGCCAATGAAATGCCACTATCGAAAAGCTTTTCAAAGCTACCCCGGTCAGTGCATTCCTAGCTCTTCCACTTGCATCCGAGCGAGCCAATCATTGATGTAGAATTGCCTATTACATGAAATATCATTGATCGAGAGCTTTCATTCATAAAAGCGTGTGAGATAGTGTGGCGGAGAAGGCGGCAGCCGGCAAGGGAATGATCGATGCACGAAACATCTGAAGCACTAAAGTATGTATTCGCTAGAAAAAGAGGTGGAGAAGAAAAGCCATCTCTAGAGTCTAAGGTAGCGAGATGGAAAAGTTCAAAATATTGACGTCACCTATTCGCCAGATATCTCCTTCCCGTCAAGACTTTTTCCCCCCTGATGCCCCCACCTGAATCTTCAGCCCTAAAGTACCTACACTAGTAAGCGAGATCCAAATCTCCGAGCTCACGACTACGGTTCGACCTCCGCTAAGGTATAATGTATAAGGTATAACTTATAAGTACAACCAAACTTAACTTAACAAGACCAACATCTACCGCTGCACTTTCACTATGGCGCTTATCTATCGAGCCGTGAGCCGCGATACCGCTCAGTGACTGTTGGGAAAAGGGAAATGGATGAAATGTGATACTTAATGATGCTTTCGGGTCTTGGTCAACGTCTCTGGCGGCATTACCGGAGCTGACAGCTCGGCCGAGGCCTAGAAAAGATCATATATGCCTCTTCACCCGAATTCCCCGAATTCCCGACCCTAAATCCACCAATACCTCCAGCGACCTTCCTGGGGGGCGACGGTGTCGAGCTACCCCGAAAACCCGTAAGTTGGTAAAGTATACGTATGTTCAGCATATGCACATTCCTGGAGCCTCGGGGAAGTCTCAACCCCGGCCGAGGAGGAACCCAGGAATGGCAGCACATATGCCTATAACAACCATGAATCTCTCGGCTTTCCGGTATTGCATCGATAATTGACACTCGGCTGCCGTATATCCAAAGTGTGAGCGTCAGTGATTCATGACTGGCCACATGATTACGCTGCCTTGTCCAAATGAATCAAGATCAGATCCTACAACGGTGTGTCCCAGAAGATGGCACGTTACATCCTTCCTTCCTTCTCATTTGCCCAAGATGCGGCAGCTTGGCCGACAGAGGTAAAACACCGACACGGATGTTGCCGGCGTCTTAGGGGTAGATCTGCGCGGCGTGTACTAGATCGAGGCAGGGCATGAAGCGGCTATCCTTCCCTTGCCTTTCCTATCCTGCCCTTTCACTTCCATAGGCTCATTCATGCCTCTTGTGGATGAAACGTCAAGAGTTTGGAAACCATTGACTGCCACTGCCAATCTGAAAAAGCGGGTACTTGATGTATGGCCATACGGAGTGGTGGCGTTGGGAAGTGGTGCCGCTTCCTCTTGTACTCTCGTCCTCTTTTCAGCTGATCATATGGTTCCACGTTGTGACAGTACACATGTTCGGAAGCGGGTTCTGGTCCCCGCCTTCTTTGCCTTGTTGGTAGACATGATGCTTCCTGTGTGGTGAACAGGCGTCCGTAGGTGAAGGGATGCAATCATTGTTGAGACTCAGCTTCTTCAGGGACAGATGTCTTCTCCTTGCAGTGACAATAGCGTGGAACCTGACAGGAAACCGATGTCTAGATTCGTTTGACTTGTTTGCATGGAAGATGCTAGTCTGCGGGATGCTGATCTCTCAACTTTAGAGCGCGCGATCGGGCTCTATGATTGATGGCGCCCTGATGACAGGACAAGCAACTCCTATAGATAGATGTCGCAAAAGGGCGCATATCTAAATCAGCATAGCTCGCAGCTGACTCTAGGGATCACCCCTCGCCCTATTCATAGGGCCCCAATCCGGCTTTGGATTGAGCTGATATCTGACCATGCGGTTTCTTTGCGGTTCCCTTCCTAGCTTTTCGTCGAACACGATTTTGAGCTTGCTTGGATGTAGAGATTTATCTCTAGGGCCGTCTTCACGGTGTTCGGCTTCAGGATTAAGTACAGCCCCAACTTCCCCTGCTCCCGCAGCATTAGTACTCTGCAACTCCACCCCTCCATCTTCGTCGCAACGAGGGTCTTCCCGCTCCTTGCTCGGTTCCTCTGGCTTGGACAGCCGGTATAAGGCGGCTTCCACCTCTTTCTTCAATCCTACCACATCGGTAATGATGTCATTCTCCAGTGCTTGCCGCAGCTCGTTCTTCGCATCCATTAGCTTCGCGCTCCCTCTATCTTTTTTCATGATTGCCCATCCTGCCATTCCATTTTTAAGCACTCCCTCTTTGATTGGGCTCATCTGCCTGACCCATTCCCTCATGACCTCCCAGATAACGCTCCAGGGTGCATCAGTGCAGATACTACCGGCTTTGGTATGTGAGCGCGTAGTACGGTAGCCAAGGCCTATGAGGGCACCACGAATGGCGGCGTCGGATGGCGAGACGCAGTGAAGAATGCGAGAGAGAGCGGAGGGGAGGAAGAAGAATGGATGCCGAGCACGAGTCGCGGAATTAGTGGGAGGTATGGGTCCAGTCGATGCTTCGGATGAGGCGCCAGGCTCGGCAGCGGACGACGAGAGAGGGTCTTCGAGGGTCTCGTTGAGCGCGACTGAAAGCATTCCTTGGATACGAGGGATTGTGCCGTAGATGGACTTGTCAAGGGCTGGGAGCATGTCTAGGATGCGTTGAATGAAATGAGAATTGTGAAGGGGACCACCCCACATTGGTCCAGCCTGGTGCGTTTTGAATCCGCAATGCTCACAATGCGTATTTGTGGACGGGGCCAATGCGGGACTAAAATTATAGAATGTATCTCCGTTCTTGGCCTTCTTTTCGCGCGTACGGGCAAGGTGTTGGATCGACCATGCTCCGCAGCCTGCATCGCAATTATAAACGATCATGGTTTTGCTGGCGAGGAACTTGACTTGAACCGGTGAATGATGGATACGGACAAAGACCCGGGCGTAGAAGTCGATTGAGAGAGATAGGAGAGGTTCGATGGCGAGGCCATATCTTGCAGCTGATGTGGCGATCGCCTGGAGGATGAGACGAAGACCGCCTTCGTGAGCGTGTGGTCCTTTCAAAGGCAAGCCGCCATACTGTGAGTACGTTTTCTCAAGGTAGCCAAGAGAGGCGAAGACCCCAGCATCGGTACACGTGACACAGAGAAGGCCGCCATCGACAATAGCACGTACTGCTGCATCCAAGAATGGAGCTGCTGTGCCATATGGGTCCAGATCGATGACATGGTAGTGCATTGCGCCTCCTGCAGCACGAGCAGCAGCTCGATGCATGTGCTCTATTGCATCACCTGTTGTAGGGTTGATCTTGTCAGAGAGCTTGTTGTGCTCAGCGTTGAGCTTGATGGAGGTTGTTGCTGAGGAGGAGAGATCGTTGGCTGTAATTGTAGTGGCCATAGGAATCTCTTTGGCGTAACGTAGAGCTCGTAGACCAGTAGCGGACAGAGCGTCAAGAATTCGAATAGGGGGTTGGGCAGTATGCGTATAGGCTCCCTTCCCTACACCAGTCTCAGTTGGAACACCATCTGTTATGTGTCCCTTCATGGTTTTATCTCCTGCTTTTGTGCCGTCGTGTACCTCCCAAGGCCACTTCTGTTCTCCTTGAGCATCCCCATCAGCCTCTGTGAGTGGGGCTTCGTGCTCTGTACTCGCCCTCTCTACCGCCGAGACTCCTCCCACGGCATCATTGATAGGAACGTTGCCCTCATCACTCTTGTTCCTAGTAGCCACAGGCTCCTCCGCGTCTTTTGAACCTTCAGCTTGCGGCCTCTTCCTCTTCTGTCCTCGCTGCTTGTCATGAGCTACTTTTTCTATTCTTCTTTCATGTCGAGCTCTCCGAATAGCGGCCAAGTCGTCTCCGAATGCTTTGATAGCAAGGACACTAAGGTCGCGATTGTATTGTTGTATCGGGTTGTAGAAAACGGATTGAGATTTGTTCTTCGTAGCTTTAGGATCCGCTTCGCGCTTTAGATCGAGTATCTCCGCCGCTCCTTCCCTCGCAATACTGTAAGTGTTACCATGGTATGTAACCTCTGAAGGGGACTGTGAGGCCCCTTTGGGAGGGTCAGTGCTGGTTGAAGCTGGTAAGGAGCCCATGGTGGGATACGGTGCAGAGCATGTTCTAAATGGCCGAAGAAAATCTGGTGTTATTTTCGGTTTGTATGCTGTAAGGTAGATCCGGTGAGTCAACAAGCATGAGGGTCCCGCCAGCGTAGATGATAGTATAATGATTATGACACTGCTATAAATAGTTCTTAGAAAATGCGAGTCCCGAAAATGCGAGGTTGAAGATCTCCCGCCGCTCAATGGCCGCCAAGACAAAGTTCAGATGCCAGATCTTCAATCGTCTTCATAAGCATTGATTATGATGGCCAATGCTTTGTGGAAAAAGTGTCCGTAATTGTGATACCTACGACTTCGGGTGCAAGAGTCTATTGATAAATGATAATCTTGGCACGGTATCCACTGACAATCCTTCATATGATGATATATATCCCTCGAACTCAAGAGATTTAGAGAGTCCATACTGTCGTGCGCCGAGATCCCGCCCCTTGTGGTGATGCGCATGCCCAACCTTGGCCTGAGAAGCATATTGCAAGCAGCACCAATCGAACCTATAATTGTGCGCGGTGCTCGGGAGTCTCAAACAGCTTTTTCGAATTGCCATCGGTATGTAAGAACATTGAAAGGACTGGGTGGTTGTGTCGATTGCTGTACTGAAGCCCCTTTTCACGATTTCTGTCCGGAGACAAATGCTTTGTTGCAGTCTAGCCGTGGGAGCGTTGACGTACCGTTTGATGCTTGTACATCTAACTTTTGTGCTTATCTTAGGCGCTGCTTGAGAGCTTTCATTCGTTCCTCCGCACAAAGACTATTCAATACTTGACCTTCGTGGAAGTGTCAGTAATCCAGTGGCAAACCTTCCCGTGTTTCCGTACCCGGATACGCCTCCAATCGTTGACTTGAGTCTGCAAGCTCTCAATTGCTGTGTGTAACATAGATCAGATCCAGTCCCAGATCCGTTGGGCCCGGGAAGAGACTCTATATTCCCAAGTATATCCACCGTAGACTCACAATTTGCGAGCCAGGCGCTCTCAATTACCAGAAATTACCAGATCAAGGCTCTCGTTACCGCTTTCCACGGCTGGGAGTTCTGGGGTGAGATGGCATGGGTGAGGTCACCTTTTGCACCGGTCTCGACCTCGAACATGACCGATGCTAGTGCGAATCTGTCCGTGGGGTCTGATACAGTTTGTGGAGGGCCGGTCACCCCAAGACTTTCTGGGCTGCCAGTCGCCGATGGGTTGTCTTGTCCAAAAAGTCTGGAGCATGTGAAATCGTAGAGCACGATCGCACCCTCTGAGTGGCACAGAAAATCGTCAATTCGGACGTTCGCGTGGGCTATTTCGAGTTCGTGAAGAGGTACAAGAGCACGGAGCATGTCTCTATACCAAGCAATCCCAATGGACTGAGGAGGCTTCTCGGTCTGCTGGCGCCTGGAGGTATATACCCTCAGGATGCACCAAGAAAATCGTTTGCGAAACGTTGATGTGGAAGGTTTATTCAAGACGTTCAAGGATGATACGCGCGTTCTCAATGTCCTCGTAGTGACAGACGGTATGTAGAGCATACTTGTACTTACTGAGCCATCTGCGAGGAGTCGTCCGCTGAGTGGACGACCTGGTCATTGACGACGCAATTGTAAGCAGAAGACCCGCCGTCCAGCCGCTCAAGGTCTTTCTGAATTTGATCAAGCATTAAAGCGGTCGCCTGTCAGAACTAAAGACTCTCATACATTCACAACTGTATCACCTCAAAGGTTCGGCCTGGTTTCCTTATTGCATATCAGTCGAGGAGGATGGAGTGCTAGGATATATTGTTTAGTAATTTGTGGGGAGTTTGGTTGTCGGGAGTGGCCTTCCAGAGAGAGAATTCCCGGTAACTTTTATCGAGTATTGGTGGTGAAATCCGCACCATACTCTGGAACAATAGGGATGGAAGGGTAAAGAGACATGCAATATAGCGAAGACTCTACCGCCACTACCACCACACAGTCCTTGAAAGCTCCATTCTGCCACGCACGTATACCATATGTGCAGCACTCTCCCCTAACGAAAGGTCCGATATCTGAGTCCCGAAAGATGAGTCCCGAAAGACTACATCGACTGCATGGAAAGATTGTCACATATAATGTCGTGATCATGGTGCTTGCCATTCCTTATGCAGCTTCAGCTTATGTTGTCACAAGCAGCAGGGCTCACAAAGCATGCCAAGCGCAAAAGATACCAACATGACGCTTGAATCTTGATGGGGCCAGTCGAGTTCAATCTTTCCCAGGCGAGAACCCAGCGTATTTCGCAATCATGAGGCGGAAATTACCTAAGGCCATCACAACGCATTCATCCCACTTTCTTACCGCCGCTCATGCACCAACCTCCCCCCCACAAACACTTTCTTCGTATTCCGATCGTCCCCGCAAAACAGCCACTTGGCCACCTTCTCCCCCCACGTCTCCATGCCCCACAGCTCCACCGGCCCTCCATTCCCCTCCCCGCCATCGTCGGCTCCCCCCTCACCATCTACGGCATCGAGTTCAACGAGCTGCGCATCCCACTGCATGCCCACCTCGAACCCTCCCACCTTCCCTTCCAACCCCAAGCACTTGGCGCCGCCCCTTGTAGCGAGGTAGAGACATTCTTCCACGCCGAGCTTTTTCCTATCCTTGGCGCTCGTCGAGTGCTTCGCCGCGACGTCGTCCGATGCTTCCGCTCCCCGCTGGCCCTCCTTCTCATCTGACCGCGTCTCCTCCACGGTCAGCGCAGCCAACGTCCTACTGACCATCGCCGCCTCCCTGGCCGCCACCAGGATGCTGGACGAGTATCCCCCACTGACATCTGTCCCCAACCCGACTTCGATGCCATCGTCCAACAGCTCCCGCACAGGGCACAGCCCGCTGCTTATGCTCGTGTTGCTGACGGGGCAATGGCTGACTTTACTTTTCCGCTCTTTCAACAACATCCTTTCCTCCAGAGAAAGATGCACGCAATGTGCCAAGACGGTCCTTGGCGTCAGCAGGCCGTGAGTATCGTAAACGTGAGAGTACGAGTCGTGCGCGGGGAATTGTCTGCGGACGAGCGCGATCTCGGACGTATTTTCGCTCAGGTGCGTTTGGATCGGGAGTGCAGATTCTTTGGCGAGAGCGCCGAGGCCCGAGAGCAGCGGTGACGAGCACGAGGGTACGAATCGAGGTGTGATGATTGGCGTGATGAGAGCGTGCGTCGGGTCGATAGAGTCGATGTGAGCGATCGTTGCTTTTGTATCTTCGACCGCCTGTTCCGGTGACTCGTCTCGGAGGTAATCGGGATTGAGATCGTTGTCCATGCATACGCGGCCGATGAAGGCTCTTTGACCCTTCTCCAGACAGACGTCCGCAAGCAGGTTTGTCGAAGCGACGTGTTTAGTAGCATAGTAAGAGGCCGTTGTGGTGCCGTGGGAGAGTGTTCGAGATACGCAGGCAGAGTAGACGCGGCGAGCTTTAGTGAGGGAGGAGAGAGATGATTCGATGGGAAACGTGTACGTGTTCAGCCAGTCGAGGAGGGTAGTTTTGCCAAAGATTCCGACGTTGGGGTACTGGGAGGCGTGAATGTGGGTGTCTACACATTCAAAGGACGATCAGTCATCTAGGCCTTGATCAAGCATGATACATCGACTGTGCCAAACATGTAGACTCGACGTGACAGCGCAAGGAGATAGAAGAGGGATAGTCTCCATCGACAAGAACAGATTCGCGTAGTGTAAATGCAAGATCATGACAGCCACATAGCTGCAAATAGCCTCTCATTCTGCATCTCAGCAAAGACCGCAGCCTGGACATGAAAGCCTCAAGGATTCAAAGCCCACACCATAGCATTTTTCACAACCCGTGTAATCGAAAAACACCCCACTTAGGGAAAAAAGAAAAAAGAAAGACTGAAGCCCATCATTCCCTCCAGCAACTGTACCAGCATCAACCTACCCCCTCGCAGGATTCAAATATAAAACCATACAAACCGAAGTCCAGACACGATATCTCCATCCCCTCTCATCCAAACCAAAACCCACCAAAAACAAACAAAACAAAACACCAACCCCAAACGCAAAACTCAACCGCACTCACCGACAAACCCCGGGAACCACCACCCCCTCCCCTCCCCGCCCGGCCTCACCCACTCAAACCCCCCATCCCAGCCCCAATTCCGCCCAACCCAACCCACCACATCATCATAGCCCGTCGCCGCACCTCCGGGCGGGAGCGCCGCCCGGTGGGTGATGACGCCGTGTGCGTCGACGGCGAGGGCGTGGTTGTCGAGGATTTCGAGTCCGGTGGGGGTGGGGGTGGAGACGAAGGTGCCGGTGTAGAGGGTGCGTTTGAGGAGGGGGGGAGGCATTGTGGGGGTTGTGGGAGATGGGGGAGATGGGGGAGATGGGAAGGGGAGGGTTGGTTGGGATGCTACATGGGGGGGGGGTGGTGGAGATGGTAATCTATGAGGTATGTAGAGGAACTTGCTAGGGGGGGAGTGGGAGGGAACTAGCGGCTCGAAACGGTGGCCGGCGCTCGCCGCTGAGCTTTATTATAGACAGGCATCAAATGTGCGACTGCGGGGCTGTCTCTGCAGGGGGAGGAGACATGTGGTAGATGGTCACTAGGCTGCTTGGAAGTGTTTTCTGGAAAGGAAAAAGAGGATCAAGCCCGATTAAGTATGGAAGATCGATGCTATTATGCAAGAAAGCCACAAAGGAGGATCCAGCCCCTAGTGAATATCCTTGAACAAGTCTTCCCCGCCCAACCCTCCCCCGCCACCCACAAACACCGGCAATTGCGGCGGCGGACTGTATGACCTTGGCGGCAGTGGTTCCTCAATCTCTGGCAGCGTCTTCTCCGAATCCAAGTCTTCCATTGTCGCATCCTCCTCCGCCTCATGGCTCCCATCAGTCATGTTGTCCTGTCCTTCATTCGTACTACTGCCCGTAGCCCCCGTCGATTCGCCATTCAAGCCTGCATTCTGTGCCTGGTTCTCCTTCCCATTCATTGCGGCAAACGCGTTAGCCAAATTTAGATTGCTCTTCCTCCTCCAGAATGTCCCGCTCTTTCTAGTTTGCACACCTTGTATGTCATCCTTCGGCGCTGGGCTCAGAGGTCTTGCCTCCTCTGCCACCGAATCACCTCTCGTCACAGGGCTCGAAGGGGAAGCCGGAGTATCCTCCCCAAAATTCATGCCCAGACTGCTCTTCCGACGCCAGAATGTCCCGCTCCTCTTCTTGTTCAAACTCGGTCGTAGACTAGATGTGAAACTCTCCCCACTCGCAGATGCCGGTCGGTCATTCTGGGAATGGAGGGAGGCATTGTCGTAGCTTCGTCGGAGAGCTTTGAAGGAGAGGAAGTTCCGAACACTACCTGGTCTCTTCGGACTCTTGGAAGTCGGCGAAGGTGTATTATTTGATGCCGCAGGCGAAGCGTTGTATCCTGCATTCTGCACAGGCGATGAAGCTGGCGGTGTAGTGGGAAAGGCGCCGGGCATTATCGAGGCCGGGCTCGAAAAGTATGCTTCATTGCTCAAGGGGCTCTTCTGCCGTTCGACGGGCTTGCGTTTCGGCGTGATGGGATGGGTCATTGGTGGATCCTTAGGCGGTGGAACAGGGGGTAACGCGGCGAAATTTGGAGAGATTGGGGCAGGGGCAGGGATGGATGTGCCGGTCGTGAGGGAGCCTGTGGAGGGAGGCAGGGGAGGCAGTCTGTACAAGGGCGAGGAGGGCCTATTGTAGGATGAAGAAGATGGCCGTCTTCTTTCACTGGAGGAGTGCGACGTGTTGGAGGAGGCGCTGAAAGAGGGTCGCCGGTCAGAGGCCATTGCGTCAAAGTCTGTGCGGGTACTAAGCTGAAAGCAGCGCAGAATATGCAGGAGTACTGCAGAGAGTACGAAAAAGAATATGCAGGGTAAAGGGTCAAACGAGTGGAATAAAAATAGCTATAGACGGGGAATGTAAATAGGTAATATTATTTTATTCAAAGGAGATGCGAATGAAGGAAGAAAGAAAAACAGACGATGAGAAAATTGTGTTACCGTGGTCTAAAATACGCCTCGGATGCTTCTCCATAGCTTGGCACATCACGTGGCCTCGTGGCTTGCTCCGCTTCGGCGGGAAGTGCCGGAGAATATACGATCGGATAATTCTTCCCTGCTGCTCAAATACCTCTCGCGGGTCTCAAGTCAATGCTCGATGGAAGCATTCGATCATGGCTATACTCAGTGCCCACGAGATTGGCTATGGTCTCGTACTCGAGCATGAGTCACGCTCTACCAAGGCCTGTATGAGTCCCGAGCAATTTATTCGCAAGCAGACCAGATACCAACGTGCACTGGAGCTTTGGTGGTTGATCGAGCATTGAAAGATTTTCACAACACGGTGCTAATTACGAATAGATCGGAATAACAACTTTCGCAGCTCGTAAAGGTGTCCTAGTCAGGAATTCAAGGATAAAGCAATAGAACCCGTTCCTGACGAGTTCTATGCGTTTAAGAAAATACAACCGTCCATCATCCAAGACTGTCCGATTTCGATATCCGTACAGCTGTTTGGCTCTTCCACCCACTCAGCTCGCAGCCGCAAGCACGCTCTTTGCGATGTTGCCATCAGACCCCATGACAATCCTGTAATCGCCATCCTTCATGTACTCGAACCATGAGAACCCTGTTTAGACGCACCACAATTAGCTGAAGCTCTTCATGTAGAGAAAGACCTCCTCAGAAGAACGTTGCCACAAACATAGAGCTCCTGTTATGGAGAAGAGACTCACCAATATACTGCGGACAAACCTTCAACGTCTCCTTTGAACTGACCTGGCCCAGCCAATACTCCTTCTGCGCGGTCGTCCCACCCTGCAACCACCCCGTCTCCCCCAACGCAACCGGAATCTGCGGATACTTCGCACAAAATGCACCCATCATCAATTCAAACGTCGCTTGTTCCCCACTGAGAATCTCTCCGTACGCATCCAATCCCACAATATCCACATACTCGCTGCCTGGAAACCACTCGGCGTCCATCGTGTCCACCGTGTCGCCTGGCTGGAAAGGGGGTATCAGACTCCAAAACATCTTAACCCGGGAGCGATCGACGCCTTTAGCAACGGCCTGCCACATGGCCTTGTACTCCTCGGTGGTGCCGTGGTATTTGACGGTAGGGTCAGTGTTTATGGTGTTGGTGTCGATGTACCAGTTCACCTCGTGAGCGAGACGGAGCCAGATGGTTTGGGATCCTTCTGCGAGGATCTTATTCATCGAAGCCACGACCGCTGAGGCCGAGACTTCAGAGAATGGAATGTATGGCTGGAGAGCGATAATGTAGATGGCGCCTTTGAGTGAAGAAGGCATGGCTTGAGTGTCCATTTGTAAGGCCGCCCCGCTCATGCTGGTCGCCGAGGTAATTTGGGCGTAGTTACCGTAGGTGCAGGGGCCGTGTAAGGAATCGACTTGGCTTTGAATGGTCGTTATGTTGACTCCGTCTGGCAGCCAGCCCATAGGCACGCCGTTTGGTCTGTAGCATTCTGGTGAGAGACCGAGACCGGCGATCGAGGCTGCTAATGGTGATGTGCTGTTAGAGGTTGATGTTGTGTCGTTCGAGTGAGGAGAGGTAATGCTTTGCCCGGAACTTGGAGAAATGACTGCAGAACTGGTCGGAGTGCCTCCTCCAACCACAGCAACCGGCGAACTCTCAATCGCTGCACTGCTCACACTCAAGCTAGATACCGCAGGTCCATGCGTGGTAATGTGGAACCGCTGGTGGACACCGCCGCCATGTTGTGGGTGCGCATTCCCATACATTGGTGCCACCAGGGCAAGCCCAAAGATAGCGACGCACGTCTTCATGGTGTTTGAGAGGTAATGAAACCAAATAGTCAAGCGAGTGTGGGAAATAGGCACAGTCAATGTACGGAGTGACCGAGCAATATCGAGCTCCTGCAAAGGGAATGTAAAAAGAGGAAAAGAGTGTGGGTGACGGAGTACGTAAAGAATAGAAGTGAGGAAGGAGTAGACTTTTAAAGGAAGAAGAGTGGAATGAATAGGAGAAAGGTGCACAGTGAGGCGCAAAAGGGATTAAGCACGTCGCAGCAAGATGGAGGCTAAGTTGTTTCATCGGAGATTATTAGTCCACTCACACCATTCACAGCTGCTTACGACATAGATATCACGATCTTCGGCGTCAATATTCTGCGACAATTTGACAATTTCCCCTGTACTCCACAATTCACAATTCTCCTGCTATTTCTTTTGCTAACTCCCAGAAAATTAGCATATGTGTTGGCCGCCGTGGGCCGTAGAGCCTCTGTAGGTATACCGTATCAAATCGGTGAAAGATATGTCCTTATGCATTTGCCGTAGTAGGCAAGGTGATTGATGCATGCACTATGCCTTAGGCGCTCATAATTAAATTAATCCAGTAGGTAAGCACAAATCCTGTGCAACCAATTTCAAGCGTGTTCTGGGCCGCAGACACAGGAGTGCGGACCCTCTGATCCTGCGATGCGATGTGACGTCGCGGGGTAGGTACATACGAGTACCTATGTCGCCGGACCCCTCAGACACAAGAGGTACGTGGGATGCAAAATGGGTTATGAGATGAGAGGCAGATTTTAATGTTGACTGGCACAAGAACCATGTTATCCAGCTTGCCAATCAGTGCAACGGAGATCCATTGTTTGAATGAGATGCAACGAGAGTCCTAGGATATGGACAAGAAGACATGTTATTCGGACGAAATTCATTCGTGAAGAAGATTAGTAGGAACGACGGGAGTGGCCAAGGCCTCCATTGGGCTTGGCGTCAGGTGATTTAGCGCTGAAGATCCTCGACATTGACATAAAACGTTCAATCAACAGGAGTCGATCGGACAGGTGTCGCTATTACGCTGATGCCACTTATATCTAACCTCAGTGACGGAGTAATACATGGGTTGCATAAAACTGTGAGCATCAATCTGTCAGGGACAGCTTTTCGACATCATCTCTTTCAGTCACCTTGACCCGAGCAGCTACCAAAGAGAATTCATCCTTTTGCCCCCTTTGGATGACTTCTGCCACAAACAATGCTACTTCTGTGACACACCTTCGGGACTTTGAAGAGAAGATGTCCTATTCAAGAAGACTAATGGCCAAACTTTGCTCTGTTAACCGCAAACTGACATGGTTGAATTTCATCTTCCAAGTCTGCACTCAAATTGATGGGTATACAAATTGTATTGCACCTGTTTTTGTGGCACATCTTCTGTATGGAAGGTATTGTTATTGTCAGTAATCATGTTTTTGTGCTTGTCAAAAGTGAATGAATGTTCATATGGTCTCGTTCACTTCCAAATCACCACAGTACGCAACAATGGCCCCATTCACTGTTATACAGAATGAGGACCCATTCATTCTATTCATCTCTTCACCAACGATAGGAACGCAAGCTCAAGGTCAGTATGGCCTTCGAAGGCGCCGTCTCACCTTGTCATCGTCTACTATTCAAAAGCGCGGGTCGTATTTTCTTCTCGTCTCTAATGGCCATCATTCGTACCCACCCCTCCAGACAGCGGGCAGGGACCCCTGTGACGCCGACGAAGGCATCTTCCCATGCTTTGCTAAACCGTGTCTGCGACAGGCCTGGTGCCGCCATCTCCAAGCAGCTTCGAGCGAGTCAACAATCAGGCAAGAGGACACGAAGCCCAAGCGCGCAGCTTCGAGCCGAACTAGAGAGTGCTGTCTCCGGTATAGCCTCCGCAAAAGGGCACGAAGAAGCACTCCGCATCCTTTTCGTACCATACCCAGACGTCAAAGACATAGCAGAAGAAACGCACCTCGCCATCGATGCATCCAATACCTCCGACCGCTTCCTAGCTCGCTATCCCATGTACGATGCCGAAAACATGTCAATGATCCAGCAAGAACTAGGCAAAGGCTTCGCCTCTCACGGCATGACGAGCACAAAACCCTACTACGAGATCCCCATCCTGCACCAAGGCGTCGTCACGATGCAGCATCTCTCCCACAGCTTCAACCGCGACGTGACATTCCGATCCTGGGAATGGTTGCAGGCCCAGCTCAAGGTGGTCACTGCTCGACCAAAATGCTCTTCAACAGCCAAAATTCGCTACCCACAACCACGCAAGACCCCAACCCATCCACGGAAAGCGCAGCAGCACGCCTTATTCTCCGACTCCAACATCCCCTGCATCATCTTCCTCCACTGGACCGTCGACCCCGGACCCTCCACTGCCGAAATCAACGCCATCTACGCCACCATCGCCACCATCCAGTCCTCCCGCCCCGGACAACTCTTCCGCGCCTTCCCCTCCCACTCCGAACTAACCCGTGAAACCTCCAAAATCCCCGACATCCAAGCCCTCGACGCCATCGCCTCCCTCTCACCCCCAAACTACACCTACAGACCGCAAACCTGCTTCACGCACGGCGAACGCGCCCACGACATGACCCGTTGCCCCCTCCGCGGCCACCGGCAAATCATCATGAAGCGAACCCGGAGCTGCGGCGGCGACCACGTCGAATACATCGACGGCGACACCGCCCTCCCACGGCACAGACCCTCCCCCCCATACCGCTGGTTCGCCCAATCCTACGAACCCTCCTTCTCCCTCTTCGGCGAATTCCGCGTCTACATCACCGCCTCCCCCTCGCCCGGCCACCCCCGCGTCCTCCGCGGCCGCGAGGGCCGGGTCCGGCACACCGTCGTCACGGAGTGGGTCCGCGGGCACGACCCCGGCGCCATGTACGCCCGCGCGGCGACGGCGCTGGATTTCCGCGCGCCCGACGTGCGGCCGTTGGGGCTGGCGGACCTGCACGCCTTCGCTTTATACATATATGACCGGCTGCGCTCGCGCGAGGATTGGAGGGAGCAGTTTGAGAGTTTGGAGATGGGGGTGCGGTTGGATGTGGGGGTTGGGACGGAGGGGGGGAAGGGGGAGAAGAAAGAGGAGAAGGGGAAGGAGGAAGAGAAGAAGGGGAAGGAGAAGGAGAAGAAGCGGTTCTTTGTGAACGAGGTCACGCGCTTCTACGGGGCTGATTATTTCAGCCAGCATACGCTCGGTACGCCGCAGCAGGAGGTGTGTTGGGCGTTTGCGGAGGCTGTGGATGGGTATTTTGGTGCGGAGAAGGGCGGAGGTTAAGGGGGGGCGGGGAGGTGGATGAAGGGGAAATTTAGATATCAGATCGTAGGATGATCATCATCATCATCGCATATCTCTAGCAATTTAGCGAGCATGTGGAAGCACGGTGGGGAGTTGAACATAGACCATGTCCAAAGGCTTCTTTGTGCCTTTTAGGCTGTAACAATACCACTCCAAAACACCCCCACTTATCTACCTCATCTTCCCACAGCTAGTACAACAATCCTCCGGCCTCGGCCTGCCACTCAACGTATCAACCGTCTTCTTATACTGCAACCAACTCTCATCCTTCGGCCTCCTATGATTCCAATTCGTCTCTTCCCTCTCCAGCCTCTCCATGGCTCCAAAAACCACGCTGATGCCTTTGACTCCAATAACAGCCATACTGAGGTCATCTTCCATGATCTCCTCTTTCGACTTGCCCGCGTACTGCTCTATCGCTTGTATGCACTTCACCGCGAGCCTGACTGCGCGGACGCGGTCCATAGGGGAGGGCGTGCCGCCTTGTTGGACGTGACCGGGAATGGCGAAGCGGGACTCGAAGCGGCCTTTGGATTCTTCACGGATCATGCTGGCAACGACTTCGGTGGTGTAGGTTTCTGATGCGTGCTCGTTGCATAGGATGAGTTTCCCAGCGCGTGTTTGGCCTTTGTCTTTCGCAAAGCTTTGTTTCAAGTGTTCAATATCCCGGCCAAGCATTTGGAGATTGATGCCCTCTTCAGGCGTGTAGACTGCTACGGCCCCGATGCCTAAAGCGCCCATTGTTGCAATGTAGCCAGATTTGCCACCTTGAGTTTCGACTACAAAAATCCGTCGTCGTGAGGCCGATGCTGATTGTTTGATGGCATCACAATATGAGGTCAGCGCGTTGAGACATGTGTCGCTTCCTACCGAATACTCGGTGCCCGGGACGTTGTTGCTAATGGTTGCAGGTAGCAGCATCATCGGTATCCGGAAAGCTGGGTAATCCGGTCGCGCTTTTCGGAGCTCGCTGAGCGCCGTGAAGGCTTCAAAGCCTCCGATGATGAACAGTGCATCGAATTTATAAATATTGAAGCAGTCTGCGGTCTCGCCCATGCCCACTTTCGAGGGTAGATCTCGGTTGGTGCCGATCTCGGATCCACCCTTACTGATCCAACCTTCGACATCCAGCCACTGTACGTAGCGAACGGATCCGACAGGCTCATCGGCGTGGTGACGAACGAGCCCTGGGAAGCCATTATGTATGGCGATCGGTGTGTGGCCTCTAGAAAGACAATATGCTACGGCTGCTCTGGTGGCTGAATTCATTCCACCAGCAGGGGCTCCTACGTGGATGATGGCAATGTTCATGTGCTGTGATATGTTAGCCCTGGAGAATGAGGAGAAATGAAGAAAACCCATCTTACTGTCTGTTTTGGCAAGCGTAAGGCAGGTTGATCCGTGGCGGTGGTCATCATATAAGCCTGATGGTATTCTGCAAATTCTGGCCCCCGCAGATCTAAGGCTCTTTTGAAGTCTTTAGCTTTGATAGCTTCAGCCACTTCTTGAGTCGACTTTACGGCCTCAATCAAAGGGTTTCGGACAATTTTGTTTTCTATGATGGCGATGAACTTGGATGGTGTTTCTGGTGTGGCCTCAAGTACTGCGTTGACAGCTTCCACACCCTGTAGAGTAGATAGCTGTCGGTCATAGGCACAAGCGTTACCGCCTCTTTGTACGTGTCCGAGGGTTGTGATCCGGGTGTCGAGCTTCAGTCTGGTGGATAACAGGTCTTTAACTTTGTTAGGTGATATTCTGGTTAGATCAAGGTCGTGTGCGCCTTCTGCGACTATGACGATCGTTTTCCGCTTTCCAAGGTTTCGGTGCTGTAGTATGGTCAGCAACAGTTACCGCAGATGATTTTAGGCTCTACCTTGGAGATGATGTCGCACATTTGATCCTCCCAGTCTCGGTCTGGTGGACTCTCAGGAATGAAGATAAAATCTGCCCCTGTGCTCACACCAGCCATAAGTGCAAGCCAACCACAATGCCTCCCCATGACCTCGATCACGAAAGCCCGCTGATGTGAGAATGCGGTAGCATCGATGTAGTCCACGGCCTCACATATCCTGCCCAGTGAAGAGTAGCAGCCAATTGTAGCATCCGTGTCGGCAAAATCGTTGTCTATTGATCCCACTAGGCCGACAATGTTCAGATATTGGAATGTCTTCTGCTGCTCTGTGCTGATGTCCCCGTTCTTCACCTAGAGATTGAGTTAGCATCCTTCTTGTCGAGCTTTGCGGACACGAAGGTCGTTGGGGTATAACGTGATTCCATTGGCTATCCGGATTGGCAAGGTTGCAACTCACAAGCTCCTCGAGCAGACTGGGCCATTCCCCTCTGAATTTGTCGGCTCCAGTCAGACTACCATCCCCTCCGCAGATGACTAGTGCATTGATCCCCTTGTCGATCATATTCTTCGCCGCCTTCAACCGCCCCGGTCTTTCTGTAAACGCTTTGCACCTTGCTGTACCAATCAAAGTGCCTCCTTCCGACAGCCAACCTCGAACGTCTTCCCATTGCGCCTGACGTATGAGGTCGCCGCCCTGTACCAGACCCTCGTACCCTTCATAGACGCAGTAAGCTTCACAGCCTTGGTCGATTGCCATCCGGACGACTGCGCGTACTGAGCCATTCATTCCAGGTGAGTCTCCCCCACTTGTCATGACTGCGATTCTCTTCTTCGGGGCGGGCGCCCCATTGGTGATAGGTGCCATGGTAGGGAAATTGAATGCAAGAGAGAGTAGTAGGTTAATAGTAGAGCGAGGAGAAGGGGAAGGGAGTTGTAGGAAAAAGAAAAAGAAAAAGAAGAAGTGAAGGAAAGGATAAAAAGAAAAGGCAAAAGAGTAATTCGCCGACAAGCTTCAGCTTATCAGAGCCCCCACCAGCACCAGCACATGGGAATCTGATAGGGGTCCAAGCTACCCCAGGATTCGGCTCAGGGTTTCCCCGGGCTTGGACCTCTCAATGCCCGAGACAAGGAATGCAAGGGTCAAAATACAACAAAATATTGCGAGTATGTTTGTATGGCATCTTCTTGCGACCGAGATCTCATCTCTTGATGTATAATACTATGCTATCTTAATCTTTTAGAAGTTCAATCGTCTACCCATCATGCCTCACGAGCTTTCCCTTTCCCTCCAAGCCTTCCCAACCGTCGACAAAGACAAAGAATCCCTCAAATACCTCATCTCACGCATCAACCAACAAAAAGGCTCTTTCCGCAACGTAACCGAGCAGAGCCTCCAGGAGGAGATACAGGCTCAAGAAGCAGGCAATTCTGATACGGATAACCAAGATGTTGTTGGGACGGGCGAAGAAGTTGAAGATGTCAAGACCAAGCAGGAAGAGGTCACCAAGGCGCGAGAAGATATAGTCAAGCAGATAGGGTAGGATTTATTTTTTGCAAATATTGGACGAAAGCTTATGGCGTCCCAGACAAGCCTACAACGAAAGCGCCCAAGCCCTCGACTTCGTCTCCCTCCTGCTCTCCAAACATGCCCCAGCCGCAGCTCAGACGACACTCTCTTCATTTCTGCAGCAAACACTACCACTTGGATCCCTAGGCGGAGAAGTCATTCAAGCGCTTCAAGTACCGGAGCTGGAAAAGCACAATCAGGAAATGGTGTCCATTGGCTGGAGGATGCAATCCCTGAACGGTACAGCAGACTCTTTGCTGAAATCTGCGGCGAGGCTCGAAGAGGAGATGGGCAGGGAGACTACTTATTGGAATCAGGTGCTCGCAGTGAAGGATGAGGGCTGGTCGCTGAGCAGACTGCCACGGGAGAAGCATACTCTTGGCGTCCGCTATGGCTTCGCTGAAGCATACGCCGACTTCCGAGACCGAGGACTTGCAGCACTCCGGCGAGATGCCGACGGCAATGTCAGCTTGGACCGTGGCCTCAGATCATCTGGAGACCAGACCCTACGAGTTCGAATCCTGCAGCAGGGGGAGCCGATTGCTTCGAGCACGACAGGCAGCGAGGGTATTTCCGAAGATGACTCGGTAACGAAAGAGATACTCAGAGCTAGAAATAGCATATTTGACGAAGAGTTACACCACGAGCTTCATCGAGAGGCGCGAAACCTCCTCAATCAAGGTGTTCGATGCAGTGGCGGAAGAGTTCTGATACCATATGAGACTGACAAGCAGGTTGAAATCGACCTGGTCTCTCTGGAAGATGAAGATCTAGAAGCACCTGCTGGTGACAGTGCCATTGCAGATGCGATTGCTCTGTCTCTACGTGTTCTCCTCTCCCAGGCCCACCGACAGAACCTACACAGACGCTCACAAATACCACCACCACTCCGAGAAAATAAACCTTCTCGACCAACATACGCACTTCTCAAACCAGTCATCGAACATCTCCAACACCAATTCCAAGTCGCTTCCCTCCAAGACTTCCTCTCAGGCCTTCATAAATCCCTCTCAGCAGCCAGTCTGCCCTTCTCGTTCAACCCACCAACGCCCCCACACAATTTCGCAGCCCTCTCTACCATCTCCGATCATCCAAACGGATCCGTGGCCGAAACACTTCTCCAATCCCTCACCTCGCCCCTCCACTCAACAACCACCCTGCACCTTCCCACCTCTTCCACAACAGCCGTGATCGACATCCACACCACGCTCCTCCCACCCCACCACAGCACAACCTACACCCTCACCATACGCGCCTCGTCCCCATCAACCACCCTCGCCGCCCTCCCAACCTCAACGCACCTCACAACCCTCTCGGCCGTCACCGAACACATCATCCACATCCTCACCCTTTCCATCCTCCAGCACACCGTCTCCATGTTCCCAACATGGCACGCCCCATCCACCATACACGGTTCGACACTGTCCCGGACGAAAGAGAAAAGCCACTTGGCCGAGAAGGCATCGATAAGTTTGACCGGAGACGGTTTGAGTCTAAAATGGTGGCGAGGGGCGGGCGGGGACTGGAGGGTTGTTAGTTGGTATGCTGCTGATGGGCAGGGGAATGATGGTGGGCGTGGGGAGAAGAGACGGTTTGACGAGGTGTTTAAAGAGGAAGTTGATTGATGGGAGTTGAGGGATGAAATAGTACGAGCTTTGGACAAGAAATTAGTGGAACACGGCACTCGAGGGCGCTGGGCCCTTCCCGCTGTTGAAGAGTCTTGGATATCAAGCCGAACATCTCCTGGTTATGCTCGACGGTGGTGCACAGGCACCAGAATCAGTGATTTCGACCGCTGCAGCGGCATTTTGATCTGGTAGCACGCCTGGCAATCTGGAAGACGACGTTAGAAAGATATGAATCTATGTTCCATCTCTCCGTGATCTCGCTATGCAGTGGTATCTTTACTAAACGGTCTCAAACTTGACCCACCCATTCAAAAGCGTGCCTGCCATATCTACATTTGACATTCCCGTGCCGGACTCTACCTATCAAACACTAGCCCTCCTTGGCGCCATCGTCCTCCTCAAGTTCCTCTTCTCCTCCGTCTCCTCCATACTTCCCGGCAAGATCCCCCTCTCCCTCAGCCCGCCCAAAAACTCTTTTCCGTAGTCATACCCGACCTTGTAAATCTCGTCAAACTTGCCGAAATCCAGCGTCCCGTATGGATCAATCGGTGGTCTCATATACAAGCACCCTGGTGTCGTTTTTGCCCTCTCCAATGCATCCACAGAGGAGACGTAGGCCAGTCGCGCTTGGATTTCGGAGAGGGTTGGCGGGTTGGGGTAGCTCGAGAAAGGGTTCCAGCGATTCAAGAGCGCCCAGGCGCCGGAGAGGGAGTCGCCGAATGCTTGAGGAAGGTTATCATCGAGAGAGCCGACGTCGATGGCGAAGATGACGTCTGCGCCCAGAGATTTCATGTGGGCGACTGTGAGATTGTCGACGTAGCCGCCATCAAGTAGCATGCTTCCTTCATCGCAGAGTGGAGGTATGAGGCCAGCAAGAGACATCGAAGCCCTCACATACCTCCAGACATAGCCTGAGTCGTGGAACTCAGCTCGAGATTTAGAGATATTGGTAGTATTGCAGTAGAAATCAAGCCAAAAATCTTCCATTTGGGAGTTCCCAAACGCCTTGAAGATGCCGCGGTTGAACTCATGGCCGGTGGTGTAGGATGCAGAGGGGTATGTAAGGTCGAGGGCGAAGCGCCACATGCTACCCATGCGGCCTGCAAATTTCTTTGCTCGACCGTACATAGGGACTACATCCGCGTCACGAGCGTAGAGAGCGCCAATAAAGGCACCGATAGATGTGCCGCCGATGATGTCAATGGGGATGCCGGCTTCTTCGAGGGCGCGGATCACGCCGACCTGGGAGATGCCTCGAGCACCTCCACCGCCAAGGACTAGACCAACGGACTTGCCGCAGAGACGGCGTGCTAATCGATGAAAGTCTCCTTTGAACGGGGTCTCTGCAGAGTACAGGGGTGTTTGTCGAATTCGTCTTGAAGTGTACTTTTGTATCTCGGCTTGGAGGACTTGGACTCGCTGTTTAAGCTGGGTGCCAAACCGTTTGATCTGAGGCTGGACCGGCTGCGAGTTGGTCCGAAAAGCCATCTGGATATGATGATGACCTCCATTGATCCACAGGCGGTTTCGTAGCCACTTGCGTGTGAGGCCTTGAGGTGAGTATCGTTCGACATGCAGTAAGACCAACTCTTTCCTCGCAGTTGTCTTCATACCCAACAGGAATTTCTCGTACTCTCCTATGCTTGGGGAGCCTTCTGCAAGTCCAACCAAAAGAATGCAATCAGCCTGAGTGATGCACGTCTGCGTCCATGGAGAGTTGACGTTCGTATCGGCGATATACAAAAGCATACCGTAGCGCTCTTCCAGATCAGCCAGGTACTGCGAAAGCTTGAGCTTGCCCATTCTCGAGAAAGCATGTCTCCCTAGATGGTTCAGAATGGCAGCTTGGTTGAGGGAAGTCACGCCATTAGCAACTCCTATTTGACTCAAAGCGCTCAAGAGCCTGCTTCCAAATTCTACCACTGGAACACCAGCCGTAACTGGCAAGATTGCTGTGGTCCTAAGGTTCATGGTCGAAGTCGCATTTTGCTTTGAGCCAGCGTTGGTCTTGTCCTTGCTTTGCTCAAAAGGATCCTCGATCAAAGCTCTCATTCTCTGCGCAATGATCTTGGATATCTTGATCGTGATGCCCGGGTGCTCCAGAGCGAGGCTATTGAACAGACTTTTTGGGAATTTTGCCAGCTCAGTGTCACGAATAGCATGCAACGTAGCTGGCCGTGGAGATTCGGTCATGACTTCCAGCTCGCCCACACTTTCGCCTTGTCCATACTCTCCCACGACTCTCATGTCCCCATCGTCTCGCTCGAGAATTGCTCGGAGACGACCATTTAGCACAATGTAGATTGCGTCACTTTCATCCCCTTGATGGTGTATGACCTGACCTGCATTGACTTGCACCCACTCCAAAGCAAAGTCGATATGTAGAATGAGACGTGGAAGTAAGCTAGTCAGGCGCTTTGCCATAGTCAACAGTACAATTGGATGCTTCTCCACCATAAGCTCCAGAGATGCCCTCGGGAGAAAGCCGACATAGACATCGGTCTTCGCTCTGACATCAACAAAGGATCTGTACGAAGATATCGTGCCAACATATCCTGCGAGGCCGCCGGGCTTGATCAGAAACAAACTCTTCCGCGACTGCCCTCTTTTCTGGGCCGCTTTTGTATGTGGAGAGTTTGTTGCGACTCTTTTCAGCGGAGACAAGCTCTGTCCCATAGACCGTGTCGTCGCCGAGCGATCATCCACATCTTTCTCACTTCCTGGAATACTGACATCCAGGAAGCCATCAATGACATAGTAAAGACCAGGGTTCCTCTCTCCTTGTTCTACGAGAACGGCATCTTTTGGAAAGTACACAATCTCCAGATCGTCCCGAAGTTCGCTTGTAAGGCTCCGAGCATTCGAAGGACTGCTGTTGCCAAACGTAGAATAGACCGATTCCGAATCGCCATCGCCAGAGCCCTCGTATGGGTCGATGAAGCCGAAGGCATTGTTGGTGAATGTTGCTTTCTGCCGTTGCGCATCGTAGGAAACCATGCGCGGCGACTGTTCGACGGAGTCTATCGGCTTTTTGACTACGTTTGCATTTGTGAGGCCAATGGCTTTCATGATGCATTCGAGGATTGATTGCCTGAAAAGGTCGTCCTCGTCCAAAGACTTCTGCCCGTGCACGTGTAAGCCGTTCAGGTTAGGCGCAGGCACAAAAGGGGGGTTCTCCATCTGGCTCAGCGGACTGATTATTTCTTGAAACCCTAGTCCCAACGGAGACGCCGGCTTGCTTGTGTGCATTCGAGGCAACGTCTCGGGGCGGGTGCGAGACACTTGTATGTTGGTAAGTAGATCTCCTGCGCTGATACTTGAGCGGTGGCCATGGCCCTTCCAGTGGCTAGAGGGCCCGGTGTGAGGTTCGCCGTGATTGGCCGAGAATTTTGCTTGCTGGGCTATCTCTCTTCTCAGGCTGCTGCTCGAACGACGTTTCTTAACAGCCCCTGGATTATGCAGAGCGATGCCCTTCATAAAGTCCTCAGCCGAGTCTAGACGTTCCTTTTCTTGTGTGAACTTGTGCTTCAGTCTCTCCAACGCCACCCCACGAAGATGGTTCGGTAGATCGTAGGTCGTATACCTATTCATATGCCTCTCTGTTCGCAGGACCTCAGAGGTCAGACCAAGATACGAATGCGCAGTGGCAAGCGTAACACGTTGGAGTCTGGTCAGGATGACTTGGACGATGTGTGCAGTAGCTTTGGGGTAGACCCTAGTAAGACGATGAAAGGCGGTAGCTGGGATGATGGCGATGGTGGTATCTATAGTCGCTCTCGCGACGATATCAGGATGCACAGATTTGCCATTCTCAGATCTACGGGTAGCTCCCCGTTTACCACGATCTCTGTTCCGATCATGATCTGTCCGGTGCGGATTTTGTTGGTCTGATGTGGAATTCAGAGAAAGTGGTGGAATAGCAGGCAAATGATCATTGGCAGGTGCTGTCGATGAAGCCCGACTTCTCGGATCCGTATACGCCGTCATCCGTGGGTTCTCTTCACCCAACCAAGCCGGAGTATTCGGACCAGACTCAGTCGTTGCACCGAAGGGGAAGCCAGTACTCGAAGCACTCGACACAGGCCTAGCATCTCGATCATCGTCATGGCGGAGCTTGACATCTTCCGTAAACAGCGACAAGACCGAGAACAGTGATGACATCGGCGCTCCATTCTTGACCTCCGTAAGCAGCTGGTATCCCTGATGTTCTCCATCCGAATGTTCCCCCTCATCCTCATACCTCTCTGTTCCCTCATTCCAGAAGCCACCATTTGCGGCATTCTCATCCCGACTTGACTTGACGAATATTTGTACCATGCCATCAACCACCATACAAAAGCCCTTCTCTTCTTCCAAAAGTAGTGTTTCCCCAGCAATGAGCTTCCTCGTTTGCATCGTTCGGGTAAGTTCGTGGAAGACAGAGCGTTCGACTGCATCTCCTGTCAGCCAAGCTCGTATTGGGAGCCGTTTCTCTGGCTGCCTACTCACGATACCCAAACACCTTTATAGCACTCAGAAACTCGTCCAGATAATTTGCAAGACCTGGCTTCGAGTCTCCGTCTTGTGTATCTGGGAATAGATCGATCTGAGGCTCTTTGCGCTGAGGTTCGGGAGGTAGTCGCGCATACATGTTCAGAAATCGGTATCTCACGATCCATGAGACGAGAGACGCAAAGGCCAAGACGATGAGCATTCTGAGGGCAATTAGCTTGCTTCAAGGCCATTGTTCACTCGTGGTCTATACGTACAGGGTAGTGAAGTTCATCGTGAACGTCAAGCTGGTCGAGAATAACGCGAACAGCACCGTAGGCAAGGTAATTGTGGTGAACGTGATGATCCAAATCAGCATTCCGGGAACTCCTTTGGCCATGGCGAGCAAAGCATAGCCAAGTAAGCCCAGCCATGAGGAGGATTGAAGGGTATTTTGAGCAGTGACAGGGGGGGCCGGTGCAGAAGCTTGGGCAGAAGCAATGGCTGACGAGGTGCTAAGGAGGGAGGTGAGGCTGGTGGAGAGGGCAGAGGGGAAAGAATCCATGGCTATTGAAGCCCCTCTTATGGTATAGTCTCATGACAGCTAGCCTCCACTTTCCGATAGCGGATTAGATGTTTGCGGCAAATTTGTGATCCAAAGAATGACTTGCATTGTTGGCGTGGGAGCCATTGAGGGAAAGAGAAGGAAGAGCACCTCTCACCTATCAAGTCAGCATGTGAAGTGCATAGGGCTGAAATGTCTTGGCGTCGAAAGCGGTCCGAGCGAGCGAGGGTCACATTTGGTGATTTTCAGCATCTTTGTTCAGGCATCAGTATATTGCGGACAGCCCAAGATACAGGTCCGAGATTGTACTTACACTGCTTCTTGGTTGTTGGCGGTTCGTACAGAAGGATGCTGATTGGTAACAGCAGAAGCAGGCCCAGAAGCGCCAACACCCTGAAGTACTCCGTCATTCCCATGATGCCTACAATCCTTCATCTAGCCTCAGGGCCGACTTCAATTGCTACCAAGGTTTGCAAAAACCACAGACGCTCACAAACACTAGCGAAAACCACCCCAGTGCGTTGTAGGAGCTCGGGCAGGAGACGAAGCGTTGTCCGAGCTTGATTGTCTCTGATGAGACGTGGCAAGGCGTTGAGCAGTGGTAGGAGTACGATCTAGACCCTCGGAGCCAGATTGTCTCTGAATCGAGCAAGCGAAATCTTGAACCGAAGGCCGAGCGCTGGTGGCGGACCCTTCAGTCTGACCATTGTGACTCTCCGAACCTGTCGTTCTTGGCTGTGATGGCACAGGCTTCACCATGTTCAATGGCAGAACAATAATGCGGCCTTTGCGCGCGGCCTTCATGCGATAGCGACCCTCCTTGGACTGATACTTGTACTCCTTCTTATCCCCTTGCTTTGAAGCCATGCCTGGTGCAGGAGAAGAGGTGCCCATCTTTTGCTGGTACCTGAAAAGCTTCGATGAGGTGATATCCATGCCGTCCACCTTGCCAATACCCGGGGGCTCAATCCGAATCTGTAGACCCAGTGGATGAAAGTAGTCATTATTCCACCGATGCTCAAACACTTTCATTGCTCCGCCTTTATATGCTAGGAGGAAGTTCTCATGCTGTCTGGATTTCATCATTTTATGACCAGCAATGTGACCTGACTCGACGTTAACAACATCGAACGAAATCTGTTCTTACCCGGAGACTGACCTACGATGGCTCCAAAAAGAAGGCTAACACCATGGGTGCAGGCTACGACAGTCACCCATTGCCCCACGCTCAGCTCTGCAAAAGCCTTCAGCTCGCGCATGAACAACTTCCATTGCGACTTAGTGACTCCTTGCTCAGCCAAGATCTGTGGGAAACCGAAGCCCCATGTGATGAGGCTGATGCGTGATGGTATCTGCAAGCCTCTGCTGAGACCAGATGGTCGAGCAGGCAAAGACGGATGTGGAAGAAGGCTTTCATCAAGGGTCATCTCGGCGGCGGAGGCATCAGCGTTGGCAGTGAGCACTGGTGGTAGATTAGCAGGAGCCGGGTCCATCTGAGTAGCTGTTGCGGGGTTAAGGCCCTCCTGCATGCCGCTGCTGTTTGGGTAGAAGTAGCCCACAGGCGCATCTCGGTCCCGGAATGGGTTGTCAAGCGGGGTATTCCTAGTAGAGGGTGGTGGTCTCGAAGAGTTGCTAGATTCTGGTTCCTGGACGCCCATTTCTTGGGTAGAAAATGGGTCGAGGCTGGAAGTGTTTGGTTCAATGTTGGCGTGATTTGGATTAAGAGCAGCCCTCTTTTCAGAAGTATCAACTGAGACCATTGCATTAGGCGACATGGGGTGTGAAGATGAGAGAAGTCTCCTAGGGCAAAGCGTTTATAGGAAAGCTATTGAGAGGTAAGAATATGGACGGTCTATGCCTTGTGAAAATGAATGAAAAGAGGAGTGAGACCTGATCGAAGATCATTTGACGATAGAGAAGGAGCGCTGGAATACGCTCCGAGAGTGACTCATAGTGGGACTATCAAGTGGCTCAGTGGGGAAAGAGCATTGGACGTATCCGGTTCAATTCTCGCAGTCTCGATTGGCATATCTTGGGCGGTTGCGTAGTGGGCAGTGAGTGGTGCTCGAGGTTCTAGTCGCGCTGTGATGGGATTTTGAAAGCCAATATACGAACGGTTCTCACGAATAAACCTCAACGAGACATCTGCAAATCCCAGCTACGTGAAGCAACGGTAAAGCGCAACGCTCACGATGTGCTAATGCTATAGGTTTGCCCCCATTTCAATAGTTCGAAGCAGATACAAAATCTCTCTCAATTCTCAAAAGGTTTACGACGATGATCTGACGCTATTCAGGGCGAATTTTCCGGAGGAAGCGAGTCAGAAGGAAGATTGTGCTGGAAGGGAGGATAGATAGCGTGGGTCTCAATCACACGCTTGAGGCACTTGGAAGGTGGCATCCCCATCTTTAGTTACCTTCTTAATATTCGGCTTTTTACAAACAAGGAAGATTCCGGTGCATCATGGGCTACTTGCCTTGCTTCGAGCATCGATCGTCAATTACGGTGTGTGGTACTGGGCAATATGCCCAATCCTAAGTCTCAGCTCGGCTTCTTCTGTCAATAGATGATTATGTTCTGCGGCTGCTTGCCCTCGCGTTTCTCTAATGACCTCCCTGGCGGAGCTAGCAAGCCCTTATCTCGGCTTCATGAACAATGCGGTATAGCCATAGACATCTGTTGTGTTCTTATTAACTCACGCACGCATTGAACAAGTGCTTCTAGATACGCCTCGCCACTCGCATGCCAACGTGATCTCATGTACAGCAGTCTGTAAAGTTGACACAACGACCAATGGGGACTTCCCAGCATCTGTCTACAAGCTCCCACCCAACAAGACCCTTTAGCTCAGTGTCTCCGGCGTCTTTTGTGTGTCCTTTTCGCTGCAATTTCCTGTCCAAGGAAAGTCCCTATCTCTGGATTGAGACTGTCCGCCCAGTCTTGGATTCCGATACCATCTGAGTCGGTCGCCTCAAAGTCGTTGCAGTGATCTACCAACAATCTGAGTATTGGTCTAAAGATATATTTCCACTGCTCCATGGAGTACAGAGCCACGTGAAAGACTGTACTGTAAAGCTTTTTAAAATGTTTGAACCACCACCAATCGTCGATGTTGTGATCAACAGGCTGGAATGGATCTGCTCCATGCTCGAGCATGAGCGTAAAAAGCTTCCCGATGTGAAGCTGATAAGGGGGAGATGCCATATATCTGCCCAATACCAGTATCGCGAATGACCATGGTGTATGTGATTTAAAATTCTCCATTGGATCAGCGTCATTCTCGAGCAATACTTCGCAGGAATGAAATGTGTTCACGCCTGGATTATATCTGTTCAAGGATAGAGCATCAAAAGCGTAAAAGAGTAGAGGTCGACCATGAGCTTTCTCAATTATGCCTTTTCCATTCTTCCTAATCTGCTGGTGAACGTAGAGGGCAAGATCATAACTGACAGCCAGACTTAATAGATCCGTGTTCCAGTCTGGGCGAGCTTTGTGGATTCGCCATCCGTAGTGAGAGTTGGTCCAGTCTGGATAGGAAAGGGAGAGGACCCGATCCAGCTCCTCAACATAGGGAATCTGAGAAGATCCAATACTAAATTGGGCAGCTCTCGCGGCAAAAAAAAACCCGCAAACGCGTAGGTCCCTAACCTCATCACGAGACTGCGCTTCCATAGAAATATTATGAGATTCCACGTACTCTGGATAGACTTTCACAAGGCGCAAGTTCATAGCCATAAGAGCAACGGCTGGGTTTCTCAGAAGTTTGCTGTCTACCTCGTCAAGCGTTCTCTCAAAGAGCTGGCTTCCAGTGACGTACTCTTTCACAGTCCGGTGTAGAAAAGCCACTCTAGCGCCCGGAAGGTCTTCAGCATCCTCGATTTCGATAAGGCCTCGGCATCTGCGTTGCAACCGACGTCTCACCTGCGCACACTGATGATGTGGGAGGCCAGCATCGTCGGTGGTAAAGCCTGTTTCAAGATACGCTTTACACGAGATTGCGCTCATAGGGTCCTGGATAGCAGCACTAAACTTGAGTAAAGTGTCCGCACGGGCTGATGAATTCAAGTGACTCGATTTTTGGATAAGGCTGAGAAAGTTGACTGTGTCGTGCCGATATCTCTGGTCTATTTTGTCGATGACACTTGCGTATAGCTGTTCGAGACCCTCTGGCAGATCCGCTAGCGATTCGTAGAGATCGTGAGATTCGTTCTCTTCCTCTATGGCCACAACGAGCTGAGAGACTACAATAGTAACCCAGACGAAGACACCTTCAGCTTTTTTGACGACTCGGTCAACAAGCTTCTGATCATATTTTGCTGTTGTCCCATCTCGCTGTTGGGCCATCAAGTCCCAAGCTCGTCTCAATTTTGTGGTAACGTAGGTTGAGATGTCATGTTTTGTGAAATGATGAATTGCAAAGGTGGGCTCGTTTGAGAGACGAAGTTCTATCTCCATTTCGACACGGCTAGCGATGCAAGCTCTCACCGAAAGCTTCTTGTTGGACGAGGACCTGACCCAATCTGTCAAGGAGTCCAGTTGCTCCCGGTGATCTCCTTGGCACTCATCGAAACCATCAATGAATAAACATACCCTCAGTGTTTCTTTGCACTCTGCGACAACTTTTTGGAGTATTGTCATCAATACATAGTCTGATAAGGCAGCTTTGGAAGTGGGGTTCCGACATAGATGTGGCTTGAGCAGTTCGCAGAGCCGGAAAAGGGTACCTTGATTCTTCTTGTGTAAGCCGATGAGAAGTTGATAGACGATGGCGTGCAACAGGCCTCCAAAGCTCTTCTCCTGTGACTCGCCTAGCTCATGAAAGAAATAGTGAACAAGAATCATCGCATCTGGCTTTCCGGAGAAGAGGTGCATGGTCTGCTCGCTTTCCATCAAATACCTCATCAGTGTTGACTTGCCTGCCCCTGGTTTTCCAGAAATCCAGAATATGGGATCTTCGCTGCGTAGCCATTTACTGAAACCAGGCCTCGAGTTCTGGGTATCCCAGATCCATTGGAAGCTCTCTTGATGAGCTTGAGAGATAGAATATCGACGAGAATTTCGACCATGAGGCTCAAGGGTTTGCAACAGCACTGAAACTTCTTTAGCTTCGGAACGCAGCCAATGGCGCGTCGATAGCATACTTACATTCGTATTCATCCTCTTTCACCCTGTTGCCTTTAGACAGAAGTCAGTATCAGTTCAAAGACATATCGGAAGCGGATTTCCAGATATATGCTAGAATGGACGGACCATAAAGGCATGACATGATGGCCTAAGCTCTAAGTAGATCGAGTCTATGTTGAAGAGCGTCATCTTCGAGATTGGAGACTGGGGATTTGGCGTTACTGCCTGTGGAAGAGGTCGGGTTTGATGTTTCTTCCTGCTTTCTGTCCATGGTGGGATGGGTTTTCTCACCTAGCTGGGAAGCCCTTTCGCATAGCTCAAGCTACCATACGAAGATTTGGAGGAATTCCGAAGTCCCTACCATTTAAATCGACGTAAGTCCCAACCTGCACACCATGATTTTCACTTCCAAACATAGAATGTGACTGCATCATGGACTCGTAAACTGGCAAAATCTAATACGGTAAGATACTATCGAAAGACTTTGAGAGAAGAGAACGCCAAAGGCAGTGCTCCTATCATCTGTCACAAAAGCCTGCTTGATGGCTGAATCTGCAAGAAGGAGAGCCGCATATGACAGTGTTCAAGGACCATGCTGTCGGTGGCAAGCAATTAAGAAGGCGGGTGTTCACATAGGTCTCCTGACAATGCAAAGACGCATGGAGCCCGAAGCAGGCTTTGAATTTCTCTGGGGCCCACCAATCCGAGTATTGACGTAGTGTCTGCGCCTTAGAGATTGACCATGCTTTGGTGCTTCCCTCGGCAAGCTACAGAAGGCGGCCTGGAAAAGCTTTCGCTTGCACCAACGTCGATGAATCCTGTTTGAAGGTACTCTGTCGGCGAAGAAAGATGTTTGTAAGGTGGGGCGATGTCATTAACCTCCAGATAGGGTCATCATGGAATGCATGTTTGCGGGCAGTCTCTGCACGGATGTATCACCTGGCAATATGTATCCCTGTCATCATGCGGCTACCCGGCTCCAGAGCCTTCTGTCGGTGCTGCACTGTTGGCAATGAGCACATAATGTACACTTGAGCCCCCAGAGTATCTTGAGGTTCCTATTTTCACCGCTTCTAAGACTGAGAAGTAGCTTGTTGCTGTTCAGCTCGGCACCGAAAAGATGTCAAATTTAGATTCAGACCGAACGGGATTCGCAACCCTTTGCAGTCCTAAGGACGCTCTCGTAGAGTGAGTTTCTCTATAATATTCTCTTTTTGCTGGCTTAGAGAGCGCTTATCCCTCTGCTTGTCTGGACCTTCCAAATCCTGAAATCTGGCTGACGCAATACTAGCATTGTGTTTGTACATGGCCTGAGGGGGGATAGGAAAGAGACGTGGACGGAAGGAACGACATTATGGCCCGAAAGCTTACTGCCAGAGAAAATCCCACAAGCTCGGATCCTGACTTTCGGTTACGACGCCGACATCTACCATTTCTGGTCAATGCCCGCCTCGGCCAACACCATCAAGAACCATGCAGATAGCCTGACGGCCGGCCTCATCGGCCTCAGACACGAGGAGGAACAAACAGCTGCACGCCCGATCATATTCGTGGCCCACAGCCTCGGTGGCCTAGTCTGCGCAGCGGTAGGTCATCCTTCCCAAGATCTGAGGCATTGATGGCCAAGACGAAGCAGGCTCTATCAAACGCGGAAGACTGCCTACAACAACCCCACACAAAGTCTATATCAGACTGTACAAGGCGCATCGCCTTTCTTGGAACACCTCATCAAGGTTCAAACAAAGCACAGTGGGCCGAATCAGGAAAGAATTTTCTCTCTCTCTTTTCGAGGAAAACCACTGGAGGCGTCCTCAAGGAATTGGAGCAGGGTTCCGATACGCTGGTGAAGCTTGGGGTTGCATTTCCAACATGGCTCTCCCATCGTGCGGGAAAGCCGAAGACTAAGGTCGAGATCGTTTGTTTCTTTGAAGAGCTCAGCTCAAGCGTTGGCGGCACATCTATTGGCAAGGTACATCCACTTCGATCCGCAACGATCTAAGATAGAGAGACTCATCCAGCGTAGATCGTACCTGAAGAATCAGCCAGGTTGCTAGACTATCCGACACTCTCAATACACGCCGACCATTGCGGCATGTGCAAGTTCAGGGACGAAAAAGATGGGAACTATCGGACCGTAGCCGAGGTTCTGGCGAGGTGGGCAAAGGAATTGAAGGAAGAGACCAAAGAGGAAGAGACTGAAACCGTTGGTCCAACTTCATCCCTCCAGGAGACCGAGACTGAATCTGATTCTAGTCTGGAGGAATCGTCTCGAACAGCAAATTCGGAGACAACAACCAAGGGCAACAGTTTGGAGTCTACGAGTCGAAAGGCTCAACGAACTTTGCCAGCGGTGGAACCTGGGTAATTTACCCTTGCGACAAAGGAATTGCTATACTGACACAATCATCCTAGAACCAGGGTTCGTCCTAAGTGAGAATCTTCCATGGGAAGTGACTCTGGAGAACAGGCAAAGTCAACGAGCGCTTCGCGATGGAGACGAACCTGCATGCATCCGGACAGCCGCAGCTTGAAGGATTTCTAGATGGAGTCTGATCAACTACTACTGTTTCCGATGGACTGATGATGCCACGCCATTAACTCGTACCTTGCCAAAGAATGTTCATGAATAATTTATGTAGCAAGACTTTCAGCACCCCCGATATCTTTTTTGCCAAGATTTGCCAAGAGTTGCCAAGAGTTGCCAAGAGTCCTGCCTGCACCGCCCTGCGCGTGTCAGCTTCCTTCATGCTTGGTCATTGCGAGCTTGGTAAGGACTCGCCTTGTTCCCATAAAGCCTGTGCTTGATGCATCCGTCGTACTGAGGCTTCTTCCTTATAATTGCCGCTGTCATCTATCTGTTTGGCGTTCATCTTCGCGTCTCTACTGCTCCTCGTTGCCTTCCTCTACAGCTCTTAACCGCCCTCGCGTTCGCACTGAGGATGTCGTCAAGCGAGGATGTGCTCGAAGGTTTCGCGTCTCTTCCTACGGGACCAGTGCCATACAAAGCATTTTTAAGCGACCTCTCGGAAACGAGTCCAGCTTTACGGACTTTTCAGTCATTGTCGTTGGGGCCAGAACCGAGTCTTGACAGGTCCATTGCAATATCGAAATTTTCTCTTTTGTTGAGCACTCTGAGAGTCCCTGGCCCTTGCGATTTGCTCCATGGGAATTCGCCTCTCGGCTCTGGGGCCCAATTCGCCGTAGTAAAGCAAGAAGTCAACGGACTCGCCGACTCGAAAACCCCGGCCGCAGCTTTGAATAACAGTGTAGAAATCGCTGCCATCAAAACACCAAAATTTATTCTTGATGGCCAAACAAAGCTGGATATCTCAAGCCCTGAAGTGAGCCGGCAAGTCCGCAATATGATAATCGAGATCACCGCACTCTGTCATCCAAGACTACGGGCCCACCGAAACATTGTTGACCTCCTAGGATGGGGCACGAATGCTGAGACTTGGCATGAAGTTCCTTTCCTGGCGTTGGAATTGGCGAACAATACACTAGCTGCCTTTCTTCGCGAGTCAAGATCTTACCCCGTCGCGCTCAGGCATCACATATCCCTTGATATTGGTTGCGGACTGGATGCTGTGCACGAGATAGAGCTCATTCATGGAGATCTTAAACCCGAGAACGTGCTAATGTTCTACAAAGCTGGGTGCTGGGTGGCTAAACTTGCTGACTTTGGTGGTGGTGCCGATGCAGGTCAAGATGGTATCTTTGAAGGTAGAGGAACCGTCGGTTGGAGAGCTCCTGAGTTCCAGCAGTTTTCCGACCATGGAAAACCCCTTGACCGATCCCTTCTAGACAGAATTGATAGTTATTCTTATGGTTTGATGCTTTGGAGCTTGTTCCTAAGAGAGAGTGGTTCGCCTCCTTGTACTGAAAGTGTCGATGCGGAGATCGTTGCGCTTTCAGAATTAGAGAGTGACCCTTCATTTTTGCCTGTGTCCCTACACTTGGCACTAAAGACATCGTTCTCTTTGTTGCTGAAGCAGAGCCCACGAACAAGGGCCGGAAGAGTGGGGCATTTGCTGGACGATGGTAGCCGGGTATACTCTGAGTGGTATGAATTTACCCTATTTCCTTGCCAACAAAATATTTGACGGTTCAACCTCAGGGTGGGACTCCAAGGTTCCAGGAGTGGCGCCTCTTTCCCGGATGATGTGGCTGATGACTTGACTGAAGGGTATGATATTCGGTATGACTGGGAGGTTCCGGAGATCAGCATGCACAATGCGAAAGCCATCCGATCAGCGTTTTCAAGAAATGCGCCTCTGAGCGCAGAGATACTATGTGCTCTATTTATGAAGTATACGGGGCCCGAGCGTCGCTTTCATCAGGAGGACGGCCAGATCAGGGATCTTATACTCGACCTCCTCTACGCTGGTGCCCAAAAAGGTAGCCAGCCTTTACGAGCACTAATTTATGTTGTCCATGAGCACTTCCAGATTTTACCTAGAGCTGATGTAACCAAGGTAAAGCTCCTTTGGATGTCTGAGGCTGTAGCAGGTGGGGCTTTCTTTCTTCGAAACGCGCTCCAGCACTTGGACAGTAGCCTCCTAGAAACATCCATCCGAAGGTTCCACGATTACGGAGGGTATAATCAATTCTACGCAGCATTGAATCGAGAAACCATATCACACATCCTTGGGCACACTTCACTAGAGAATGTGGTGAATCTCAATAGACAGGCGCCACTTAATGCACGGGGCGACAAGCTTCTGCACATCCTGTCTTCTGTCACTGCATCTGAAGGACTTAAAGAAATCCTCAAGCTTATAGATCCGCGAGAGGTGAATGCATTAAACGACTGCGGGGAGACAGCTTTGTATCGTGCATGCATGGCAGGAGAGACTTCAAATGTCCTACTGTTGCTTTCCCAGGATGCCGATCCTTCGATCATACCCTCACATCGTGGCCCGACCTGCTTGCACTGGCTATTTCATTTCAATCCTCCAGACATTGACACTATCGCGAGAGAGCTTATCAGTCACGGAGCCCCCATCGACTCAAGTTCCGAGCAGAAGGTCCCAACGCTCCATTACCCCTTCACTTTGCCTGTGGGGACTCCGCTCCATTGGGCGGTTGAAATGTCGGCAGCGGAAGCCACCCAATCTCTTCTTCGCCAAGGAGCAATTTCATCGTTTCGTGATGGCAGTGATCCGTACGCTTACGACGAGAATGTTCGGCATCTAGATATGTCACTTCCTCCAGACTGGGTCCGTTATTCAGCACCCAAAAATACTACCCTAGGCTTCAGTGCAATTGATGTGGCAGTGAAGAACCGAGATCCCGAGATTCTAGATATGCTTCTTTCCAATGATTCCAGTGTTGATCCAAATGATACCGACGAAGAAGGGTATAGCGCCTTGCACCGCTTGGACGCAGGCGAGTGGCGATATACAATCCATGGAAGCGCTGTATGGTGCCCATTATTTCAAGGGCCCACAGCAGCCCGGGCAGACTCGTTGAGAAAAACTGTGGATGTCCTTCTCCAACATGGCTTTCAGCTCGATAAGTTGACGAAACCAAAAACATCCACGACAAGCGGGCTCGGTTTTTCCGATCAGACCGCACTCATGGTTGCCGTGGCCAAACGGAACACCGAAACCATCAAAACGCTCCTTGATGCTGGAGCCGATGTCAATGTTGCGAGTACTGAAGGGGAGACCGCTCTGCTGTCGTTCACAGACGACTACTTGTATGATGAAGCACAGCAGTCCAAGGTTGTGTCGCTGCTGCTTGGCGCGAATGCGAACCTTCACGCACGTGACAGTCGGCATAACACGCCTTTCCTGCGAGCAGCATCGATTGGCCTGCTCGGAGTAGCCACAGCATTGCTCAACCATGGCGCCGACTTAAGAGATCGTAAAAAGAACACAACTTCCAATCACTATGGATTGACAGCTTTCGCCCTTCTAGCTAGGTGTCCCTTGCAACGACCCCCGGAGCACGACGAATGGTTTCTATCACAGCTGACTTTGCATATCTTGCCACGCCTAGCTCAGCCCGAGGGTTTAGAAATACGCAACGAGCTCCTGGAGCAAGCGGACCTTGATGGGGGAACACTGCTTCATTATACAGCAAAGGAAGGGCTCGTTCGAAGCTGCGCAATTCTAGTTGAAGCTAAAGTTAACGTTAATGGCCTTCGTCGACGTGAGAAGTTTAGACGTGGAGGGACAGTCATTAGCTATCGCACCCCATTGGACGAGTCGCTAAAAAGTGAAACATATCGCCGATCCTGGCCTTAAGAAAAAAACAAAAATATGTAGATATATGATTGGGCAATAACAGGCTAAGAGCTTTTGACATGAAGATAGCCAAAGCCCCAGCCTAGAAACATGACGACATGACGGAAAAATATAAGGTGGGTGAGGAGAACAATGATATGGCAAGAACAATTGAATAAACCCACTACGAGTGCATAAAATCATACTCCATCCTCTATGCATATCATAATAAAGAAACGGCGATCAAAGCACCAACGCTATGGCCAATGGACCAACCAGTCTAACCGGGTCCATTCTCTGAGCAAGGCAAGTCACATCTTCTCCAAAAATTCAACTTATAATGCTATTAGCGTACTAGACTATTTCAAATAGCAATGTGCTAACAGTGGGCCACAGAACGCGCAGAATCAATGAAGGTCTATAGTGACATCGCGAACCTTCTCAAGGGTGCTGGGGGTGTGCAGTCGAAACATCTCATTGCAAAGGCATTCATCGCCCCTCAACAGCAAGGCTCGACGGGTCAAGGGAAACCGCAAAGTCCGACCCATGAAACGGCGTGAGGTTCTCCTTTCAATGACGAGCTCGAGAACGATAGTGACAAGAGGTGTGCCACAGCGACTTTGGATAAACTTTGTACGAGTAATCTAACGCTACGTCTCCACTTATTCATACAATCTTCATAGCAATTTCAGCATTGAAGAAACGCAGAATATCCTCGAGACCCCTTTCTTCCTGTCCTACCTGTAACATCAACAACACGAAATGAATCAGTCGTTTTCCAGGTCTGACGTGAAGCAAAGACATCCTTGCCACTAAGGACGTGCTATCCCTGCGTGTATGTGACCCCAAAACGGACGCCGGGAACAGCCTTCAGGATTGGCATCTTCCAGGTCGAATGTTGTCCGTGAGATGAGTGGTACTTATATACTCATGGGTAACCATTGTATCCACGAAGGTAGGACACCCATCAACGAGATGCGACAAAAGCCGCGCTTCGCCTTTACAACAACGGTGACTTTCTAGCTCCAAGAGATGCTGGTAGCATAGACGCGTTTAAGCGATGAGATTCTGCAGGAGAAATTCCTCAAGACGAAGTATGATCTAGGAAGCTTCAGACTATGTACCGACACCGTTAATGCTCCACTAAATCTACACAACCTTGTTCGCGATTGATTTTCGGCAGCGTTCTGAAGCATTCCCCCCCCGCTTCCGTCTTCTGGGGCTTTGAATTATCTATTCTGCATCAATTTGCCTTGACTCCATTACCGGAGATGAAAACGACCAAGACTGTCGGCGTACCTATGCTCGAAAAAAGTGTTATCAAACAATAGAGCAAGTTTCGGCAAGAGAAAGGACACGAGAGTGAACAACGGCACAGAACTTACGTAGCGCCTGATACGAAAACCTCGACGGTCTTCGCATTGGTGAAGCTTGAGACCGCTACGATGAGAAACGCCGAGGCGACCACGATTACCGCCATCCGAAGTGCAATGCTGGCAAGCGCATTGAGAACGACAATAGGCACTAAGAGGAGGACGACGACGACAGACGCGATTAGTGATCGTGTCAGCCGTTGTAGTACCGAGTCGGAGAACAGGGATATATTGGGATCACGAGAGACGTCGCACTGAGGCTGGATGGCGGATGGATTTTTAGTAATGGATCGTATCACAATGATTATCTTCAATTGGGTAGCTTGGGGCGCCACTGACCTTCCTGAAAACCCTATACAATGTGCGCATGAATCCCTCAAGTAGCGGTGTGAGACGGGCCAAGGCGGCATCCTGGGGTGAGAGTATCGTCATCAAGTCCTTGGGCTGGAGGAGGTAGGCAGTCTCTTCCCGAGCCAGACTGGATGTGTTCTCGACCCAATTCTGAATGTTCACGACGTCCTTCTTCCGTGGATTATCGAAAGCGAGAATCCTGCGGTTTCTTTCTAGTATGGCATCTGCATAAAACGGAACGGACATCCGGTTCAGAACAAATATGTGCATTCGGTCTTATTTGGCAGGGGACAAGGAAACTCACCATAGCTGGCCAGGGCGACCTCGAGTTTCATGAGTATCTCTTTTCTTTCCGGGTTCTTATCCCGGCGTCTGTTACCCAAGAACAACTCCCGAGTCTCCTCGTGGTCGATGCGATCAAGTTGGCTTTCAAGTAACGATAGTTCATCTTGCTTGAGCAGGAGCAATCGAGCGCGTATTCGAAGGAAGCGCCGGCAGACGTGAAAGGATGTGTGCGACGCAATGAGAGCTGCGAACCGAGGATACCCAGGTCGGAAGGCTTCGACTGCCACCACCAACCAAATGAGCGAGCGAGACACAATATCTGCTCCGAGATTGTTCAAAGGACGTACTTTGTTTTTATTTAAATTATCGAGTTTACGAGAAGAGTCCCTTCGATAGAAGTTTTCGAAGAGTCTTCGAAGAGTCTTTAAAGAGTTAGAGAGATTTTAGAGAATCTTCTCTTAAGTGTAGTAGATAAAATAATATATACTGGGGCGGGCCCAGTAGGAAAAGCTGCCGAGTACTGGTTTTTAACTATATTTAATTCTTAGAGACCCTCTAAAACCCCTTAAACTCTTCAAGAAGCTCTTTAAGAGCTCTTCGAGGGCTTATATTAAAGAGGCTATCAAAGTAAGCTCAAAATTTAATTATTTTAATAATATTTAATGAATTTCAAGCTTACTTTAACAGCCCCTTCGATATAAACTCTCAAAAAGTCTTTAAAGAGCTTCGAAGGATTTAAGGGATTTTAAGTGGTCTAATCCTAAGAATCGAGAAAGAGATATTATATTTTACTGAGAATCGAGAGAGACGTTATAATTTATTTGATATACTTAGAGAAAGACTCTCTGAAACACCCCTAACCCTCCGAGGGCTCTTCGAGAACTCTTCGAGGGCTTTTATCGAAGGGGCTCTTCTCATAAGCTCGATAATTTAAATAAAAATCTTAGTTTTTAGTATTTCTTTACGAATACTTTATTAAACTTCGTCTTCGCTACTTTATTTAAAAGCGTGTAATTAACTCTATAACTCTATAAATTTATTTTATTATTATTTATTACGTAACGTTAAAGAAATTAAATAGAATAAATTAATAAAGTTAATATTCGAGGTTTAGTCTTATAATACTTTCTCTTTTAAACGTACTCGTATTTAGATCGGAAATAAAGAAATAAGATATATTTTAGACTAGAAATCGTAAAATCCGAGGATCTGATTAATCACTAGCCTCTTAGCGTAGAAGCCATTTGGGATTTCAAGTCTTAAGTATTAAGAAAGCAAGCTTTTTAATAATATCTCTCTCGATTTTTGAATTTAAATCCTTTATAATCCCTTAAACTCTTCGAAGCTCTTTAAGAATTCTTCGAGGGCTTTTATTAAAAAGGCTATTAAAGTAAGCTCGAAATTTAATTATTTCAATAAACTTTAATTAATTTCGAGTTTACTCTAACAGCTTCTTCGATAGAGACCCTTAAAAAACCCTTAAAGAGCCCTTAAAGGGTTAGAGGGGTCTTAGAGGATCTCCCTAAGAATCAAACATAGTCAAAAACCAGTCTTCGACAAGCTTTCCACTACCCGGAAGCCCGCGCCCCAGCCCATACCTATCTACAAGAGTGCCAAGTGGGCCACTCATACCCCTACTCGCCACCACACGGGGGTGTGTGTGTGTGTGTGATTCCTATATCGGAGGGGCGCCCCTCTAGCCATATAGGCAAGAGTAAGACCGTTTTTCCCCACTCGGCCTTTCGACTATATCCGATTTTTATATATAATATACTATCTAGAGTAATTTATACGTTTAATATATATAAAGATATAAAAAAAAGAGAAAAGAAGAAATAGTATTAATTAAAGAGTTATCTTCGAGCTATATCTTTTTAATTCTATCTTATCTCGCTTTTATCGAAGTCTCTTATTTATATTATTTATTCTATTATCTTTTTTAAAGTAATTATCTTTATACTTTATAACTATTATAATATCGAATAATAGCGCTTATAGAATATATTCTCTTTTAAAGAATTATTATCGTATTATAATTATACTTTAATTACTATAGTTATTAGATTAATTATCTATATCTTTTATATTCTTAAATCCTACGCCTAAATAGAGTTATTATATTACTTCTCTATTTATAATATTTAATCTAATACTTAAATAATTTCTATCTTATAAATAAGCTTCTAAAAATTTATTCTAAAGATATCTTCTACGTCGGCTTCTCTAAGTATATTATTATTATATTATATAATAAATATTAAATATATTCTCTCTTATATATCGATAATTATTATTTATAATATCGCTTTAAAATAATAGATTATATATTTACTCGAAGATAAGATAATTAATTTCGCTAGAGAGTCTTTCGTAAGAGAATTTATACTTATATTTATTATAAGAATATATTATCTCTTTAGATTCTTATCTTATATAAAGATTATAGCTTTAAAGCGAAAATATTTAGATTTAATTATTTATTATAAATTATCTAACTTCTCTAATAAAGCGATATAATTATTATTATACTTCTTTAAAAGAGTATTTTATAAATCTTTAATAATATTATAGTTAATCTCGATCTCATCTTCTCGACTATATTTAGAGCTATAGATAATTATCTTTAAATATAATAACGTTAATATATTCTATATTATATATAAAATATAATATTTTTATATCTTTTTAAATACTCTAATCGCGATAGTTATTATTAAAAGTAAGAAGATATTATAGAATATTATAGATAAGATTAAGAATAATAAGATCTAACTTAATCGATTAGAGATTATATTTAGAGTTTATTAATATAAATAAAGATTTAAGAGCTAGAGATTAAATATAATTTATATTAAAAAGAAGATAAAAACTTTAAGATTATATATAGTCTCTTATTATAAAACGTAACTATCGATTATTTTATTAATAAAATAATTATTTCTCTAATAATCGTTTATAATAAAAATATTCTATATATATAATTTCTCTATTAATCTTATAAGTAGATATATT